CTTGCAGGCCTCCGACCTCCCCCTCCCGCCCCAAATGCAATGGGGCAAGGGGCATTCCCAGCCTGCCTCCCCTTTCTGCTTGGCACATGGTGATTGCAGCACATACATGCTCCTTGCCAAACTGCCAGGACCACGGCTTCACTCGCCTTGCTGCAGTTTTGGCTTGGAGGCCAGTGCTACCTGACAGCAGCTATTTGGAAGCCTGGAAGTGAGGGTTAGTTGCCAAGAGCCAGAGGTGGCATTGTGGTTAGAGTGTTGGGCTAGGACCTGGGAGAAACTGCCCCCCAAAACTTGGCCATGCTGTTGATCTGGGGCCAGGCACTGTCCCTCTCAGCCTTGCAGAGTTGTTGTGGAGATTAAATGGAGGGGAGAAGGATGAGCATCACATTGAGCTCCCTGAAGGAAAGATGGGCTATTAAAATGAATGAACGAGGCTTGGAGGTAAAGGGCTGAGAAAATTATGTGAAGATGGAAATAAATGGGGGTGCGGTGGGGAGTGAAGCCTGACACCAAAATATTCAGCAGGGAAAAGCAGAATTTCTCCATCTCTTGATGATGGTGAAACAGATGTCCTATTATCACAAAATCCAGGTGAGATTCAGGTCACAGTGCCAGGTGTGGGGTGAAACCATCCCGCCTACTCCAGTGAACCAGTGGGGAGAGAATTTTGTGCCAGCTTTGTGCTGCAGGAGCGAAAAAGGCAAAGCCCATCCTCTGGGAAGAGACGCAGAGCGAAACAAGTATCTCGCTGCTGTGAGCTGCGCATGGGCATAGGCGCATCAGGAAATGGGTTGCAGTTCCGACGGCCCCACTTCCCAGTGAGTATAGCAGAGCTGGAGGAAAGGGCCAACTGCCTTACTCCCCACCTTGAGAAAAGGGACAGATAAACCAACAGGTGTGATAAGGTGGGGGAGTCTGTAATAGGGGATAATACGAGAAAAGGTTAGGGAGGAGGGAGGGAATATTATTATTATAGAAAAGTCGCAGTGTTTGGGACTTAAATTTAGAGAAAACGTAAGTGAAAGAAGCTTCTAAAACTATTCATGCTATGGGGAAAATTCATAATGCTAGAGCTCCTGGGCAGATAGCCACTGGTCAGGGATTCTGTAGCTGTGATTCCAGCAGCGGGTTGGACTAGATGACCCCTGGAGACCCCTTCCAACTCTCTATATAGCTATTATCTCCAATCACCTAGAGCTACTGCTTCACAGGTGCCCTGAAACATATCCCCTGACCACCAGGGCTGCTTGCACCATGAATGCAGAACGAAACACAGAACCACAGAGCTGGAAGGGGACCCCCATAGTCACCTAGCCTGCAGGGAACCGGGGGCTGGCAGTTGGGACGTGGGTCCGGTAACGCGGTGCCGTCTTTCTCTTTGGCAGAGAGCGCAGCCAGAGGTGTACGAGCCAGCCGCCCAGCTGCCTGGGCCCACCAGCTGGCTGCCGAAGGAGAACTGGCTGGCAGAGCATGGCATGGAAAGGGCCCCCCTCAAGGCAGTGCTGCACGCTTCCCGGAACCGCCACCAGCTGCAGCCGTACCTGCAACACATCGCCAGCCACCACTGACCCCCGCGGGCCCTCCCCACCCCCCCACCCCGGAAGAGGGCAGGCGCAGTGGAGAGATGGCCCCAGCCGGGGGCCCTCGAAACAGATTCCTTTGTAGCCACTAAATATATAGACTGTTCCTCGCTGCCCAAAGCTACTTGCTTTAATAAAAGCCACCTTACTCTTACCGAACTATGCAGAGCCCTGATGGCAGTGCAAAAAGGTGCACCAGGCTGGATGGGGCGGCGGGGGGGGAGTCCCCTCTATTCCAGAGCAAAAAAGGCCTGCCAGTCTGTCTTGGCAAACTGCAGCCTGGCCCCCCCCCACCGCCTCTATCCTCCCAGCAGCACCAGATGCACACAAACGCACTTGACCACAGCAATAATAAACTCTTTATCCAATTGCAGAAGGCGTTGGCGGCACGTTTGTCTAGGGACCGGTCCATGCCCTATCCAGACCAATGCATGGCTCCCCACCCTGGGCGATGGAAGGGTCTCAGTCCCACAGGGCAGCTTCTGCTTTTTAGGCCAGCCACTTCCTTGTGGGCCCCATCAGCCCATCTGCTAGCTGGGTGCTCATTCCCCTACCCTCGCCCCATGGTGGTTCAGACCGTCACAGCTCCTTGTGGGGCTGCCTATGGGGTTTGTGACCAAAGGGGGCGCCCAGCAGAGGCTTCTCGCACCTGCTGCATTGCCCCGCTTGCAATTACAAGACAAACACGAAGAAGTTGCTATCACAGATGCAGCTAACACAAAAAGCTGTACTGACTGGGACCCAACACAATACCAGCAGTATTTCATTTCTTTTCCATTATAGAATTTATTTAAAGGGGATGATAATTACTCAGTTACTGGCAGAGGCTCCTCTAATACATTTAAAACAAGTGGGTTCCTGCTTTCTTGGACATTATTTACATACACGGGCACAAGAATTTGCTGCCCAATAGACCGTGGAATTAATTCCTGCTTAGATCTAAAAAGACAAGGGACTTGATAGAGCAGCAGTGCTTGTTTGGGAATGTACAGCTGGAGGCTGCTTTTACCAATGAAGGCAGCCCAAAAAGGCCGCCTGATTCAAGGCTACTACCAGGGAGTTTTACTCTCCAGCAGCTGCTGCTACCACCCTGCTGTTCTCTTGCAGCCCCAGGTGGGAGGGAACTTGGGACAAAGGGATTACTTTTCTAAAGGTCCTGAGCCAGGGCACCCAGCACTCCTCCATTCAACCAACACCATGTAGTTTACTTGGGAGTGTAGAAGCAGCCCACACTCTCTCCCAGACCTCAGAAGGGTGTGACGGTCACTTACAACTGCAGTCCTGAATTCCCAGTAGCCTGAATGCCAGGCAATCCTAAAACCCTGAGGGTGGCCATGGCACACACGTTTCAGCCTCAAATTCAGGCACTTGCTCGGGAATAAAAGGAAAGGGAAGGGAGGAAGCAGGCAGAAGGGAAAGGCAGAATATGAAATAACCTGAGCACTGCCTCTGCAACGGAACAAATCCAAGCCAATCCACTGCACTCCTTGTTCAAGTACAGTGGTACCTCGGGTTACATATGCTTCAGGTTACAGACTCCACTAACCCAGAAAAAGTGCTTCAGGTTAAGAACTTTGCTTCAGGATGAGAACAGAAATCGGGCTCCGGCAGCACGGCGGCAGCAGGAGGCCCCATTAGCTAAAGTGGTGCTTCGGGTTAAGAACAGTTTCAGGTTAAGAACAGACCTCTGGAACGAATTAAGTACTTAACCTAAGGTACCACTGTATCAGCAAGGTGGGTTGACTTCACAGTTTTTATTGTTTGACATCTTTTTTTTGGGGGGGGGGGTTGGCATTTTATTATGTTTTTATATTTGCTGGAAGCCGCCCAGAGTAGCTGGGGAAACCCAGCCAGTTGGATGGGGTATAGATAATAAAATTATTATTAATATTATTATTATTATGGAAGACCGTGCCTTGGATCCCTGATGTTGGAAAGGGAAAAGGATCCCTTGATGTTGGGAGGGGCAGGAGCTGCAAGAAGCAGTCCAGCTTTGGAAAGGCTCCTTGCTCCCTTTCTCATGGGAGGAGGTGACTCTTGGCTCTGTGTGGTTAGGTTTCTCAATACTTCAGGTACTCACTTTAAGCGCCCTCTTTTCACATGAAGAGGCTTGGCAGCAGATCCCTGACACACAGGAATTGTGGGCAGCTGCCCTTTCTTTGCAAGTGCATTGGCAGGCAGCCACAGAATTATTAGAATCATAGGTTGGAGGGGACCCCAAGGGTCATCTAATCTAACCCCCTGAAATGCAGGAACCGCAACTAAAGCATCTATGGCAGAGGGCCATCGAAGAGTCCTGGCAGGGAGAGGGTGTGGCAGGCCTTGGAAATGGCCTCTCTGGGGCACACAGAGAAGGACAGAGTCTCAAAGATGCGCATTCCCAGCATGTTTGTACTTCCGTCTCAGTGATGTCTACGCTGGCTTGGTCCAGGCCACAGAATGGAAGACAGCGGGATCCCCAAGGTGCGCTCTGTGGGGAGATGGCGTCAGGCACTAGGCTCACTGGTAGACCACGTCTGCACTACAACAATGTCTGCAAACATGACATGAAGGCTGGCAACATCCATCATGTGGGAATCCCTCGCAGACAACCACAGTGCCTGGAGACAAGACAGGTTGTGTGGCCATAGCCATGACCAGAGGAGGAATGGCCGCTGGGAGGAGCACAGAGAGAAGCAACGCCCTGTTGCATCTGCAGCAGCACAACCAGACGCCTTCCTCTGCCCCGGCTGCAAGAAAACATATCTCTCCTGTATCAGTCTCTGCAGCCACAGCAGGTGCTGTGATTCTCCAACTGTTTGACTTCACCCCCAAAGGCGCACCCCTCCACTGTCTCTCGAGACAGACGGATGTCAACCATATCTCATACTTTCCAGTTAATTTCCCCGTCACATTTTTTGTGGGGGTGGAATTGGTTTGTTGCAAAAGAGCCCTAAATCTTAGTTGCGGAACCTGAATTTGCCTGTGTGGGATTGAATCCCACCACGAAACAGCGACAATCTGGAAGCGCCCCTACATGCTGGACAGGTTCAATTTTGGTATCTATTATTATTATTATTATTGGATTGCAGGGCAACTCTCGCTTCCTGCGGCTTCCAGCAACTGGTTTTCAGAAATATTGTACTGCTACCTTCGACCGCGGAGGCAGATCAGTTTCCAAAATTGCACGGCCATTGCCTTTTGCAAATGACACAAAGATAGCACTGCGGACGAGGGGGAGCCCAGTTACGATCTGGGGTGCAGGAAGGACCCAGAAGAGCCAGGCAAAAATCTCTGCAGCCAGAATCAAAGAAGAAACTAACGCAGCAGTTTGGGGCATTCTCCTCCCGTCCTCGTCGCGGCCACCTAAGAGTTAATAGAGCAAGGGGAGGTACCATCAGACGCCTTGGGGGACGGGACGGATGCAGAGCAGGGGATTCTGACCTCTTTTCCCAGGGCACAACAAAAAAAACCTCCACGCGCTTTTTATCCCATTTTATTTCTTACTATTCAGGGCTACTGGGCCCAGTTCCTTCCCTTGCCGCTTCAGAGTGCCCCCCTTCACTGGCTATAATGGTTCGTTCTGAGCGGTCGCGGCTCCCTTTGTCTCCGCTGTCCTGGGAAGGAACCATTCTCACAGAGGGGGGAAAGAGAATAGAAGAATTCGTTTTCCAAGGGCGGCGGTCAAAGTCAAGCTGCCCCTCCCCGTCCGCCACAGAATAATTTTAAGTCAGGGGCATAAACTGGGAGCAGCGCTGCTCGGCTTTTCCGCGCTGTGAAGAACACGCTTTCGCCGCCTCCTCTCCCGAGGGCAGATGGTACGGTCCCAGGTGGTGCTTAGGAGTTCCATTCAGGGGGCGGAGCCTCTGCCTCTGCTTTTAACTCGTTCTTTGCCGGCGAGGAGCTCGCAACCCCGGGGAAAAGGGGTGGGATGCTGTGAACCGCTCTGTGATTTTCAGGGCGAAGGGCGGCATATGTTAGTAAATAACCATAACCTGCTGGGCAGGGTCGTCTCCCCACCTCCGTCCTCCCACTCACAGTCTGGCTGCTGGGATCGGGTGGGCAGCAGGGAGGCGCTCTGCACGTGCTCAGAGGCGCAGCCACCACCCAGCAGGTTCCGGGGCGGAGGGGGCGGATCGTGAGCGGGAGCCCCGCCTGGGGGCCGTCTGGCCGGCTGCCGCGTCTCCGCCCCGCCCGGGGCTGCCGCTTGTCCCCGTCCGGAGGAAAGCGTCGCCGCCACGACAGCTGTTGCTCCGCTGACCCGAGGTAAACGGGGGTGCGCGGCGGTGGGGCCGGGACGGGAGTCCCTAGTGGGGCGGAGCCGCTTTTGTGGGGCGCACAGATTTCGAGACGCTTGGAAGGCGCATTGAATTCCGATCGGGGTGCGTCTGGGGCTCTCCTTTGACCTGGCCTGGAGGAGATCCCCCTTATTTCTTTCTCCCCACCCCAGCTTCCTATTTGGAAACAATCGGGCCCCGCCTGCCTTGCACCTGCGGGCTCCTGCGTCACGTCGGAACGCGCGGGGGGCACCCTGGGGTGCCCAAGGGCGTAGCACCCAGTCAACCGAGCGGGCGCGCTTCTCTTCCCCCGAGCCGGAGTCCAGCAGAGGCCGCCTCCCTGGAGCAGGTGGCAAGGTCAGGCCTTGCCCGACTCTCGTCAGCCCCACACGGCCAAGGATCAGGCAGTTCGGCAGCACTGGAGGGCGCCACGTTGGCTACCGCTGCGAGGCTCTCCGAGCATCTCCCAGGTCTGAGAAGCCCAGAGCTGGAAGCGGGTTTGGGTCCCGCGACCCTCTGGGTGTCTCCTCCCAATCCGGATTACAGAAAGTGTCCTGGGGCTGAGTTCAGACCCATAAGGCAAAGACCACTGGCCAATCTAGGTTAGTATTGTCTGCACTGACTGGCAGGTGGGAGGACCATCCCAGTTGCCCCTGGAGATGCGTTTGAGGCTTCAACCAGAGAAGGGCCATAGCGCAGCCGGAGGACACCTGCCTTGCATGCAGAAGGTCCCAAATTCAGTCTCCAGGCAGGGCTGGGAGAGTTCTGCTGCTGCCTGGCTGCCAATCAGTGTAGGCGACACTGGACTAGATGGCCTCACCCTGTATATGGCCGCTTCCTATGTTCCTGCATGCAGGATGCTGATAATGCTAAACCGTTTAGGGCATCTTCCCCCAAAACCATGTGATTTGTTCCTGATAATTTTCGCTGTGTGTTGGCCTTGAAGAGAGCAGTGTCAGCATTTCAGGAGAGAAGCGTTAGCTCAGCCGCAAAGCCTGGCTTCACGTGAAGAAAGTCCCAGGTTTGGTTTCCCTTTCTCCTCTCCTAAGACAATTCTAGAGAGCTCAGCTGCTGCCAGCCAGAGCATGCAATGCAAGGCTTGGTGGGGAAGTATGCTTCACGAGTGAGGAAGATTTTTCAGCCTGAGAGACGCAATCCCTTCGGGAATTAAATTTCTATACCACCCTTCACTCCAAGACCACAGGGCTGTTTACAATATAAAAACACAAAAATACAAACCATAATACAACAACAAGAAGAAGAGTTTGGATTTGATATCCCACTTTATCACTACCCTAAGGAGTCTCAAAGGGATGTGGGTGGCGCTGTGGGTAAAACCTCAGCGCCTAGGACTTGCCGATCGTCAGGTCGGCGGTTCGAATCCCCGTGGCGGGGTGCGCTCCCGTTGCTTGGTCCCAGCGCCTGCCAACCTAGCAGTTCGAAAGCACCCCCGGGTGCAAGTAGATAAATAGGGACCGCTTACTAGCGGGAAGGTTAACGGCGTTTCCGTGTGCTGCGCTGGCTCGCCAGATGCAGCTTGTCACGCTGGCCACGTGACCCGGAAGTGTCTGCGGACAGCGCTGGCCCCCGGCCTCTTAAGCGAGATGGGCGCACAACCCTACAGTCTGTCAAGACTGGCCCGTACGGGCAGGGGTACCTTTACCTTTAAGGAGTCTCAAAGCAGCTAACAATCTCCTTTCCCTTCCTCCCCCACAACAAACACTCTGTGAGGTGAGTGAGGCTGAGAGACTTCAAAGAAGTGTGACTAGCCCAAGGTCACCCAGCAGCTGCATGTGGAGGAGCGGGGAATCGAACCCTGTTCACCAGATTACGAGTCCACCGCTCTTAACCAGTACACCACACTGGCTCACAAGATAGAGACTCAAGAGATTGCCTTGCCAGCACCCTCAGCTACCTTGCAGTAACAAAGGTAAGAAGAAGAAGAAGAAGAGTTTGGATTTGAGATCCCTTGTGCACCATTGTTCTGGGTTCCTCCTCCCTCCTTCGTTGTGGTGAGTGAGGACCCTGTTGCAACAGATCAATAAAGATCAAGCTTACTAGCTGCTTTGCTTCTCAATATTCTCTGGTTGGCCTCTGTTATTTTCTTCTACCAATAGGGAGCCTATGTAAGGTCTCTATATGGGCTCTTGGATACCCCATAAGGGGGGGAAAAGGGCAGATTTTTGTTTACAACAGTTTGCATCTTTTAAAAAAGGAGGAGAAGGGAAAGAAGGGGGGGAAAATGCAAATTATGGCCATGGTGAAATACGAGAAAAGAAATTGCATCAATATAGATTTTACGATACGAAGCGTATTTGTTTTCTGTGGTCTGCCTTGCCAACTGCCCCTTCAACACAATTGGTCCTAAGAGGCTGTTTCTGGTTAGTACAGCATGAATTTTTAAAAATGTAATAATTATAGTTATTTATACATATTGGTCCTTTACTAATAATCCCAGCGTGGTTTGACATCCAACCCTACCCTGCTTTTTCAAGTGAAATATGGGTCTGTCTGAAATGCCAACAGTGTGGCATGAAACCGCAGAGAACATGGGCAGGAAGGCTACTCGCTGGAGAAGACAGTGAACTCTGCACAAACTCAGAGACCCTCTCTTCCATGGCTATACTTAATGGGTCCCAGTGCTGAGCCTAGAGGTTGCAAACTGGAGTAAGCCCTAATTTTGAGAGCCACTGGCACAGCTGCCCCCCCCTCCTTCGTTCCTTAACTTATTTTTTAAAATGGGTCTCTCTGTGGGCAGCTGCTGAGTTGAAGTAGGTATGAACTGGGCAGCACCTTGGTCAGCTCTTGTAATAAAGCGGTGCTTTCATTTAAAAAGATATATTAAGTTCCTCACACAACCTTGATGGCAGAAAGTGAGGAGGAATTAAAGAACCTTTTAATGAGGGTGAAAGAGGAGAGTGCAAAATATGGTCTGAAGCTCAACATCAAAAAAACGAAGATCATGGCCACTGGTCCCATCACCTCCTGGCAAATAGAAGGGGAAGAAATGGAGGCAGTGAGAGATTTTACCTTCTTGGGCTCCATGATCACTGCAGATGGTGACAGCAGTCACGAAATTAAAAGACACCTGCTTCTTGGGAGAAAAGCAATGGCAAAGCTAGACAGCATCTTAAAAAGCAGAGACATCACCTTGCCGACAAAGGTCTGTATAGTTAAAGCTGTGGTTTTCCCAGTCGTGATGTATGGAAGTGAGAGCTGGACCATAAAGAAGGCTGATCGCCGAAGAATTGATGCTTTTGAATTCTGGTGCTGGAGGAGACTCTTGAGAGTCCCATGGACTGCAAGAAGATCCAACCTCTCCATTCTGAAGGAAATCAGCCCTGAGTGCTCACTGGAAGGACAGATCATGAAGCTGAGGCTCCAATAGTTTGGCCACCTCATGAGAGGAGAAGACTCCCTGGAAAAGACCCTGATGTTGGGAAAGATGGAGGGCACAAGGAGAAGGGGACGACAGAGGACGAGATGGTGGGACAGTGTTCTCAAAGCTACCAGCATGAGCCTGACCAAACTGCGGGAGGCAGTGGAAGACAGGAGGGCCTGGCGTGCTCTGGTCCAGGGGGTCACGAAGAGTCAGACACGACTAAACAACAACAAATCCTGTTGCTCACAGCCTTAACCCAGCCCTTGTGACCCAGATTAGAGGAGGAAGTTACACTCCTTTATTCCAGCTGCTTGTTTTCCATTTTGGAGGAGTTGCTGCTCTCCTCCATAATTGCCTGAGCTGACTCACAGTGCCTGCCTGCCCTGCAAGCCCTTCCCACCCCCACTCTCATTGGGACTATGGCCAAGCCTTTGTCTGAACCATGTGGAGGTCGCCAGGTTGGCAAAGCCTGCTTTAAGGGCATTCAACCCGGGGGGGGGGGGTTCTGTTCAGAATTTCAAGGAGCTCCCTTGGTCTACTTCACATTCTTCTCCTCCTGCTGCTTCTCCTTAACTCCTGCATCGCTTTGCTTCTGGCAGAAGCCCAAACCTCACCTGTGTTTTTTGCTGCCTTCATGCTGCCGTCCTCTGCCAGGACAGGGGGGGCGGGAGGGGGCGGGGAATGAGAAAGCTGGAAGTTTCGCGACAGATAAAATGAAGTATTTATATGCGCAGCACATAGTTGAGGGTTTTTTTTTGTTAGTTTTATTTTTGTCTGTGTTTCGATGGGTATTACATTAATTTCATTTTCATAATATGTTCTTATTTTTTTATGAAATATTTTCTTGATTTACAAAAGTTTGTGCAGTGTCTCTCGTATATCCCCCCCCCCCGTGTAACATTTTTACAAATCAGTTTCGTTTGTTGAGACATTGGGAAGAAAAGGGGGAAAGAGGTGGAGGGGGGGGGAAGATGGGTGGGGGTGGGGTCGGGTGGCGATGTTTCTATTTTACTTACTATATGTGGGGTTTGGTGTCAGCGTTGCTTGTGCAGGTTCTCTGCTGTTCGCTTGTGTTCCTTTGGTGGTGAGAGAGGTTGGGGTTGGCCTAGGGCAGGGGTCTGCAACCTGTGGCTCTGGAGCCGCATGTGGCTCTTTTACACCTTTGTCGAGGCTCCGGGGCGAATACTAGCGAGGGGAGGAGGCGCATTGTGCGCCCCGACACTCCCCACTGTGGCGGGCACTGTACTGGCTGTGACGTCGCATGGGGGCGGTGCGTGCGTTAGTCACGCACCGTCCCGACGTCACCTTCCCGCCCGCCCGCTACATTGTAAGGGGCACGTACGCTGGTCACTGCATTGAAAGGGGGCATGTACGCTGGTCACTGTTTTGAAGGGGAGTGAAGAACACACACACACAAAAAGGTAACTTGTTAATTTAACGTTTATTTCTATGAGGAGGAGTAATTCTGAGGGGTCAAACAAATAAATAATAAAAAAGTGACAAAAAGGTTATTTTTATAATGACGAGTTTTGCGGCTCCCAGTTTTTTTTTTCTTCGGAAACGGGTCCAAGTGGCTCTTTTTGTCTTAAAGGTTGCAGACCCCTGGCCTAGGGTGTGGTTTTTTTTGTGATTGGCTGTGGTGGTCCTTGTTTTCATGTGTGAGTGGGGTGGGTGGGTGTTTTGGATCAGGTTAGCCATATTGATTTGTAGAGAAGTAGAGAAGATGGGCAGAGATGCAGAGGCTTGTGGGATGTTAGCAGAAATTATTGTCAATGACTCAAGCCCAGTCAAGCAATGCTTTCATCGCGGACACAATGGCGTGTTCCATTTTTCATAATTCCTCATAGCAATCCCACCTGACCGGAGGGTCCCTCCTTGGTTCTGGCCCTCCCCAATTCCCCCCACAGTCAAAATCCAGCACAGCTGCTGAGTCCCTTGCAGAGGATGCTGGGGCTCTGGGCTGCCCAGGTGTGATCCTGCGCTTGAGGCCGCATGAGGCAACTTGGCCAGATGTCGGTTTGCCTTTGGCTACCAGGGAGATCCGGCCACAACTACAGCTCTTCCGTGACGCTGTAGCGGCCTTCACTCTCCTCCTTGTCTCCTTTCCAGGCCTCCTGAGGTTTTTCCTGCTCGTTTCTGCCTCGGCCATGAAGCCCCATGTCACCTACCACCAGGTAAATCCTTGCTTGCCTAAATCGGGTGTGTCCAAAGGGATGGATCACACTAAACAGTTGCACCAGCAGGAGCCAGTGCAAAGAGTTCTTCTGCTCCCCCAGAACAGTGCACAGGGGGCAGGAGGGAACCTCATTCTGTTTGATACCCTCAAGAGCTGGGATAACTCAGTTGGGAGAACGTGAGTCTCTTAATCTCAAGAGTCGTGGCTTCCAGCCCCACACTGGGCAAGAGATTCCTGCGTTTGAAGCGGGCTGGACTAGATGATCCCAGGGTCCCTTCCAATGCTATGATTCTAAGTGCTTGCATTGACAATCATAAAAGTGTGACATTGAACTCCTCCCAAAGGCTGGACCGTGCGGCAAGTGTGTCCCCACTCCCCAGCCTAATGAATGAATGAATTTTATTATTTCTGTCACAGACCAGTTCCAGCCCACATATCAAGGGAAGTCATAAAACACGCTAGGGATACATTTGAATTTGCAATTAGGTATAACAGGGACAATACAGATATAGCAACAGTTAAAAACTACATAAATTAAAACTTAGTCATTAATGTATAACCTAAAATTATCATTTAAAACCTTAATGAAATGATTTTAGAATGTTTTATCATTTTACTGTTGTTAGCCGCTCTGAGCCCGGCTTCGGCAGGGGAAGGCGGGATATAAATAAATTATTATTATTATTATTAATCATTATGATACCACAGCTTGTTCCCTAAGTTTTATGGCAATCACACAGAATTTGGCTACCCTTAATGTGATTTCGTGGGACACGGGTGGCGCTGTGGGTTAAACCAGAAGCGGCTTAGCCATGCTGGCCACATGACCCGGAAGCTGTACGCCGGCTCCCTCGGCCAATAAAGCGAGATGAGCGCCACAACCCCAGAGTCGGCCACAACTGGACCTAATGGTCAGGGGTCCCTTTACCTTTACTAACGTGATTTCAGGATCCTTGTCCTCTACCAGGGATTTTAGACACTGAAGTTCGGATTCATTTGGAGATTTTTGCATAGCAGGGGTAATAAATACCGAGCGTCTATCCCCATAGAAACGGCAGCGTAACAAGGCATGAGAGACAGCAGCCTAATGATTTGTTTGTTTATTTTGTAAAATTTATGCACTGCTTTTTTGCAAAAGGGAAAAGCCCTCAGAATTTGCAAAAAAAGTTAAAACCATAACATTATCCGTAAGGGAAATTAACAGCAGTCAGTTAAGGCTTTCAAAAAGGTAAAAGGGCCAAGTAGGGTAAAAACGGACTAGAACTCGCATCTCAGGGTTGTGTGTTCACGCCCCACGTTGGGCAAGAGATTCGGGGTCCCTTCTAACTCTACAATTCCATGATCACCATTCTAAGTCACTGTGATCCACGCGACGGTCACCTCCAGACTGGATTATTGTGACTCGATCTACGTGGGGCTGTCCTTGAGACTTACCCAGAAACTCCAGTGGGTGCAGAATGCCACAGCGAGACTCCTTACGGGGTCCTCGCTGCGAGATCACATTCACTTGGTGCTACACCAGCTGCACTGGCTCCCGGTGGAGTACAGGATCAGGTTCAAGGTGCTGGTTTTAACCTTTAAAGCCCTATGTGGCCTAGGACCCTCGTGCCTACGGGACTGCCTCTCCTGGTATGCCCCGCGGAGGACCTTACGGTCTTCAAATAAAACATCTTGGCGATCCCGGGTCACAGGGAGGTTAGGCTGTCCTCGGCCAGAGGCAGGGCTTTTTCAGCTGTGGCTCCGATCTGGTGGAACGCTCTGCCACAAGAGACTAGGGCCCTGCGGGACTTGACATCTTTCTGCAGGGCCTGCAAGACAGAGCTGTTCCACCAGGCCTTTGGCCAGGGCACAGCCTGACTCCCTCCTTTGGCAATCTTCACAGAACTCTAGCCCAATGGTTGCCATCAATTTGATTTGAATTAATTTTATAATGAAATGAGTTTAGAATGTTGTATTCTTTTATTGTTGTTAGCCGCCCTGAGCCCGGCTTCGGCTGGGGAGGGCGGGATATAAAATTTATTATTATTATTATTATTATTATTTGCATCTGGACAGGCTTGTCTAAAGGAAGATGCTTTTAGCAGCTGCCGAAAAGAGCACAGAGAAGGCGCCTTCCTGGTGTCAAGAGGCAGGGAGTTCCAAAGGTTGCAGTCTGCCACACTAAAAGGTCAAAGTTCTTACAAAGGCAGGACAGGGATCGTGTTGCATCTGTGACAGGGACAGTTCTGCCAGTCTCTCCCCCCTTTCCTCTCGCATCAGATCCACTGTGATGAATGGGAGCCGGGGGAGCTATTTGCGCAAGCCCCGTTCCCCTTGCGGAGGCAGACTTCCCCCTCGTAAATGTGTGGGGAATGGGGAAGCCAGCTGGGCTTCCTGCCTCCAGCTCCGACGTGGGGCTGGATGTCCCCAAAGGGGTCGCAGGTGAGTGCAGTTCACTCTCCCGTCTGCACACACTGCGGATCCTGAAATCCTGCTGCCTGGAGTTCCCAGGGTGTTTCATCTCTCTGTTTCCTTCCTGTCAGCTGAAGGTGCTGCGCAGTCCTGAGGAGCCCCCACTGACCCAGCAGCCCAGCTTGGCTCCAAAGAAGGTTAGTCTCCTCTTCCTCTTCCTCCTCCCCTTCCAGGTTCTGTTGAAGACCCTGAGCTGGGATAAAGTCCCATCTCTCCCCCCCCCTCCCACAAAACACACCTCTCAAGCCATGGAAAAAGAGGCACAGTCCTATAAATGGATCAATAACTGGTTAAGGAACAGTTTGTGCCATGGAAGAATGCAGAAACTGGAGTTCCCCAAAAATTAACATTGTGACCTGTGCAGTGGGGACTCCCTCTTCACTCCAGACCTGGGTCTGGGTGCATTGTTATTGTGTTATTGTTATTGTTATTATTAAATTTACCTTGCCCATCTGGGCAGCTCCCAACAAAATATTGATGATGATGATAATAATACAGTGGTGCCTCGCAAGACAAAATTAATCCGTTCCACGAGTCCCTTCGTCTTGCGGTTTTTTCGTCTTGCGAAGCACGGCTATTAGCAGCTTAGCGGCTATTAATGGCTTAGCGGCTATTAACGGCTTAGCGGCTTTAAGAAAAAGGAAACAAACTCGCAAGGCGTTTCGTCTTGCGAAGCAAGCCCATAGGGAAATTCATCTTGCGGAACAACTCAAAAAACGGAAAACCCTTTCGTCTAGCGAGTTTTTCGTCTTGCGAGGCATTCGTCTTGCGGGGCACCACTGTAATAATAATAATAATAATAATAAGTGAGAAAACATCAAACATTAAAAACCTCCCTAAACAGGAATTATTATTATATTTAGTAGTAGTAGTAGTATACTGCCCTATATCCACAGATCTCAGGGCGGTTCACAAGATAAAATCGCAATATGAAAACAAAAAAACACACTATCAAAATAAAAACAAGAACAACCCAATAATCTCCGGCTTCCACAACATATTTCAAAAGGGTGCTGGATGTCAGTCAGCCAAAGAGGAATGTTTTGAATTAACATACACAGATTTATTGGTTGATAACATGGTAGACAGATAATGTAAAGATATGTATAATTTTATAACATGCAGAGAATAACATGTGCTGAGAAATCAGAGAGGAACTGAGGGAAGTTGGGGGGAGGGGGTTTGAGGGGGTGTTGGGGGAATATGATAGGTTTTGATATTTTGTTTTGCTGAAATTGTTAACGAAAACCTTAAAAAAGAGAAGTGCAGGACGCCCACTTCCGTCCCTCTTTCTCCTTCGCAGGACTTCCGCTGCATCCTTGTGGTGGCCATCCTCTCGACGATGCTGGCGACCGTCCTCCTTTTCCACATGTTCATCCTCCCCTTTCATGGTCTGACCTCGGCAGGGAAGGAGGCGGCTGCCGGGCCTTACCTGGGCAACAGGTGCAACGATCCCTGCAGGTGAGGGCTCTGCCTGCGGCGAGGTTGTTCTGGGCCTCTTCTTGGCACAGCTATTGCCTTTGGAGGGGGTTAAGGTAAAGGTAAAGGGACCCCTGACCATTAAGTCCAGTTGTGGCCGACTCTGGGGTTGCGGTGCTCATCTCACTTTATTGGCTGAGGGAGCCTGCGTACAGCTTCCGGGTCATGTGGCCATCATGACTAAGCCGCTTCTGGCGAACCAGAGCAGCGCACGGAAATGCCGTTTACCTTCCTGCCGGAGTGGTACCTATTTATCTACTTGCACTTTGACGTGCTTTTGAACTGCTAGGTGGGCAGGAGCTGGGACAGAGCAATGGGAGCTCACCCCGTCACGGGGATTCGAACCGCCGACCTTCTGACCGGCAAGTCCTAGGCTCAGTGGTTTAGACCACAGCGCCACCCGTGTCCCTGGAGGGGGTTATAATGAATTAATTCAATTTGTATAATGTCCTATGCCCATCAATCTCAGGGCAGTTCACAACATAAAAAGACAATATGAAAAACAGAAAAGACATCATCAAAATTTAAACAAAGCCTGAGCTGCTTCTCTGCTGAGACTGTGACTTATGGAGTAAATGCTGTTCTTTTTTCTTTTCTTTTTTTCATAATATGTTTATTAAATTTTCAACAAAAATAACAAAAACAAAAAACACACAATAGCAAATTCAATAATATCCACAGACAAAGAAAAATATACATAAAAGCAATATCAAATCCATAAAATGGGATTCTCCGAATCCCATGACTTCCCTCCCCCACCCCTGGTTCCTTAAATTTTCTTTTCAGCTGCCTATCATTTCTACTCCAAATTATTATTTCTTACCTCAGATTCCTAAAATTACAAGTGTTTTTAAGATCCTGCCAATGTATTAGCCTGTTTACAATACTTTTGCAAATACATAATAAACTTTCCCCATTCTTTTTTAAATTTCTTGTCATCTTGATTTCTGAGCTTTCTGGTTAGCTTCGCCATGTCATCATAGTCCATTAACTTGGTTTGCCAGTCTTCTTTGGTCAGGACTGCTTCCAGTTTCCAGAGTAACCGCTGTTCAACTCTCTGAGATTTATAGCTGAGGGACAGGGCAGTGCATGGGGGCCATGTGGAAATCTCTGGAGGCTGGGATGGCGATAAGCACAATTCATTTTCACCTTGGCAACCTTGCAAAAAGAAAAAGGTGCCTAGACTAGGGTTACCAGACATCCCCGGTTCCCGGGGACAGTCCCCGGATTTGCAAATCTGTCCCCGGACAAATTCCGTCCCCGGAATGTCCCCAGATTTGCAAATCTGTCCCCAGGAAACGTGGCAGCGGCAGCCTCAGCGGCCTAGAGCCAGCCTGGTAGCACAGTTGGCTCTGGCTGACTTCAGGAGCTGCTCGCTGCCCTGGCGCCCACCATTTTTCCTCGCCAGAAGTCCCGATATGATGTGTTGCACACAAGATACATCATATGGGGACTTCCAGTGAGGAAAAATGGTGGGCGCCACAGCAGTGAGCAGCTCCTGAAGCCAGCCGGAGCCAACTGCGCTACCAGGCTGGCTCTGGACTGCTGACTGCTGCTGCCGCCGCCACTGCTGAAGGGGAACTGGGGACGTCCAGCGGTATAGATATCCTGCGCCCTTCCCCCTTTGCTTTGACTGATCGGGGGAGGCTCGGGAGTTGCGGGCGAGCGGCCGTTGCCCAGTTTTTTAAAAACTCTGCGCATTTAGTGTTAAGTTGTGGGTGAACATATCAGACGACACAGCGATTCTTCAAACAGCTCGTTTATTCACAGGCCCAGAACAGAACTGGGCTGAAGGGTTTAGCCAGCCTGCTTATATAGAGCTCCACTACAACGCAACAGTAACCACTTTCTGTAACTATCCAATCCCTGAACGTCACTTTCAATCCCTTATTTGCATATGTGGACCTGAGTGAAAACTATCTACAGTATCCCCTTGCTGGCCCAGGGTGAGAACTTCAGTACATAACATTTATATTTCACAGGGTGCAAAAGAAGGGCCTTGCACCTTGCCTGGCAGAGAAACCGCCCGCCTTGCGCCCCTCCTGGGCAACAGCCGGCTGCCCGCCTGCGACTCCCGAGCCTCCCCCAATCTGTCAAAACAAAGGGGGGAAGGGGGCAGGAGATCGGGGAAGGCGCGGGAGTCACAGGCGCACGGCGCGCCGCTGCCCAGTTTTAAAAAAACTCTGCGCATTTATGTTTCACAGGGCGCGAAAGAAGGGCTTTGCACCTTTATACAATGTGCATGTGTGCTTGGGCCCAGGGTCTTTGGCCACACCATCCCCACTACTGACTCCCTGTTGCTACACAGCTTCAGCAACAACAACAAAACAGTGTGCCCGGATTCATTGAAAAAAATATGGTAACCATAGCCTAGACATTGCATTGTGGCAACTGTAATCTAGGTTTTAAGGTGCCGTTTGGCGAATAGCTTACGTACCTGAGTTTCTAACCCTGCCTGCAATAATAAAATAAAATAATAAATAATAAATAATAAAACATCAGTAATAAAACTTCGAGAAAGTTCAGAATGACACACAGGGTTGTGAATCATAGCTGTCAACTTTTCCCTTTTCTTGCGAGGAATCCTATTCGGAATAAGGGAATTTCCCTTAAAAAAGGGGAAACGTTGACAGCTATGTTGTGAAGACTTGCAAGAGGAGAGGATGTCTTGCCCCCTCCCTTGCAAAAGCTGCCCTTCCTCTCCTCCTCTTCTTCCTCAGGAGCGTCCTGGTGGAGAGCATCCCCGAGGGGCTGACGTACGACGACAACAGCACCCTCAACCCTTCCATCTTCGACGCCTGGAAGACCCTCCTGGGAGACGCCACCCGCAGTGTGGACATCGCCTCTTTTTACTGGACCCTGAGCAACAAGGACACCGGCACCCAGGACCCCTCGGCCGGCCAGGTGGACAGCTCTCTCCAGAAACGGCCTCGGTCAAGGGCCATCGCGGCTCAGGGGTGGGGGGCACCAGAGGGTCCTGGGTTCGGTCCCCTGGGGGCATCTCCAGGTGGGGCTGGGAGGGGCAGCCCATCTGACACCCTAGAGAGGCGCTGCTGCTGCTGCCAGTTGGTGCAGACAGTATTGAGCAGGTGGAGCGCTCTGTGCCAGCTGCTTCCTTGGCTGCAGAATGGCTTTCCCAAGGGTTGCTGTGCCAGCAAGCCTTCCCAGGGGTTGCATATGGGAATATGGAGTCTTTTCAACACTGGCCTAGTGGAACGCTCTGTCTCATGAGACCAGGGCCCTGCGGGATCCGATTTCTTTCCGCAGGGCCTGTAAGACAGAGTTGTTCCGCCTGGCCTTTGGCTTGGAACCAGCCTGATCCCCTCTTTCCTTTCTCCTTCTGTGTTGGAACTCCTATTTGGAGACTTCCCTGGCTTTTTTCTGGCCCACGTAGGACCAGTCTGGATAGTTGGCCTTGGTGAAGATTTGACGTTTTCTCCCCGCAAACAGTTTTTGATCTGGGTTCCCACCAAAATGAGGCTGCATTTGAAGTCGTATTTTAATCTTGTTTTTAAGTTGTATTTTAGGGACACGGGTGGCGCTGTGGTCTCAACCACAGAGCCTAGGACTTACCAATCAGAAAGTCGGCGGTTCGAATCCCGCAACGGGGTGAGCTCCCGTTGCTCAGTCCCTGCTCCTGCCAACCTAGCAGTTCGAAAGCACGTCAAGTGCAAGTAGATAAATAGGTACCGCTCCGGCGGGAAGGTAAACGGCGTTTCAGTGCGCTGCTCTGGTTCGCCAGAAGCGGCTTAGTCATGCTGGCCACATGACCCGGAAGCTGTACGCCGGCTCCCTCGGCCAATAAAGCGAGATGAGTGCCACAACCCCAGAGTCGTTCGCTACGGTCAGGGGTCCCTTTACCTTTACTAAGTTGTATTTTAATCAATTTTTTGATACCTGATGTTAGCTGCCCTGAGCCCGGTCTTTGCCAGGGTGGGCGGGGTATAAATAAATAAATACCCACCACATTCCCTATTTCAACATGAAAAGTACCGTATTTTTCACTCTATAGGACGCACTTTTCCCCCTGCAAAAATGAAGGGGAAATGTGTGTGTGTCCTATGGAGCGAATGCAGGCTCCTTGGCTTCAGCGATAGCAACGGGAAGCCTCCGAAGCGCAGAGGGAGCGCTCCCTCTGCGCTCTGGAGGCTTCAGGCAGCTATCCGCAAGCCTTCGGAGTGCAGCAGGAGTTCCCCCTACGCTCCGAAGGCTTGCGGATAGCAGCCTGAAGCCCGGGGAGCGCAGCGCCGACTCCCGCTGCGCTCCCCGGGCTTCAGGCAGCTATCCGCAAGCCTTCGGAGCATGCCCCCAGCCCCACAAGCTCTGGGAGCGGCGGCAAGGCTGTGCGCAACCTTGCCGCCGCTCCCGGACCTGTTCTGGGGGCTGGGGTCGGGGGGAATTTGGGCTTCCCCCGCCCCAGCCCTGCGGCTAAAAACGAAGCCAAGACAGCGAGTGGGATCCATCCCACTCGCTGTCTTGGCTTCTGCCAAAGCCGTGCACAGCTTCTCCCGGCTATAGAGGTTGCGCGCGGCTAAAGAGGAAGCCAAGACAACCAGCGGGATGGATCCTGCTCACTGTCTTGGCTTCTTTGCTCTTTGGGGCTGGGGGGGGGAAATAATTTTTTTTCTTTATTCCCCCCCCTAAAAATTAGGTGCACCCTATAGTCCAGTGCGCCCTATTGAGCGAAAAATATGGTACCCCTTGGTTGATCAATCCAGCCAGCCCCCCAGCTGCTGCAGCTGTTTTCTTGGTGGTGAAGCTAAACCATTCATTCGCATGTGTAAAACAAAGCAGAAATGGGATCCGTAGTATTTTATGTACCTATTGCATTTCTAGCCCACCTTTTTTCTCCAAGGAGCTGTCATGGCCCTCCTCTTCCTCATTTAATCTTCCCAGCGACCCTGCGAGGTAGGCCAGGCTGAGGGTCAGCAACCGGCCCAAGGTCGCCCAGTAAGATTCATGGCTGTGGAGGGCAGGATTTGAACCCTGGTCTCGCAGGTCCTGCTCCGACACTCTGATCCTCACAACAGCCCTGTGACGTAGGCCAGGCTGAGAGGCAGGGAATGGCCCCCAAGGTCACCCAGGGAGTAGGGGATTTGGACCCTGGTCTCTGCCAGGGCCTAGTCTGGCGCTCTAACCACTACACCACACTGCCTGCCGGTGTGTCTGAAAAGGTGGCTGCCTGCCTGTGCCAAAATATGCAGCAGCGAAGGCGCTCAGCACCCGGCAGACCCTGTCAAACTCGCTTGCAAACAGGCGTCTAATTGCCTGGGGTGGCGGCGCCTCCTTCCGCCTCTGTGCCCATCAAAGGGCCCTTTGAGGAAAGCAAAACATCCATTTTTCGCATGTCGGTCACGGCCTGCGCCTGCGGGCGTGTTGGAGAGGCAGCCGCTTTTGTTAAAACTCCAGAGCAGAATTCACGCCTGTCCTGGGCTGTGTGAGAAGCTCTAAATCCCAGAGCCTCCCAAGTTGCAGATGATCTGAAAAAGGCAGCTCCAAAGAGAAACGCAGCGTTGCAAATTATTTCATTGGGGGACAGCGGCAGTTCAGTGGTTAGAGCAACCTGCTTCGTGGGGCAGCCGGTGTAGTGTCGTGTTTAGAGGGCTGGACTTGGACCGGAGAGAGACTAGGGTTCGAATTCTCGCCCCTTGCCTGTGCAGCTCGCTGGATGTGACCTTGGGGGCCAGTCACTCCTCCCAGCCTACCTTACAGGGTCGTCGTGGGGCTTCAATAAGAGGAGGGGAGCCATGGATGTCGCCTGGAGCTTCTAGGAGAAGAAGGTGGAATAGAAAAGTAATAAACGTGGTGGATGGCAGGTTCAGCCCCCTGGGGGCGACTGGGAAAGGCTCCCCAACCCTAAACCCTGGGGAGCTGCTGCCAGCCAGTGTGGAGCTATATGGGCCCAGCAACATGTCCCATAGGCAGTGTATTTTCCTTTGATGAGCATCGAACCCAAAGCCTCCCTGTGGGGTCTGGCTTGTTAGAGATTCGGCTGGTGGCTGCCTGGCTCTCTCGTCAGCAGGTGAACAAAATGGGTAGTCCCCCCCCCCCATGCACTAGCCAACCTGAGATCTAAGATGCCCATTTCTGGCTTGCAGCCTCAAAACAGTTGCAAACTAAGAGGATTTAGCCTCTGGCTGGATGAGGGGCATGTTTCTGAAGAGCTCAGCTTCCAGTTTTCCCCATTTGGGTGGGTAATGTGCAAATTCAAGATGTTCCTCCCCCCCCCCCCAATTTTTTCCAAGATGTCTCTATCATAGAATCATAGAATCATAGAGTTGGAAGAGACCACAAGGGCCATCGAGTCCAACCCCCTGCCAAGCAGGAAACACCATCAGAGCACTCCTGACATATGGTTGTCAAGCCTCTGCTTAAAGACCTCCAAAGCAGGAGACTCCACCACACTCCTTGGCAGCAAATTCCACTGTCGAACAGCTCTTACTGTCAGGAAGTTCTTCCTAATGTTTAGGTGGAATCTTCTTTCTTGTAGTTTGGATCCATTGCTCCGTGTCCGCTTCTCTGGAGCAGCAGAAAACAACCTTTCTCCCTCCTCTATATGACATCCTTTTATATATCTGAACATGGCTATCATATCACCCCTTAACCTCCTCTTCTCCAGGCTAAACATGCCCAGCTCCCTTAGCCGTTCCTCATAAGGCATCGTTTCCAGGCCTTTGACCAGGCCTTTGACCATCGTTTCCAGGCCTTTGACCATCCCACCTCAACACAGAATCATAGAGTTGCAAGGGACCTCCAGTGGTCATCTGGCCCAACCCCCAGTTGAAGGACTCATCCCAGACCATTTGAAAGGGTTTAATCGGTGGGACGGATCCTGCACCTGGGAATGGGACGGCCTGTCCAGGAAGGGCCCTGTTCACCTGGCCCGGATCGTGGCCACTGATGGACCCCTCCCTTTTCCCACAGGGGGAGGAAATCCTGGCAGCGCTGAGGGAGGTGCCCAGCAGAGGCGTCACCTTGCGGATAGCCGTCAATCCTCCTTCCTCCCGGATGCCTTGCTCTGACCTGCAGCTGCTGGAGGAGAGCGGTGAGAGAGAGAGAGAGCGCGCCTGGATTTCAGCACGGGGGGGGGGGGCAAGGCGGGGCGGGGTGGTCCTCCTCTCTGCACCCCCCCAAAGAGACAGCCATAATAATAATAATAATAATAATAATAATAATAATAATAATAATAATAATAATAATAATAATATATTCTTTGCACCCTGCCCATCTGGCTAGGTTTCCCCAGCCACTCTGGGCGGCTTCCAACAAAATATTAAAAACACAATAAAACATCAGACATTAAAAACTTCCCTAAACAGGGCTGCCTTCAGATGTCTTCTAAAAGTCAGATACAGTGGACGCTCGGGTTGCGAACGTGATCCGTGCGGGAGGCATGTTCGCAACCTGCAGCGCCGTATCTGCGCTCGCACGGGTTGCGATTCGGCGCTTCTGCGCATGCGAAAAGCGCGATTTAGTGTTTCTGCACATGCGCGAGTGCCGAAACCCGGAAGTAACCCGTTCCGGTACTTCTGGGTTCGGCACTGTGCGCAACCCAAAAACACGCAACCTGAAGTGTCTGTGACTCGAGGTATGACTGTAGTTATTTATTTCCTTGGCATCTGATTTTAATGATGGTTCTAATGCAACTACAAAGCGGGCGGGGAGAATTCAGAAAGGAGGGACAGGAATTCAATAAGAAAAGGTGTAACAAAAGAAAACAAAAGATATATGTTTGGAGTTAGGTAATAATTGGGAGGGACGCGGGTGGCGCTGTGGGTAAAACCTCAGCGCCTAGGACTTGCCAATCGCATGGTGGCAGTTTGAATCCCCACGCCAGGGTGAGCTCCCGTCTTTCGGTCCCAGCGCCTGCCAACCTAGCAGTTCGAAAGCACCCCCGGGTGCAAGTAGATAAATAGGGACCGCTTACCAGCGGGAAGGTAAACGGCGTTCCGTGTGCTGCGCTGGTTCGCCAGATGCAGCTTGTCACACTGGCCACGTGACCCGGAAGTGTCTGCGGACAGCGCTGGCCCCGGGCCTCTAGAGTGAGATGGGCGCACAACCCTAGAGTCTGGCAAGACTGGCCCGAACGGGCAGGGGTACCTTTACCTTTACCTTAATAATTGGGAAGATTTAATAAAACCCAGAAGCAAAAGGCTTTGAATTCAGGGGCTGCTTAGCTTAGAAGATGACAGAGATGGGTAAAATTATGTAAGAGACTTTCCCCCCTCGCTTGTAATGCTAGAAAAAGGACCCCCCCTCAAGAAGGGGCTTTCTCTTGCAAGAGATTCAGGCCAGACCTACTGAAAGGGCTCAATTACTATTGGTCGCTTGCAGGGTCAGAGAGGTCCTCGCCCTGAGGAGCTTACACTCTTAAAACCAAGTGTATGGGCTGGATTTGCGGGCGAGGCTGTAAAAGGTGCTGAGAACTAGCAGCTCCCTTCCTTGTCTTGTTCCTAAACTCCTCCAGGCGCCCAGATCCGCAAAGTCAACTTCCCGGAACTGACCGGTGGGGTCCTGCACACCAAATTCTGGATCGTGGACCAGCAGCACATCTTCCTTGGCAGCGCGAACATGGACTGGCGCGCCCTCACCCAGGTGATGCCTGCGACCCTCCGGGAGGGCCTTTGTGGGGCGGGGGGCCCCCGTTCTGGCCTGTGGGACTGGGGTCAGGGTTATTCTCTTTACGGGACGGTTGGGCCTGATAGTTTCTGAGTCCACCTCTCACATCAGAAGTGGGGACTCAGGGGTTCCCCTCGGCTGCAGCAGCACCCCAGTTCCGGAATGGCTTCCCCAAGGAGGGAGAGAGGCCCACCTGGAGGCCAGCATATATATATAATAATAATAATTTATTATTTATATCCCACCCATCTGGCTGGGTTTCCCCAGCCACTCTTAGTGGCCTCCAACATTAAAAACAATACAGCATCAGACATTAAAAACTTCCCTAAACAGGGCCGCCTTCTGTTGTCTTTTAAAAGTAAAATAGTTTTTTATTGCCTTGACATCTGCTGGGAGGGCGTTCCACAGGGCGGGATTTTCTGTTCTTTATCACTTACTCTGCATTTCTTAATTATTCTTTTACTCTTAATTATCCTTAACTAATAACTCTCCTCATAGTCTTTCTTGCAATATTTCAAATAGTCCTCCTTACAGAACTTCTTGCAGTCCTGCTAGCGTAATCTGTTCATTACAGTTGCTTTTCAAATAGTTCATGTATTTAGTCTTCTAAGAATCTCTGGTCCCGCAGATTTCGAATCCTTTCGTTAATTTATCCAATTCTGCATAGTCCATTAACTTCATCCACCATTCTTCTTTTGTCGGTAATTCTTCTTGCTTCCATTTTCCCTCTGGGGCTGATTTCAGGTTTCCCGGGTGCTTCTCCCCATAGATCCTGCAGCCTGCATCAACTGCGCCTGGGCTGTATCCTGCGGCCTCCTGCTAACCTCTCCCTTTCTTGGCCCGCAGGTGAAGGAGCTGGGCATGGCTATCTACAACTGCAGCTGCCTGGCCCAGGACTTGGGGAAGATGTTCGAAGCCTACTGGGCTCTGGGTCTGTCCAACGCCACCATCCCGTCGCCCTGGCCGGCCAATTACTCCACCTCCTATAACAAGGAGACGCCGCTGGAGCTGGAGCTGAACGGCACGGAGGCCGGGGTCTACTTCTCGGTGAGATGGGAGGGCGGGGGCCCCCTCTGCTCCAGTCTCTGCTGGCATCCTTGGTGCTCAGATGCCGGGGGCCGACTCGGGGGGGTTCCTTTACGATACAATATGATACGATACGATACCTTTATTGTCATTGTCCCATACAGAACAATGAAATTGAAAAATCTACATAAGACATTCAAAAACCCCTAAAAACTCTGAAACCCTATTTTAAAATACAATATACTCCTATAGAGACTCCTTATACTACGTTTAAAACCAGAATTGCATTTGGGTAGAAACTGTTTCTCAGGCGGCTAGTCCTAGTCTTTATAACCCTGAAGCTGAAGGCAGAAGCTGAAAGGGATCATTTCCGGGGTGCACACTATCTAATAATCATCATCATCATCATCATCATCATAATCATAATAAATTTATTATTTATACCCCGCCCATCTGGCTGGGCTTCCCCAGCCACTCTGGGCGGCTTCCAAAAAAAATTAAATATTAAAATCCTGTGCTATCTCTGCAGCTTTCTTATGACACCTGGAAGCGTAGATTTGATCCAAGGTGGGAAGAGTGCACCCAATTCTTCTCTCCGCAGTCTTTACAACCCTGGACAGCATTGTTTTTTCCCTGGCCGTGCAGCTCCCAAACCACACACACAGACCATAAGTTAATACACCAGTACAATGGTACAATGGTAAAATGCCATCAACAGGTCCTTTGAGAGCTTGTTTTTCTGGAGGATTCTCAGAAAATATAACCTCTGCTGTGCTCTCTTCATCAGGTCTTTGCTGTTTTCTCCTTTAACTGTTTGGTTCCGTAAAACAATTTTTTATTATTTCTGAGCAACTGACATTTATCGGGTTGCAGCTAAACCTATGGATTCTACCTCCATTTGCTGGCCATTTGTTCCTTACCCAACAGGAAAGTCACAGGGGTGGCAAGTCCCTATGAAATGTGGCTTTATTTGGCGTTCATAACATTTGGTTTGCGCTCTTTCTGTGTCAGGTTTTTGCCGTAGCAAATAATTCAGTCATTGGTCTCTAAAGAACACACTTTATTTCACAAAGTAACGGCATTGACCCCTGGTAAGGTTTTTCCGGTGCCTTCAACCATTTATTTCATATTTCCTCCTGGATTGTTACTTTAACTCACGGGTAGGCAAACTAAGGCCCGGGGGCCGGATCCGGCCTAATCGCCTTCTCAATCCGGCCCATGAATGGTCCAAGAATCAGCGTGTTTTTACATGAGTAGAATGTGTGCTTTTATTTAAAATGCATCTCTGGGTTATTTGTGGGGCCTGCCTGGTGTTTTTACATGAGTAGAATGTGTGCTTTTATTTAAAATGCATCTCTGGGTTATTTGTGGGGCCTGCCTGGTGTTTTTACATGAGTAGAATGTGTGCTTTTATTTAAAATGCATCTCTGGGTTATTTGTGGGGCATAGGAATTCGTTCATCCCCCCCCCCAATATAGCCCAGCTCCCCACAAGGTCTAAGGGACAGTGGACCAGCCCCCTGCTGAAAAAGTTTGCTGACCCCTGCGTTTAACTCCATAGCAAAGTCCTGAAGATTCAATAAAAATTTGAAAACCTCATTCTGGAAAAAACCCTGCCTAGGCAGCCCAGAATGTCGACCGTGTGCCTGACTTTTGGGTGCCCGTCCTTCTCCTCCTTTCCTGAGTCTCTTTTCCCTCTGCCTGCCTCCAGAGTGCTCCCCCTGCGCTGTGCGCCACAGGGCGGACAGAGGACCTCCAGTCCCTGGTGAGCATCATTGATGACGCCAATGAGTTTGTTCACATTGAGGTGATGAGCTACCTGCCCACCATGGAGTTCTCGCACCCCAAGAGGTAAGTGTGCAGCTGATGGGGCCGCGGGGCAGCTCTTCTCCCTCCCCTCCCTTGGCTGTGGGAAGGATAAGCTTTACAAACCAAGCAGCACCGGCCAGGAAGCCGTTGCAGAGGCTCCTGCTGATGCAGCAGGGCTTCTCCTTCCACTTGCCTCCCCCAAATCCACTCTGGGAAAGAGCCAGAATATGGGCAGAAAAGAATCGTACAGTTGGGTGGCCAGGGAAAGGGAAAGGGACCCCTGACCATTAGGTCCAGTCGTGGCCGACTCTGGGGTTGCAGCGCTCATCTCGCTTTATTGGCTGAGGGAGCCAGCGTACAGCTTCCGGCTCATGTGGCCAGCATGACTAAGCCGCTTCTGGCGAACCAGAGCAGCGCACGGAAACGCCGTTTACCTTCGCGCCAGAGGCGGTACCTATTTATCTACCTGCACTTTGACGTGCTTTCAAACTGCTAGGTTGGCAGGAGCTGGGAATGAGCAATGGGAGCTCACCCCATCACAGGGATTCGAACCACCGACCTTCTGATCGGCAAGCCCTAGGCTCTGTGGTTTAACCCACAGCACCACCCACGTCCCTTCTGGCACCATAGCACCTCTCAATATCCATCTTATGCTGTCCCCGTTCGAGGGGCGCTAGAGTGGGTGGCGGGCTGCCCCACGTCAGAGGTGGCAATGCAGGATTTGGCCCCGACGCTCTTGCTTCCTTCTTCCCGCTCAGGTTCTGGCCAGTGATTGATGACCACTTGCGGAAGGTGGCTTACGAGAGGAGAGTCCGTGTGCGACTGCTGGTCGGATGCTGGAGGCACTCCAAGGCCAACATGTTCCCCTTCCTGCGCTCCCTGGCTGCCATGCACGACGTCCGCACCCACTACAACATGGAAGTGGTAAGGACACCCCCGATGCCTGGGTCGGGGCTCCCCAGCCCAGGAAGACTGGGCTCCAGGGCAGTCTTAAGCATATCCGGCACCGTGGTGCAAAGATCTCTCTGGCGCCCCCCCATTTCCCAGAGTTGTTGACCTTTTCCCAAGCCTCTTTGGGGATCGCTCCTCCTGCGTAGGCTTGGGAAGGAAGCTTCACATCTGCCAGCCATATAGTTGGCGGGGCGCAGCTTCCATCCCAAGCCTCCGCGGGAGGAGATAGATAGATAAAAACTTTATTCGCACTAGCCCAATGGCCATAGCAACAATAAAACATTACAGTATACGCAGAAAGGGAGATTTGATATAAGAGCACAATTAAAAGTCCTGAATCAGCCATCAGTTAGTGGCCCTTATTCTGACTGCCCCTGCTATGAACCCTTCAACCTTTGCTGTTATCTGCTCATTTTGATCTGATAGAAGAAAGGACGTTGTGGCAGTGCTTGAGCGCCCTGAGATGGTTAGTACGAGTGGGGTGATGATCTCGTTCCTCAGGTCTTTGTAGAGAGCGCAAGACAGGAGGACGTGTGCCGCTGTTTCGGTGCTGCCATCTCCACAGGGGCAAAGACGTTTCTCAGGTGGGATCTTTTGGAATCGACCCTCGAGTACCGCAGATGGCAAAACATCCAGTCTTGCAAGTGTGAAAGCACGTCTGTATTTTGGGATAATAAGTTTGTGCAGATATGGGGCCAGAGAATCAAAATGGAGAGGTGGAAAATGAACATACCAATGGCAGAATTTCCTTATAGTGGCCGGGTTGTTCTGATGCTCAATATCGTTGACCAATTAGACTGTTTGCTTTAGTAGGGCCCATAGTGAGTAGGTGTTGTGGGGATAGGCCACAAGAGTGAAGTTTTTGATAGACGGTTTTAAGGCAGGCACCTTTATGGGAGTCTTGAAGCACTAGGGATAGCAAACCGGGGGGGGGGGGTGAGTTTAGGCAGAGCCAGAAGTTAAGAGTTCTTTGCGTTTGGGACGCATGGCGGTACAGGAAAAAAATCTGCCTTAGAAAATTTAATTGAACAGCTTCCAAAGTGCTAAGGTGGTTACCAGCACAAATCTGAGCCCTGTATTTTGTGTTTTGCTAGGGGTTTAGCTTGGAAGACTTCTAGGGCTGATGGTATATGTTTGCCACCCTTTGTATGGAAAAAGCGAGTCTTGGCACTTTGGGATGCTTTTCTTTTGCACATTTTTGGTGTGTTCCGCATGACCCCATGGACTGGAAGATAAGGCCCAAAATATTTGAAAGCTTTGACCTGTTCGATTGGCTGATTGTCCATACGCCAACCGTGGGGCCTATATTTTCTTGGGAAAACCATAACTTTGGTTTTCTGATAGTTTACAACCAGGTGTTCTCTCTGGCAATACACTGAGAATTCTCTTATCAGTCTTTTTAGGCCTATTTTTGTGTGGGATAAGAGGACCGCATCATCAGTATATAATAGTACAGTGGTGCCTCGCAAGACGAAATTAATCCGTTCCGCGAGTCTCTTCGTCTTGCGGTTTTTTCGTCTTGCGAAGCACGGCTATTAGCGGCTTAGCGGCTATTAACGGCTTAGCGGCTATTAAAGGCTTAGCGGCTTTAAGAAAAAGGAAACAAACTCGCAAGAACTCGCAAGACATTTCGTCTTGCGAAGCAAGCCCATAGGGAAATTTGTCTTGCGGAACGACTCAAAAAACGGAAAACTCTTTCGTCTAGAGAGTTTTTCGTCTTGCGAGGCATTCGTCTTGCGGGGCACCACTGTACAGAGATTGGTTTTGAGGCCAGTTTAGGGACATGGAACTCTGGAGATGTTAGACACTGGACCATGTCGTTTAGGTATAGGTTAAAGAGAGCGATCCTCACAGAGGCTTGGGAGGCAAAGCTGCACGCCCGCCAGCCATATTGTTGATGGGGCACAGCTGGCGGGCGTGCAGGGAAAGGGGAAGCCGCCGGCAAAGCTACGCAGCTCCCCCACTCGCTAGGGCGCCCCTGAGAGGCCAGCGCCCTGGTGTGACGCACCACTAAGCCCAATGGGAAAGACGGCTCTGCCAGGCTCCCTGGAGAGCCATTTCCGCTTGCCTCCCAGCTGCCTCCTCTGCGTGCCAAGCACCCCCACCTCTTCCACACGCACCCCAGTTTTGTCTTTCTCCCCTTTTGTCTTTCTCGCCAGAGGCTCTTTGTGGTCCCAGCCAATGAGTCGCAGGCCAAGATCCCCTACGCCAGAGTCAACCACAGCAAGTTCATGGTGACGGACAAGGTGGCTTATATTGGTGAGTAGTTTGAGGGGCGGGGGCAGTCGTAAAGGGGAGGCCAGTTGAGGCAGAAAGCTTTGCCTGGGACTAAGGTAAAGGTAAAGGGACCCCTGACCATTAGGTCCAGTCGTGACCGACTCTGGGGTTGCGGCGCTCATCTTGCTTTATTGGCCGAGGGAGCCGGCGTACAGCTTCCGGGTCATGTGGCCAGCATGACTAAGCCGCTTCTGGCGAACCAGCGCAGTGCACGGAAACGCCATTTACCTTCCCGCCGGAGTGGTACCTATTTATCTACTTGCACTTTGATGTGCTTTTGAACTGCTAGGTTGGCAGGAGCTCACCGCAACGGGGATTCAAAGCTCACCCCGTCGCGGGGATTCAAACTGCTGACCTTCTGATCGGCAAGTCCTAGGCTCTGTGGTTTAACCCACAGCGCCACCCTGCATCCATTAGTTGCCGGGGACTAGCAGGGGCGAAAACTGTCCAGCAATGGGAGAGGGAGAGAAGCAGCCATAAGGGGGAGAACAGAAGAGACTAAGGGGAGTTCATTGGAGGCCCACCTCATCCAGATGCCTTTTGGGGAAACTCGGAAACAGGATCCGAGCCTAATAGCTCTCTCCCCTCCTGTGGTTTCCAGCGGCTGTTGTTCACGGAACACTGCTGCCTCCGACCGGCTAGGAGCCATCAATAACCCTCTCCACCTCCATGAATTGGTCCCATCCTCTTTTAAAGCTATTCACCTTGGTGGCCATCTCTGCCTCCTGTGGCAGGGAGTTCCACAGTTTAACTCCGTGCTGCTTGAAGGTGGACTTTTCTGTTATCAGTGCTGAATCTCCCAACCTTCAGCTTCAGGGACTGTCCACAAGTTCTATTGTGAGGAAGAAAAAACGTCTCTCTCGCCACTTCCTCTCTGCCATGCATATATATTTTTTAATAAACCTTTATCACGTCGCCTCTTCCTCGCCTTTTCAGTAAAACTGAAAAGCTCCAAGCGCGGCACCCTTTCCTGCTTCACCCCTTCGATCATTAGGGCAGCCTTTTCCTGAACCTTTCCCAACGCTGTAATATCCATTTTGAGACCAGAATTGTAGATGAGCAGCCGTCAATAGGCTCCTTCTCCACCACAAATTTGCCTAGCCCACCTGGTCCAGCACCCTCTTCTCACGGTGGCGGAACAATTGATTGTGGGAAACCAGCACTCAGGGTTCGAACACAGAGCTCTCCCCCCTTCCTGTGGCTTCCAGCAGCTGGGATTCAGAAGCACGGCTGCCTCCCGCCGCGAACGCCATTGTCATCAAGCTTTGTTGCAGAACGCAGGACTCTTAAGCGTTTATTTTCCCTTCCTTTCCGGCAGGAACATCCAACTGGTCCGGGGACTACTTCCTTCGCACGGCGGGGTCCGCTCTGGTAGTGAACCAGAGCCACGTGGGGGCCGGAGAACAGCTCACGGTTCGCGATCAGCTGCAGGCGGTGTTTGAGCGGGACTGGAACTCCAGATACAGCCAGGAGCTGAGCTTGCCGGGCCAGTGGGAGCAGTTGTGCGGCACCTACTAGCCAAAGGGACACCCCCTCTGCCCGTCCCCAGCTGGAGAGGGGCTGCGAGCACCAGCCCCCTGTCGGAGGCCGGTGGAGGGGCTTCCCCAGAGGCAGGGGGTCTCCCTGGGGAACTTTGCGGGACCCCTGCTCTCCAGCCGAGTGAACCAGGGGGGTACCCAAGGCCTCCTTGGGGGCAAATGTCTGGGGTAAGAGAAACTCCTGCAAGGGAACAATTCAGCCTGACCGAAGGATTGGGGGTGGGTGGGGGGTTTGCCATGCGCAAACGACCAAGTGACGTGTGCAAAGGGAGCTTTTGGCGCATGCAAATTGTGGGTAAAAAGTCACTGTTCCGAACTGGGAAGCAAAAGGGTTTTGCGTGGGTGGGAGGATAGGTGTAGAGAAGAGGGCGTTTAGCAGTTAGGGGGAAAGGGGACGTGGGTTTAAGGAGACGAAAATGGAAAAGGCTTCCTGGCCAAAAAGATCCCTCGCGGAGGAATCTCCTCCTCCTGTTCAGCAGAAGTGTGAAGTATCGCGAGAGAGGAGGTGTTGCAGACGATGTGCCGCTCAGAAGCTCCCAAGTCGGGTGGGACCTGTCTGAACCTGTGGAGAGCCTCTGCCAGTCCGTGTAGGCTGTGCTAAGCTAGATGGGCCAAGCAGTCCGACTTGGCGCTCCCTGTTCTGCCTTGTTTCTCTGCCATAAATGCCTTTCAGAGAGGACCACACACACCAAGCAACTAACCAGCTTCTGTCGCTGCCGAAATTGCCACTGTCCTTCCTTGACCAGTGGCTCTTAGGCACTCAGCACTCAAAGAGTGCTGGCAATGAGAACTGTAGACTCATAGCGGTGGAAGGGATACCCAAAGGTCCACTAGACCAACCCCCAGCTGCAATACAGGAATCCCAGCTGAAGCATCCCTGGCAGGGATCCATCCAACCTCTGCTTAGAAACCTCCGAGGGAGGAGATTCTACCTCCTTCCGAGGGAGACTCCTCCACTGTCACACAACTCTTGCCGTCAGAAAATTCCTCCTGGTGTTTAGTCAGAATAATAATAATAATAATAATAATAATAATAATAATAATAATAAAAATTATTTATATCCTGCCCTCCCCAGCCAAAGCCGGGCTCAGAGCGTCTAACAACAGTAAAAATAGCACAATTTACATAAAATCACAGTCAATTAATTGAAATTCATTCTAAAATCAGTTCAGAATCAAATTAATGGCAACCATTGGGCTAGAGTTCTATGAGGATTACAGAAGGAGAGAGGGGGTCAGACTGCGCCTTGACCAAAGGCCTGGTGGAACAGCTCCGTCTTGCAGGCCCTGCGGAAAGATGTCAAGTCCCGCAGGGCCCTAGTCTCTTGTGAAAGAGCGTTCCACCAGATTGGGGCCACGGCTGAAAAAGCCCTGGCTCTGGTTGTGGCCAGCCTAACCTCCCTGTGGCCTGGGACCTCCAAGATGTTTTTATTTGAAGACCGTAAGGTCCTCCGCGGGGCATACCAGGAGAGGCCGTCCCGTAGGTACGAGGGTCCTAGGCTGTATAGGGCTTTAAAGGTTAAAACCAGCACCTTAAACCTGATCCTGTACTCCACCGGGAGCCAGTGCAGCTGGTATAGCACCGGGTGAATGTGATCCTGCGGCGACGACCCCGTAAGGAGCCTCGCCACGGCATTCTGCACCCGCTGGAGTTCCTGGGTCAATCTCCCTTCTTGTAACTTGAAGCTATGAGTTCGAGTTCTACCCTCCAGAAAAAAACGGCCTGCTCCATCTCCTATGGCAGCCCATTTTAATCCATCTGGGTCAGCAAAGAGCAGTAAAGAAGAGCAGCAGCTACCTCTGTCCTCTCGAACCAAGATGTGTCTTCCTTTGTCATAATCCAGACTAGGAGCATTGGCAGTTTATAGGGTGAACCTTCCAGGCCCATAGATTCTGGTAGGGATGGACTCATACCATTTTCTCCCAGGCCAAACATTTATTGCATCAACAAGAAGTGGGGAGTCCTAGAACTGTAGAATTAGAAGGGACCCCACTAGTCCAACCCCAGACTCCCTGCGCCCTCTGGGTGTGATTTCAAGGGCATTATTCTCCCATGGTCTCCGTAGAGGGATCCATCCTGCAAGGGGTCTTGCCATGCGGCTTAGGGACTGTCAACCGGGCAATGGGGTGGTAGCCTGGATTTTTGTTGTCCTCAGCACAGACCTTTGGTCAATTAAAGGATAATTTTCCAATTTGCTGTGGTCTCGTGATTGCTGTGTGACCGGCTGGAAGGCAAAGGGCACACACAACGCTGCCGCCGTTGTGCTCATGAAGAAGAAGAATATCTTTTGCATGATCTGCTGCAAATGCTTCCCGCGGTAGTAATTTCCCTTATACAGTGGTACCTCGGGTTAAGTACTTAATTTGTTCTGGAGGTCCGTTCTTAACCTGAAACTGTTCTTAACCTGAAGCACCACTTTAGCTAATGGGGCCTCCTGCTGCCGCCAGGCCGGCGGAGCACAATTTCTGTTCTCATCCTGAAGCAAAGTTCTTAACCTGAGGTAGTATTTCTGGGTTAGCTGAGTCTAACCTGAAGCGTCTGTAACCTGAAGCATCTGTAACCCGAGGTACCACTGTACTGTATCGCATGGCCAGGGGGAGTTGAGAGAGGTGCTCTCTCCACCTCAACGCAATGCACTTCCACCCTGTTGCAGATAATAATAATAATAATAATAATAATAATAATAATAATAATAATTTATATCCCGCCCATCTGGCTGGGCCTCCCCAGGCACTCTGGGCGGCTTCCAACAAAACATTAAAATACAGTGGTCTGTTAAACATTAAAAGCTTCCCTAAACAGGGCTGCCTTCAGATGTGTAAAAGTCTGGTAGTTGTTCTTCTCTTTGACATCTGGTGGGAGGGTGTTCCACAGGGCGGGTGCCACCACCGAGAAGGCCCTCTGCCTGGTTGCCTGTAACTTGGCTTCTCACAGGGAGGAACTGCCAGAAGGCCCTTGGCGCTGGACCTCAGTGTCCAGGCAGAACGATGGGGGTGGAGACGCTCCTTCAGATATACTGGGCTAAGGCCGTTTAGGGCTTTAAAGGTTAGCACCAACACTTTGAATTGTGCTTGGAAATGTATTAGGATGGGAAACGTATTAGATTAGGATGTGGGGGGGGGCTTTAGCTGGTGGTGTACAATAGTGGTCTGGGGGGTCAGATCCTCCCCCTGCAGCCTCCAGTGCCCTAAATTGGAGGCACCGGGTGCTGCAGAGCAAAACTTTGAGGAGGCCCGCTGAAAAGGAAAGAGAACTGGGTGCAAGTTCTGTTCTCTACAAAATGGAACTTCACGCTGAAAGCACGCCTTGAGTCGCTCATCCAATCACAGAGTCGGAAGCGGTCCCCGGGGGTCATCTAGTCCAACCCTCTGGCGGTGCTGACATCGGAGTGCTTCAAAATCGGCGGATCTAACGGGAAAGCAACACCTGGAGATCTGCACCCGTTGTTGCAGCGCGTGCCTCGTGATCGCTATTGCGTCATCATAGGATTATTGCCCAACCTTAGAAGGGGTGAGAGGGGGGTTTCTGGAGGGCTGGACCAGGACCTGGCAGACGAAGGTTCGAATCCCGGGTGTGACTCTGGCGGCCAATGACTGCCTTCTCTCGGCCTGACCTACCCTGCAGGGTTGTTGTTGTGGGAGGGAGGGGTTGTGGGAGGAGGAGGAGGAGGAGGACGCAGATACGCGAAGCCGGCCAGAAGCAGCAACCATAATAATAATAATAATAATAATAATAATAATAATAATAATTTATTATTTATACCCCGCCCATCTGGCTGGGTTTCCCCAGCCACTCTGGGCGGCTTCCAACAAAACACTAAAATACAATAACCTATTAAACATTAAAACATTCAAAGCTTCCCTAAACAAAAGCAAGCCGCGCTTCCCTCCGGCCGCCAGGGGCCGCTGGCGCGTTCCCTCGAGCCCCTCTAGGAGAGGCGGGCGGGCGAGGCTTCCGGTCTCTGTGGCCTCCCGGGCCGGAAGCGAGCGCGAGGAGGGCGGGAGGGAGAGAGACTTCCTCCGCCGGTCGCCCGGGAGCCGAGAGGAGCCTCCGAGGCCGGTGAGGGAGGGGAAAGAGGGGGAGGGACCCCCCCACGGAGGGGCACGAGGTCCGGGTCTTCTCTCCCCCCCCCACTCCCCGAGAGTGAAGTTCTCCCCGTTGGAGTTCTCCTCGTCCCGTGAGGGGGGGGGGCAGAGAGGGGTGGGGGGGGGAAGGGCAGAGAGGGACCTGGGGGAGGCCTTCCCCCCCCGGGACCCTCAAGAAGCGCAGTCCGGCCGAGGAGCCAGAAAGGGGGCGTTTTCCATGGGGAGGGGGGAGAAGAAGAAGAATCCTCTCGCCCCCCCCCCGCGCTGTCTTGAAAGGGCCCTCGAGGAGACCCCAGTGGGGCGAGGGGGGGGCCTCCCCTGTCAAACTGCCTCTTTCCCCGGCCCCTGACTCTCCTGCGCCCCCGTCTCCAGCCCCCTTCGACTCCCTGGGGCTGAGGTCCCTTCTCCCCGCCCAATGAGATATTTGTTTAGGGAACTTTTTGAATGTTTGACTTTGTATTGTGCTTTTAATTTTCTGTTGGGGGCTGCCCAGAGTGCCTAGGGAAACCCAGACAGATGGGCGGGGTATAAATGAAATTATTATTATTATTATGTGGAAAACAGGAGTACCTGCCTGACGTGCTCTGGTCCATGGGGTCACGAAGAATCAGACATGACTAAACAATTATTATTATTATTATTATTATTATAGGATGGTGCCCTGCCCCAGTTGATGGGCATCGCCATTCAAATAGTATGGGTGAACCTCGCCGTGCCATCAGTTGTGCAGGGAGGGGCTGACCCATTCCTCCCCCAATATTTTCTTCACGTTGGCACCCCTGGCAGCAGGGCACCGGTGTGGGTCCAAGGCGGCTGTCCTGGGTGTGTGTTGCTGCTGCCTATTCTCGCTCCCTGAGTCCTGCCCTTGGAATGCCGCTGGGCGGCCTCAGCAGCTTAACTTGGGGTGTTGCCTTCCCTGCAGGTCTCCTCCGGCTGACCGGGCGTCACGGCCCTTGGCTTGGCACCATGGTGTCTGTCATGATGGGTAAGTCTGCCTGACACCCCCCCCTTTAACCCCGGTATCTCTTTGGAAGAGAGCCAGAGCAAAGCCAAACGCAAGAGGGGCTTGAGGGAGGGAGGGAAGGGGTAGCGGCAGAAGCAGGGCAGCCAAATCCAAGAGCCTCTCCCATTGTTCTGTGCAAGGCGCCTGGCTGAAGCCCAGATGGGTGGCAGCAGCTGCAAATGTGGAGAATGCGAGTCTGAGGCCAGCTGGGAAGAGGCGCTGGAGGGACGGCTTTGGGGGGTGAAACAGAGACCAGGGAGATAAGCGCACAAGAATAGCCTGCTGTATCAGGACAGTGGCTCTTTGGTCCAGCGCCCTGTTTTCACAGCGGCCGACCAGATGCCCATTCTGGGAATCCTACAAGCAGGATCCACGCACAAGAGCACTTTCTCTCCTCCTGTCGCTTTGCTCAGGTACTGGTTGCTTCTGACATAATCTTCTCTGTCTTTCAGCAACGTCAGAGTGGATTCAGTTCTTCAAAGAAGCTGGGATCCCCCCGGGGCCTGCTGTCAACTACGCCGTCATGTTTGTGGATAATAGGTGAGGCTGTTGAGAGATGGAGCCTCTGTGGAACATCTCGCTCTTCTCTTTCCTGTGCTTCTCCTGCAGTCTGGGAGAGTGGGACTTCAGGAGCTCACGTGCAAGGGCATCTGTGATCCCTAGAAAGTGTCTCATTGATCCCACTGTAGGGGAGACCTGCCAGTCCTGCTTTCTATATAATGTGGGGTGGGAGGTGGGGATCTGTGTTCAGTGGCAGATGCTAAAGCCACCAGCTGCTTTTTTTAAACCTCCCAGCAGACGTCCAAAAAAAGAGTTACATGGCTGAAAGGATCTCTTGCGTAGAGTTTGTGGAAGAGTTTAGGTCAGGAACATTGCATCGGCCTGACGTATTGGCTTGTTTAAATCTTAAAATACCAAATAGCATGAATTATGTGGCCCAAAAATATTTTTCAAATGTTTACCTCTCTGAGAAAAACAAAACAATATATTCTTTGTTTCTCGGAACAAAGGCCAAGTATTTTTAATTCCACTTGCAGTACCACACCCTACAGAATACCACAGGGCAGTGACCCTCATATGGGCTTTTCCTCCTATTGCCCTCATGTTACGGAATGCCTTTCTGTCCCCCAATATATGAAGCAGCAACACCAGTTCCTTCAGGCTTTCCCCCTCAGATTTCCCTTAAGATTGAACCCTGCCTTCATTTGTTTAAATTCCCCAAACTTTATAAATCTATGTATGGGTGAGTGGCATTGGAGCAAATGGATATCTGAAATGTCATTATTTCTGAAGCCTTGTGAAAAAAGGCAGATGACCAGTTCCCCATTGCAATGGGGAGTTTTTCTGTCCATTCCTTCCAGTGGTGGCTGGAGGAGTTTCCTTGTGCCAGACTGTTGCACACCCTGTTCGCAGAGTGCTTGTAGATTGCACAGGTGGGGTATGGCACGTGACTCACCACCACAGACCTTGTCGCCTGCAGGATCCAGAAGAACATGCTGATGGACCTCAACAAGGAGATCATGAACGAGCTGGGCATCACCATCGTCGGAGATATCATTGCCATCCTCAAACATGCCAAAGTCGTGTACAGGCAGGTGGGTTCTCCCAGGAAGCGGCTAACAATTTCTCCCACATGCTTTGCATTAAATGGCTATGATGTTGGCTTCTAGCTGGCTGGTAGCCCTCTGGCATTCTGGGTGGGATCTTTGGATCTACAACAGTGTTTGAAGTTCGCCAGGTGCATTTTGCACCTGGCTATTGGCCACTTGCACCCAAGTGAAGATGCCTGGGCGCCAGGATGGTGCCTGGTGTCTCCACCACCTGGTGGTGCATGCCTGGGGCTCCTGGGGTCTGGACTGTTTTCACACACTAGCACAGGGGTCGGCAAAGTTTATGTGGCTTGGGCCGGTTCACGGTCCCGCAGACACTGCGGTGAGCCGGAGTGTGTGTGCACGCACGCATGCGCAAACGCTGTTTCTGGTGCGGAGGAGGTATGCACAGCTTCCTACAGCCAATGGGAAACCGGCCAGTGTTGCTGAAGGCGGTCCCCACTCTGCTTCGTGCTGGTTAAGTGCGGTGCACAGGAGCCGACTGAGTAGGCAGCGGGCGTCCATGGACCGGTTAAACGACCCCCATATGGGCCTTAGGTTGCCTACCCCTGCACTAGCAGCACATCCTGTAGGATTCTGTCCATTATATTTTATTTGCACAATCTAAACGAATTTTGGAAACCAAAAAGTCGCATGGAAAAATACGACTTTTGAGCCACCTGGCCCCAAAATGGCAACTAGGCATTCTGTTTTAGCAACTGTAGCCCCGGTTTAAGGAGCCATTAGCACCTGGCTTGTGTATGTGAGTTTTTAACGTTGGTCTACAAGGTTTTTTTTTGTGTGGAGTGGAATCTAGCAGTAAAACTTCAACCTGGAAGGCTATGGTTGCAAGCTAGGGGGCTGCCATGAGCAACCAGAGATTGTGTGGGCTACACGATAGCCTTTGCCCAGTGCAGGGGAGAATTCTAGAATTGTAGAGTTGGAAGGGACCCCTGAGGGTCATCCATTCCAACCCCTTGCAGTGCAGGGATCACAACTCTGGTATCCCTGACAGGTGGACATCGTCACACAGCTCTTGCCATCAGGGGATGTGCAAGGATTTCAGTGCTCTTTGCTGATACCTCTTGGGAAGTGAAGCAAAGGACCTGAGCTGCCCAGTGGACCCTGCTTAAGGGTCTGGAAGCCCCATCACACCCTGCATGACTCCCAGGCCAGATCTGTAGGTGAAGACCTGCAGTGCTCCACTCCTCTCCTTGCACCAGCATCCAGGACCAGAAGGGGTTCTTTTTTGGGGGGAGGGGGCATGCCTGAACCTGGCGCATTTGTCGAGAGACCGTGCCTTTGCTAGGGGAACCATCTCCACCTGCACCTCACTATTGCATTGTGGTGTTCCCTGTGTCCCTAGGAAATGTGCAAGGCTGCTACAGAATCGGTGGCTTCCAGCCAACCCACCCTGCAGTCTGAACTCCGCCGGAATGCCAACAGCGGTGAGTAACACAAGTGGCTGGCTGCAGATGGAGGAGGCGGCCAGGCCTTTCCTCCGCTCTCGGTCTCTGTCTCTCCCTCCTCCGTCTCCCTGCCAAGGCCCCTGCTCTTCCCACTGCGTGAAGTTGGCTGCTCCTTTCTGACCACCCCAGGATGCTAATAACGTCCCTTCATATCAAGCAACATCAGCCCCACTGGTCCGTGTAGTGTGGTTCTCCTGGACCTTTCAGTTTGCTCCCTGGGTCTTTTGGGTGATGTTGCTCAGACAGGGCAGGTCCTTCCTTGGATGCCCCTTCCTCCATTCTGTGCGGCTGTGTATTTTGATCATGGCTGTAGCTGGAAGAAGCTCACTGGCTACCCGGGATCAGACCTTTTGGAGTCAGTGTGGTGTAGTGGTTAAGAGCGGTGGACTCGTAATCTGGTGAACCGGGTTCGCTTCTCCGCTCCTCCACATGCAGCTGCTGGGTGACCTTGGGCCAGTCACACTTCTCTGAAGTCTCTCAGCCCCACTCACCTCACAGAGTGTTTGTTGTGGGGCAGGAAGGGAAAGGAGATTGTTAGCTGCTTTGAGACCCCTTCGGGTAGTGATAAAGCGGGATATCAAATCCAAACTCCTCCTCCTGCTCTTCCTCCTCCTCCTCCTCCCCTTCTTCTTCTTCTTCTTCTTCTTCTTCTTCTGAGCTACGAAGCTTCCCCTCCCCTTACAGCCAAGCTGCTGTCCTTTCATCTCGAATAAAAACATTTTTGTTCTTTCGCGTATTTTCAAACAGTTCTTAGCTCTTGCCGCTGTTGCAAGTCCTGTTTTCAATTACGTGTTGCTGGTTGCTTTAAATATATGTGCGTTATGGAAAGGCATGATAATTTTAAAATAAATAAAAACAACAAATTAAAATTAAAAAAATTAGGTACCCTTCCCCACCCTCATGTGCCACTCTGCTTATGCTTCACTGGCTCCTGCTTGCAGTTGAACTGCTCCAGCTGACGTCCTGCCTGCCCTGCAGTGACATCCCATAATACGTCTGGCTGTGGGCATGGGTCTCACTCTGCAGGAAAAACTCAGGCAGTGGGAGAGGATTCCATCGCCACCTCTTCCGGGCTAAGCAGTTCCATGGAGGAGAAAGCCTTATCTGAGAGCTCCCCAAATCCTGTTCCAGGGTGTATCTTTTAAACCACCCCTCTGGCATTCCTGCTATTACTGGGCTCTCATTTGCCCTGTCAACATGGGCACTGGGCAAAAAACCTTCCATATGGTGTTGGGAAGGCAGAAACAGCAGCCAGTTTTAAACCTCCTAAAGACACGTCTATTTAAGCAGCCATTCCGTATAGTTAAAGTTATGGTTTTCCCAGTAGTGATGTATGGAAGTGAGAGCTGGACCATATAGAAGGCTGATCGCCAAAGAATTGATGCTTTTGAATTATGGTGCTGGAAGAGACTCTTGAGAGTCCCATGGACTGCAAGAAGATCCAACCTCTCCATTCTGAAGGAAATCAGCCCTGAGTGCTCACTGGAAGGACAGATCCTGAAGCTGAGGCTCCAAGACTCTGGCCACCTCATGAGAAGAGAAGACTCCCTGGAAAAGACCCTGATGCTGGGAAAGATGGAGGGCACAAGGAGAAGGGGACGATGGAGGACGAGATGGCGGGACAGTGTTCTCGAAGCTACCAGCATGAGTTTGAGCAAACTGCGGGAGGCAGTGGAAGACAGGAGTGTCTGGCGTGCTCTGGTTCATGGGGGTCATGAAGAGTCGGACACGGCTAAACGACTAAACAACAACAACCCGAGCTTATAAGATCCATCACACAGCTTCATTATTTCATTATTTATTGATATTTATCTGAATGTTTTGTTGAAGGCTTCTCTGCTTTTACTGATGTGTTTCTTTGTGTTTTTGGTTTTAAACGTTGTATATCCCCTCCCCCCCCAACTATCTTTCGGTGTTATACATAAAACCGCTGAAGGATTTCGGCACATAAAGTGGTGTGTAACTTTGATGTTCCTGCAGCTGCCACCCGGATGATCGCAAACAGCTTGAGCCGAGACTCCCCACCTTCCACCCCGGTCCGAAGACCCGACACCAGCACCTCCAAAATCTCCATCACGGTCTCCAATAAAATGGCAGCAAAGAATGCCAAAGCAGGTAGGTTTTTTGGAATCTGCAAAAATGAAGCCTTTGGGGAAATGTGGAGAAAAATCTGTTTCAAAATTCTTCCAGCCCTAGTTCTGCCAGGCATAGCTCTCTGCTCCCCACTAGTGGCCAGATTTTCCCCATGGGTATTGCTGTTGGCTCTGAATGCCCATCCTTGAGTTGCTCAGCCAGAGGCCCCTGGACTCAAGGCAGGCGTGAGCTGGCCTTTCTCCCATCCTCTTCCTGCTGCCACAGCTCTCTGCAGTCCAGAGGCCGAGAACTCCACGCTCCCAGTGAAGCGCCGCCGCGTCACGGCAGAGATGGAAGGGAAGTACATTGTCCACATGCCCAAGGGAACCACCCCCAGGACCAAGAAGATCCTGGAGCAGCAGCAGCAGGCAGCCAAAGGTACCTGGGCCACTTCCCCTGGGGAGCGGGGCTGAAGGCCGGCCAGCTTCCTTTAAAGCTGGGAAATGGGGGCAGGTCCGTGGCCACCTTAACTCATCCGGAGGAGTACTGTTAATTTTCCATTGCGGTGCAAAGGCCCAGCTGGCCTCCACTGTGAGACTGGTGTTGAGTGTCACTGGTCCCATGCTGCGGAACACGCTTCTGGCAGAGATGCGGCAGGCACCCTCGCTTTGAACTTTCTGGAATCTCTTGTAGGCTTCTTTTTATAATGGCCAGCCGGCTTTCGCAGTTGCTTAACATTTCCTTGAATGGCCAGCCGTTCACTTTAAGGGATGGCTCTGTACGGCTTTCAAAGGGTTCTTGTTGTTACTGTACCTTGTGGCCCTGACATTTTGCAAGAGGACAGTATATCGGTACTTAGCTGAATGAAATCAAACCCTGCACTTAAAGAGCAAATTCAGAACCAAGGAAAATTTATGTGCTGAGTTAAAGCACAGCCCAAATAAAAGAGGTAAACAAGCAGGTTCAGCCAAAATTCATTTTGCTCTCCCAGCTGCCAGCCTGCTGCTGCTACTGCTGCCCAGTCGGCCCTTGTTTTTCTTCTGGTGCTTATGCCTGGCTCTTCCTAATTTTGTTTTTAATTGTGACACTTTGCAAAGTCTAGCTTCCTTGTTCCACATGACTGACGTGCTCTGGCCAGAACTAACACCCCATCACAGACACAGGTGCAGCCGCTTGCGAAATTGCCACTTGGCAAAGGTTTTGCAGTCTTGGTGTGGGTGGGGTGGGGAACGCAGGCCTCCGGGGTGCAAAATTGTTTCTTATGCACTATGGGCAGTGTTGCCTAACCTGCAGGGGCAAGGACTTCTGGTACGGTGTGGCTTCCAGAGATTGATGCCATCAGGCTGGGGAAAGGAGCATTGGAAATAGTTTGGGTGCTGCACAGCAGCATTAAAAATATATTGTTTAATCTTGTTTGCTGCTTCAAAAGCTTTTTGGGGTGAAACACATACTTATAAGCACGCTATGAAATCAACATTTGGCCCCTGTTGCTCCTTTGAAAAGCCCTTCTCTCGTTTTAACTCTGCACGGCTTCTTTCCACTGCTACCTTGTTATTGACAGGCTTACAGAGAACCTCCGTGTTTGACCGGCTGGGCGCAGAGACCAGCGTGGACACAACCACAGGAAGCAAGGTGAGAGCAAAAGGGTGGGACCTGCTTGCTCAGGGGACTCTTCTTTTGAACCTTCCCCCGCTCCCCATGCCGGGAGTCCCACAAAGGGGGGCCGGTTGGCAAGGCAGAGATTAAACATGTATGGTTGGGGGAGTAGAGGTGGACTTCCACTTTCTGGCCCAGCCAAGGCGTTCAGGGTGGCGCTAGAGCTCTTCTGACGTGGGAGGTGGCACTTTGGTCAGGTGGGGCTGTTGCCACGACCCACTAAGGGAGATAGGTAAAGGTAAAGGGACCCCTGACCATTAGGTCCAGTCGTGACGAACTCTGGGCTCATCTCGCTTTACTGGCTGAGGGAGCCGGCGTACAGTTTCCGGGTCATGTGGCCAGCATGATTAAGCGGCTTCTGGCGAACCAGAGCAGCGCATGGAAATGCCGTTTATTTTCCCACCGGAGTGGTACCTATTTATCTACTTGCACTTTTGACGGGCTTTCAAACTGCTAGGTTGGCAGGAGCAGGGACTGAGCAACGGGAGCTCACCCCGTCACGGGGATTTGAACCGCCAACCTTCTGATCGGCAAGTCCTAGGCTCTGTGGTTTAACCTACAGCGGCACCCACATACCACTAAGGGAGATAATCACAATGAAATTGGAAAAGCAACAATTGCACATCTATTCAAATTCCATCTGAAACTATATAGTTGAATTAATTCAAAACAAAATGGATGAGCTGGATGAGGATACCAGCTTTTCAAAGTCTGGTAGTCATTTAGCACATTTAGTAACTGCTTCAACTGTAATTTCCTCCTGTGACGGACGGCCTTGACAAAGTGATGCCAGTCTCCCAGGGTCTGGTTTAAAGCCACTTAGCAGGAGTCTTGGATGCGGGTGGCGCTGTGAGTTAAACCACAGAGCCGAGGGCTTGCCGATCAGAAGGTCGGTGGTTCGAATCACTGTGAGGGGGTGAGCTCCTGTTGCTCGGTCCCTGCTTCTGCCAACCTTGCAGTTCGAAAGCACGTCAAAGTGCAAGTAGATAAATAGGTACTACTCTGGCGGGAAGGTAAACGGCGTTTCCGTGCGCTGCTCTGGTTCGTCAGAAGCGGCTTAGTCATGCTGGTCACATGACCCGGAAGCTGTACGCCGGCTCCCTCGGCCAATAAAGCGAGATGAGCGCCGCAACCCCAGAGTCGGCCACGACTGGACCTAATGGTCAGGGGTCCCTTTACCTTTAGCAGGAGTCTTAAATCACCGCCTCTAGAGCTCCTCTGCCGCACCATGCCTCTTAGTGGGCCCCCCCGGACAATTCCACCAGCCCCCAGTGGGTGCACTGCCCATCTTGGGAGCCATTTGCAGCCCAAAGGCCTTGAGGGTGGGGCCCCCAGCCGCTCTGCCGTGCTTGCCACCCCCAGCCTCATTGAGCTGCTCTGGTGTCTTTGCAGCCCACGGGAGTCTTCAGCCGCCTGGGGGACATGCAGGAGGCCGAGGAGGACAAAGCAGTGGAGAGCGACGATGACAGCTCCGTCTTGCAGTACGCTGGGGTGCTGAAGAAATTCTTCAAGCCCTCCAGGCCCAAGGAGAGTGCCAAGGCCGCTGGGGCGACGGTCAAAGCCAAAGCCACCAGCTCCGAGCCCCAGCTGAAGGCCACAGCCACCCCTGCCCTCCAGCGGCTCGGGAGCAAGAGCCTGGCGGAAAAGAAGGAGAAGAAGGCTGAGCCGCCCCCGCTGCAAGGCGGCATGGCCAAGAGACTGGGCAAGCGCCCTCTGCCTGCTGAGGCCCAGGACAGCCAGGTCACCAGCTCCAGGAGCAAGCCGGAGTCCGAGTTCCGAGTCACCATCAAGAGAACTTTGGGCAGCGCGAAGGTAAGCAGCACCACGGAGGGCCCCAGCGCCCAGATGGACAACACGGGCACCGTCAGCGTCTTTAAGCGGTTGGGCAGGAAGGCGGTGTGAGCTGGGCCCCCCACCCACCCCAGCACACCCTTCGCCTGCTTGCGTGTGGGAGACCCTCTTTGGACAGCTTGAAGTCGGTGCCCCCTCTTTCCCGACTGCAACACAAACGGGCTCTTGCGCGGCCTCCGGGCGGAGGACGGCTTCTGTGAAGCTTGGCGTCGGTTCTTCCAGCTGTTTCCACAGGTCTGTGGGGCAGGAGCGGAACTGGGGGGTCTTGTGTGGCTGCATGGCCCACCTCAAGGCAGCGGCTTGCCAGTGCCGGAGGCAGCACCCACCCAACGGAGCATTGCTGGGGTCGGGGTGAGGGCTCCCAGCGGGCGCGAGAGGTCATGTTGCACTGAATCCTCCTTTCTCTGTCTCTGTTATTTCCCCTCTGCAGGTCCTTGCTCTCTCCTAGGAAGTAGGTGCCTTGAGGGCCCTGTAAAAGAGCTTGCAAGATTCAGTAGATCCCACCCCCACTTTCTTTTCTGTCTTTCCCAAGCGTTTACCTGCTGCTTTTCTGCAGCCTAGGAACGGCAACTGAACAGCTGGCCAGAAATTTCCTCTTGCTGGACACTGGGATCACGCAGTCAGCCAGCGGGGTCCCAGTGCTGAGTTTTGCCTCCTGCCAGGAGGAGGAGGAAAATTCTGGCCGGCTCCTCTTTGAGTTCCATCTCTCCTCTGAACAGGAGAGTAATTTCTCCTGGCCTGGCTGTGGCATGTGAGACGAGGTTCTTGTGGGGGCAGGAGATGGTTTCATGTGTCAAGAGTCCCAAACTGGGCCGGCTCTCCTGCCCCAGCCTCCTGGGAAGGGAGAAGAGAGGGCCAGGTCTCCTTCCCAGAGTCAGAGTTTCAGGCCTTCGTTGAGCCAAACTCAGATGCACGATCTGGACCCTGGCTAAATCTGAAGTCAGACTCTGGTGGGAATTGCAGTGGGCTTGGTTTTTCCATGCTCCTCTTCTCCATCAACCCCGATGGGCACCCGCATTGCTGTTTTGAGAAGCTGGGGTGGTGTAGGATGGAAGGCCAGCACCCAGGGCAGCCATATGCTGCCTCACCTGCCCTGCAGCTTCCTTGTGAGCCTGGTTCCCCCTTTCAGAGGCACCTGCCCTACAGCAGCAGGAGGGGCACTAATGCCAGGCCTGTTTTGCGCAGAGAGATGGTGGTATGCAAGCCGCCTGCCATCTCTCTCCCCTCTGGGCTCCTGCTGCTCTTGGTCTCCGCTAGAGCCCCACGTCTGAGTTTCATAGGATGCTGCCCATGCCAGCTGGCCTCCGCACAATATATATTTGGAAAATGAAAACAGGCCATTGCAATGTGGTACGTCCGAGAGTCTTGGGCAATGGCAGTAGAGATGGAAATGCTCGAGGGGCCCTCCTGGACGGAGGGTGGCCTGCGAGGTAGCCCAGGCCACTCTTGCACTTGACCGAAAACTCTGTATCCCAGCATGCACTGCCAGTTGGAGTATCCCTTGTGTTGGCTTCTGATTGGCACGGAACCCAGAGACGCTTCCTGTACTCTGAGGTGCCGTCTGTGTCCCCAGCTGCCCTAGAGAGAATTATGTGACCTGCACGATTTAGGGGATGTGGTGCTCCCCCATGCACCTGTTATCAGTTAAGGCAGCAGCTGTGTGGGATTTCTAATGGTTTAAATGAATTTTTATTGATTAAATTAGGGAGGGGGGAAGCTAGAAGAGCTGTGGTGTAATGGTTGATAGTTTTTTTTTTTTTAAAACAAGACTTTTTTGTAAACATGAGTTGATGTGCAATTTGGATGTATCCTTGCATTCGGCTGTCAGTTGCCCAAAAGTGCAGGGGGGAGGGCGGCAAGGTTCTCAGTGCTGCTGTCAGAGCCTGCCAGGTGTGTTCCTGCACTCCCCACACCCCACCGCCCAGGTAGGGGAATAAAGGAATGTTCTCTTGCAATAAAATGAGTCTCCTCTTGCAGCATCTCTTTGGGAAGCCCCCTCACAAAGGGGACACGTAGAGACACATAAGAAGAGCCTGTTGGATCAGCCCACAGGGGCAAATCTCATCCAGCATCCAATGGTTTTCCTGCTGGAAGTCTTGCCACTGGGGTGTTTGTGTGTGTACACACACTGAGAGGTCTTGTAGGAGAGGCCCTTGGTCTGTAATTCCAGCTATCCACAGGGAAAGCGGAGGAGGGGCAAGCCCTAATCAGTGGAGAGATATTGCTTGTTCTGATATTATCTTTATTTTTTTATTCATTTCATATAAATTAAATATTGCCTGATTGTTAAAAGAAAAGAAAGAATTGTTAAAAGAAAGGAACCCTCAAAGCAGCTTACAAAAAGAATAAAACAATAAAATGGTCAGTAAAACTTCAGTAGGAGAGTAAGCAAGCACAAAGCATTGGGTTTGGGGGGGAATGACCCTGTCGGATACAACCTCCTTTCTTCTTTTGGGAGGACCTGCCTTTCTTGCAGGGAAGCGGGTGAGTTAAACCACAGAGCCTAGGACTTGCCGATCAGAAGGTCGGCGGTTTGAATCCCTGCGACGGGGTGAGCTCCCGTTGCTTGGTCCCTGCTCCTGCCAACCTAGCAGTTTGAAAGCACGTCAAAGTAGATAAATAGGCACCGCTCTGGCGGGAAGGTAAACGGCGTTTCTGTGCGCTGCTCTGGCTCACCAGAAGCGGCTTAGTCATGCTGCCCACATGACCTGGAAGCTGTACGCCGGCTCCCTCGGCCAATATAGCGAGATGAGCGCTGCAACCCCAGAGTCGTCCACGACTGGGCCTAACTGTCAGGGGTCCCTTTACCTTTCTTGCAGAATCATTCCCCGCCTGCCTCCTCCTCAGGCCTCAAGTACAAAAACGCCATGTAGGAAAGAAGGGAAGGTAGTAACACCCCCCCCCCGGGTGCCATTTAGAAGCAGCTGTGAGTCCGTGGTTGTAGGGACACAGCAGCATTATGAAGAACAGGGGAAGCCTGTCCTGTTTCGCCCCCTGAGACGACCAGGGAATGTGCAGCCTCCTGCCTGCCCCCCTCCCAACATCCAGAACATCTCCATCTCCCTGAAATGGGTGCTGTGGTGGAAGCGGTGAGGAGAGCAACCCACTGCTGGTTACGCTGCTGCCGTCTTAAGGCAGCCGCTTCCCCCCGCCAGCTGTGCTGGAAGGACAGCCCCCTTGCTGAAGGGTCAGCCGGGCTTGGTATGGTCACCTACACGATGGGAATATAAGAGCTTAGGAAGAGCCTGCTGGATCAGGCCAAAGGACTCCTGTCTAGCCCAGCATCCTGTTCTCACAGTGGCCAACCAGATGCCTGCCATGGGAAGCTCACAGATGACCTGAGCACAAGAGCCCTCTCATCTCGTGTGGCTTCCAGCAACTAGGATTCAGAAGCAATTGAGGCCCTTCTCTAGGCGGCCTTGAGCTCCCTGGAAGCCAGCTGCGATAGGTACACAACACACCCCTTTCCCCATGTGCCCCCAAATACTTATAGTGCTTATTGGGCTAGCTAAGCAGAGCCGTAGACGCCTGCTTCTTGGGAGGAAAGCAATGACAAACCTAGACAGCATCTTAAAAAGCAGAGACATCACCTTGCCAACAAAGGTCCGTATAGTTAAAGCTATGGTTTTCCCAGTAGTGATGTATGGAAGTGAGAGCTGGACCATAAAGAAGGCTGATCGCCGAAGAATGGATGCTTTTGAATTCTGGTGCTGGAGGAGACTCTTGAGAGTCCCATGGACTGCAAGAAGATCAAACCTCTCCATTCTGAAGGAAATCAGCCCTGAGTGCCCACTGGAAGGACAGATCCTGAAGCTGAGGCTCCAAGACTTTGGCCACCTCTTGAGAAGAGAAGACTCCCTGGAAAAGACCCTGATGTTGGGAAAGATGGAGGGCCCAAGGAGAAGGGGACGACAGAGGACGAGATGGTTGGACAGTGTTCTCGAAGCTACCAGCATGAGTTTGGCCAAACTGTGGGAGGCAGTGGAAGACAGGAGGGCCTGGCGTGCTCTGGTCCAGGGGGTCACGAAGAGGCGGACATGACTAAACAACAACAACAAAACCAAAACCCCTGCGTAAAATGGGGTGAATTACCTGCCTGCCTTCTGAGCTTGGGGCAAGTGATTGCTCTAGATTTCCCTTGAGTCCCTCTGAAGCTGGGGGGTGAAGGGGTGTGTGTGTGGTGGTGGGCACAGACTTCGGCCTGCCAAACCAGCTTGGCCCCCCGAGTTCTAAATTCCATTAGGAAGTTACTGTATACTCCAGGCCCCCAAACCACCAGCCCCAATTCCTAGAGGTCTGTAGCTTGTGTGGCATAATGGTCAGTGTTGGGCGAGACCAGGGTTCGAATCCTCACTCATTGGCCATGAACCTCCATGGGTGGTCTTGGGGGCCAGTCACCGTCTCTCAGCCTAACCAACCTCATAGCGTTGTGAGGATAAAAGGGGCAGCTGAACGTGAGTAACCTGGAGCTCCTGGCAGGAAAAGGTGGTATATAAATGTAATAAATAGAATAAATAAGCAAGTATAGATTCGAATGGAAACGTGCACATCCCTCCCTCTAAATTACCTAGCCAATACATTTTGTGTGTCCCGCCCCCCCCCCCATCGTAATTCCTCCACTACGTGGCTTTTGACCTTTGTCGTCCTTATTTACATCTACAGGCGAGATTTCATTTACTATTTATTAAATTTGCGAGTTCCTTTACCCTGTCCCGGGCAGCCCAAAGCAACTTAAGACAATAAACTCCATGCAAATACATTAACAGCAAGTGGAATGAGAAGGGCATTGTCATCATCACTACTGCGAGAGCCGGTCATTTATTCCTCCTGGCGGCTTAACGACCTTCCCGCCGAAGAGACCTGCTGCGCTCGGAAGCTTTCCCCAGCCCTGCTTCCATCCTGCACTCTGCGCATGCTCCTGCTCGATCCTGCGGGGAGGTGGTGGCAGTGGCTCCTCCCCCTCCGCCTTCCTATTGGCCGCGCCAGCTGCGGACGTGGAGAAGCCGCCTCTCGCCCCGGCCCGGGCAGCCGCGCATGCGCTCCGAGCCCAGCCGGGCCTCCTCCTGCCGCGCAGGCGCCTTGGCGGTTTCGCCGCGGCTCGGGAGCCGCCCGGGGCGCGCATGCGCACACGGCCGAAGGCGGCAACGACGGCGGCGCTGCGGCTCGTCCTCGGTCTCGCGGCCCTGCAGCCTCGCCTCGCCGGGCTCCGCCTCGCTCCGCGCTTGCGCGCACCGCCCCGGCCGCCTCCGCCCCTCCCCCTCCTTCCTGCATGCGTGGGCCCGGCGGGGGGCGGGGTTTCCGGGAGCGCGGGCGCCGTCGGGCCTGACGCGGCGGCGAGGATGAGGATGGCGGCCCTGAGGGGGCGCCGGTAGCGGCGGCGGCGGAGGAGCCAGGTAGGCCGCGCCCCCCCCCCCGCCCTCAGTGGTATCGCCCGGAGAGACGCAGGCGCGAGCGCGGGGCACTGTGGGAGGCGAGGGAGGGGGAGCGCGGGGCAGAACTATCGAGCGCGGGGGGGGGACGTGGGAGCGAACCATGGGCGCGGGGGGAGCGGAGGCGGCCGCGGGCGGGGCCTGCGCGGAAGGCCGAGCCGGGCGGGGGGGGGCTTCCTAGGGGGAGGCAGGGCGCCCCTCCCCCAACACGCGGCCTCTCTGTCCGCGCTGCCCGCCCTCCCTCCGGCCTCGGGAGGCAGGCTTGCTCGCGGAACCGCAGGGTGGGGCGGGACCCCCAGGGGTCATCTAGCCCAACCGCGCCCCTCGGCAGCCGTGCCGTACTACGTCACGACCGAAGCATCCCCGGCAGGCGGCCACTACGCCCAGAATCGCAGGATCGGAGGAGTAGAGCTGGGAGGGGGTTCCCAGGGGTCATCTAGTCGTACCCTATGCTAGGCGGCCATCACGACCGAAGCATCCCATGCAGATGGCGAGAAGGGTGGAGCTGGGAGGGGGTCCCCAGGGGTCTTCTAGCCCAACCCCCTGCAGTGCAGGAATGGCAGCTAAAGAATCCCCGCGTCCTTTTCCCCTCCGCCCACCACGCTCAATTGGGTGCCCCCTCCAGAGAGAGTCTGTCCCACTTTCTCGCTGCCTCCGGGCTGGGTCTCCAGATGCCAGCCGAGGAGGCCCCTTTGCTGCCACCCCTCACCACCCACCCCCGGCTCACACAGCTGCTTATGGGATGGTATTGCAGCAGTTCTGGCGCTGCCCTGCTTCAGGTGAGCCACTGAAAACTCAAATTGCACTCCAAGGGGGTTGGGCTGGATGACCCTTGGAGGTCCCCTCAACTCTAGGGCTCTGTGGAATTGCCTTCCTAAGGGTGCTGCTAGGAGCTGCTGCCACCTGAATGGCAACCTAGGGCCTGTTTGGTCATCACTCCTCGCACCAAACTGTTTTTTTTTCGGGGGGGGGCAGTTCTGGGTAGGCTATCTTGACACCTTTGCTTGCTCCTTATGGGCAGTGCTACTGGCTTCCTACTATTCATCCAAGTTGCTCATGCATATGTGGAGAAAGTATCCCATTTCTTACTTCGGATGCTCCCTCATGGCCAGCTGATGATAAAAAGGGAGCCATAGGCTAGGCAGATGCTCTTGGTCACACCCAGCTCCAGTCAGTATTGCATAGTGGTTAGAGCTGGGCTAGGACCTGTGCGTCCAGGGTTCAAGTCCCCATTTGGCCATAAAACTCACTGGGCTTGACCTTGGGCCAGTCTCTTAGCCTAACCTACCTCGCAGGGTGGTTGTGGGGATAGAACAGGGAGGGAGAGAGCCATGCAGGGCACTTGAGCTGTTTGGGAGATGCAGCCCAGCCAAGCAATTTGTGGAGGAGAAAGGAGATGAGGAATAGTGTGGGTCTGTATGTACATGTGTTTACGTACTGGTGCTCTCTTAAGCACACCTGTATGATGCCAGGAGATGCCAAGAGCTGGTCCTCCTTGCCAGGAGATGGGTTGCCCTTGTGGGAAAGCTGCACCTCAGAGCTGCAATCTAGTACCAAGGTGCGAGGAGCTTGGGGTTTTGTTTTGAAGGGGCCTTGCTTTGGAAACCACCCCCTGTGTTTGGGGGAATCCACAGGGGCTGCTGTGGCTGGATGTCAGCTGACGTGCTAACCGCTGGGTCGCTGCTCTGCTCCGCGCCTTGTTTTGGGGCCTTCTCTTGACACATCACCCACATTCGCTGCCCTTTTCAGTCTGGCTTCTTTGGTCTGTTGGCCTTTGGATGTTGTTGATCTTGGGCCACAGCGCACACGGTTATGACTCATGTTGCTTCCCTTCTGTTTCTTTGGTTGCATTTGAATGCACACGCAGAGGGAAAGTTGCCTTCCCCAGCATCCGGACACTAAGCTGCCCTTACCGGTGTGTTTGTAGGATAGTCCTGAGAAACTGGCACTCTTTGGCACTAGAGCAGCAGACCTTGGGGGTGGTTTTGGGGGGACCAAGGCATGCTAATCCTGCCAGTTCCAGGCTTTGGGTGCCTGCCAGCCTTCCCGGAGAGGTTTTGTCCCCTTAGCTGAAGACCACATTCCAGACTAGAGCACATGGTGCTAGGCTTTTGCCTGTAGCATAGGGGAGAGGGTTTGCCTGCCTCGTGGAGGTCGGGAGCAGATGAATCACTGTTGGGGCCTTGGCTCTTTCAGACCACATTTTCTGCACTTGGGCAGGCAGCAGGTTTCCAGCACCGTTACCAGGCCCCCCTCGTCCTCTGCTACCTGTTTCAGTCCACCTTTCAGTGACACCTGAGTGTCGGGCGTTTCAGGGCGTGTGTTCTGGCTCCTGTGCATAGAAGCCCCCTGATTTCTGCTCCTTGGGCTCAATCCCTTCACCTGGATCTCTCGGTTGTGCGGGGCTTGCACAAAGGAGCAGGGTGTTCTTATGAAGGCCCCAGCAGGCCACTAAAAATAACTCAGGAGTCGCTGCTCGACATTTAGGAAATGTGCCGGCTGGCGGGCAGGCTTGTTGCTCCCGGACGGTGCGCTCACTTCCTCCTGCACGGCCTGCCCTTGGAATGTCTGCGCTGGGATGTAGCAATGGCCGGACTTGAAATTCCACTCTTCGGGAAGAGAGATCTTGAAGAGGGGAGCATCCGCTTTAGATGCCTTCCTGGAAAAATGAACGGTGGGAGGACAGGGTCCCGGTGGAATGTGCGGTGGCTTTCCTTTCTGTAATAAATATATATATTGCGAAGAAGCTAGATAAGTTTGATGGGGAGTAAATAAATTGCGTATTACACAGCCACAGGATTTAGGAAAAGGAGGAAGATTCCACAAGAGTGGTTCAATCTGGGTGGGTCATTGATGTGTAGGCTTTGCAGAGAAACGGCATGTGTGGGGAGAGGGAGGGGCCAGCTGCTTCTGTCTCCCCCCAAAGCCCTCCTGGTAAATTGAGGAGAGAGCATTGCCCCTTGGTGGTGTCAAGGTTTGGGGTATTGGGCCATGACTCTCTTGTTCCTCCAGCTCTTGACCCCAGATCTCCTTTGGAGGCTCTTGAACCCATTTTGTAAATTTGGGTAAGAAGGAGCTGCAAAGTTCTCGTGGCCTGAAAGTAGTAAATCTGCTCTGCTTTAAGCCTTGAGCCAGTCAGTGCACCAAAATTACAAAAGCTTTGAAAGAATTAAAAGCATTCAAGTGCAAAAGCTCAGATGCAAACTGTTGCCTTCACAGGTTTGCGGGCTCCTCCTAACTGTTCCCTGGGCCTGTTTGTCAAATGCTTTACCCACCCGTTTGTTGTTAATCTTAAAGGTAAAAGGTAAAGGTACACAAGCAAGTTAACAGACAATATATAGAGCAAAGAAGGGTCACGGCAGGGAGGAAAGCACACGAGGGGGAAAAGAGTCCAGTCGTGACCGACTCTGGGGTTGCGCGCCCATCTCGCTTAAGAGGCCGGGGGCCAGCGCTGTCTGAAGACACTTCCGGGTCACGTGGCCAGCGTGACGAAGCTGCTCTGGCGAGCCAGCACCAGCGCAGTGCACGGAAAAGCCGTTTACCTTCCCGCTAGTAAGCGGTCCCTATTTATCTACTTGCACCCGGGGGTGCTTTCGAACTGCTAGGTTCGCAGGCGCTGGGACCGAACAACGGGAGCGCACCCCACCGCGGGGATTCGAACCGCTGACCATGCGATCGGCAAGTCCTAGGCACTGAGGTTTTACCCACAGCGCCACCCGCGTCCCTGTTGTTAATCTTAGCAGCTCACAAGTTCATGTTGACTGTGAAAAGCGCAGTTTCCTTTCCTAAACATCTTCATGTCCCCACAGCAGGTTAAGCAGTGTTTAACTTCTAAGAATAGAGGGGTGTCTGTCTGAAGGCTGGGCACTCTGCTTGCGCCCAGAGAAGCTGCCCTGGCTTGGCTCTTAGCCTCCCCTCTGGATCTCAAATCATATTTTTTTGATGGCGACAGCAAGGAATTGGCCATTATAACAATGGACTGCATGAAATGCTATTCCTCCTCGGAGTAGACCCACTGTGGTTAATGAACATGGTTAATAGAGGTTCATTAATTTCAAAGGGCCTACTCGGAGTAGGACAAGCATTGGCTACCACCCTGCATGTTATAGATCAGGTATGTCCAACAGGTCGATTGATTTACCTGCCGATCGCGGGTGTGTCCCTGGTGTCGATTGCTGTAATAAGTAAAGTGAAAGTGATTGCCTGGGTGTTCCTTATCCATCCCCCAAAAGCTCAACAACTTTGCTCAATCAACTCCTTAAAAAAAGGTAGATCACAGCCAATTTTTCTATACGTACTGGGACAATAGATTGCAGTCTCTTGGGAGTTGGACGTACCTGATATAGATTGCCAAGACCCCTTATACAACCTTAATCCTAGCTGTTACAAAGGTTTTACAGCAGGGCTGGGGGGGGTGGGATGAGGGAGGCATCTGTTGGCTTTCCAGATATGGACTCCCATCTCCCATTGGCTTGAGCCACCATGGCCAATGGTCAGGAATGATGGGACTTGTAGCCAGTCAACACCTGTGTCCCTCTCAGACAGCTGTGTCCTCTCTTCCCTTAACTCCAACCAATACCTCTCCCTTCCCTCTCTATCGCACTCAGCGTGTTTTTCTTCTTCCTGGGGACCAGCCCCCCCTTCCTCCCCCCTCCTGTTCCACAGGGTCACATCCTGGAGAGCATAAACAACTCTGGTGCTCGCAATATCTGAGTCACAAATGCTCTGCAAGTCAACAAGTCTCTCTTCTCTCCCCCCCCCCCGCCACTGCCTGCCCTCCCACCTCCCTCCCTGTGGGGTGAGCGTTGCTGCTCTTGTGTGTTCAACCAGGGAGAGGAATTGGGATTAGGTGCTCTTCCTCTCTCTGCAGCAGCAACAGCAGCTGTGGCTTGGTGGCCTGCGATGGGGAACAGGTGTACAAAATGGAGGGCGGGGGGAGGAAAGAGACCAGACACCCTCTCTGAGGGGTGTGCTTATGTGTGTGTGCCTCTCCAGGGAATCATAGAATCTTAGAGTTGGAAGGGACACCCAGGGTCATCTAGTCCAACCCCCTGCAATGCAGAAATCTCTGCTAAAGCATCCCTGACAGAGGGCCTTCCAACCTGTTTAAAAACCTCCAAGGAAGGAGAGTTCGCCACCTCTCGTGGGGGTCTGTTCCACTGCTGAACAGCCCTTAGTGTCAGAAAGTCCCCCCCCCCCGAATGTTTAGTCAGAATCTCCTTTCTTGTGACTTGAAGCCATGGGTTCGAGTCCTACCCTCCAGAACAGGAGAAAACAAGCTTGCTCCATCTTCCATGTGACAACCTTTAAGATATTTGAAGATGGCTATCCTATCTCCTCTCAGTCTTCTCTTTTCCAGGCTAGACATACCCAGCTTCTTCCACCGTTCCTCATAAGGCTTGGCTTCCTGACACTTGATCATCTTGGTTGCCCTCCTCTACACACCTTCCAGCTTGTCAACATCTTTCTTAAATTGAGTTACCCTTAATTGGACACAATATTACAAGTGTGGTCTAGCCAAGGCAGAAGAGAGTGGGACTATTACTTCCCTTGATTTGGACACTAGACTTCTGTTGATGCAGCCTAGAATAGCATTAGCATTTTTTGCTGCTGCATCTCAATGTTGACTCATGTTCAGCTTGGGGTCCACCAAGACGCCTAGATCCTTTTCAAGTAAGCCAGATGCCCCCCATCCTTTATTTGTGCATCTGGTTCTTCCTGCCTAAGTGCAGAACCTGACATTTTTCCTTATGGAGAATCATTTTGTTAGCTTGCGTCCAGTTCTCCAATCTGTTAAGGTCATTTTGAATTCTGATTCTGTCTTCTGCAGAATTAGCTACCCCTCCCAATTTGGTGTCATCTGCAAATTTGATGAGCATCCCCTCAATTCCTTCATTCAAGTCATCTATAAAGACATCAAACAACAACGGGCCCAGGACAGAACCCTGTGGCACCCCACTTGTCACTTTTCCCCAGGTTGACGAGAAACCATTAATGAGTACTCTTTGGGTTCAATCATTCAACCAGCTACAAATCCACTTAACATTTACCTCGTTCAACCCACATTTTACCAGCTTCCTCACAAAAATATCATAGGGGACTTTGTCAAAAGCCTTACTGAAATCAAGATACACTATGTCCACAGCATTTCCCTGATCCACCAAGTTTGCAATTCCATCAAAAAGGGAAATCAGAGTGGTCTGATGTGACTTATTTTTGAGAAACCCATGTTGGGTCTTAGTAATCACAGCATCCTTTTCTAAATGCTCACAGACCAACTGATGAACTATCTGTTCTAGGACCTCCCCTGGTATCAATGTCAAGCTCACTGGTCGGTCGTTACCTGGGTTCTCCTTTCCCCACTTTTTGAAGATGGGGGCAGCATTTGCCCACCTCCAGTCTGTAGGGACCTCACCCGTTCTCCAAGAATTCTCAAAGATAATAGACAAAGGCTCTGAAATTACAGGTGAGGGGTGTGTGGTTTTTACCCCCCCCCCCACACTCCTTGACCATTTTCTTGCAACCTTTGCTTGGGCAGGCAACCCTCTGGGAAGTAGGAGGAGTTACAAGGTTCTTTTTGCTTCTTTATAAAACACCTCTGGCTGGGGGGATTCTAGAAGCAGCATTGGATCCCGGGGTAGGCCTGGCAGTCCCTGGGCCCCTGACCTAGACCACCGCACAGCACCCCCTCCCCCCATGGCTGCCTGCTGACATCAGGAGCCTCATTTTGTCATGAGATCTTCCAGGCCGCAGAGTCCCTCCTGCTTCCAGTTCTCCAGGCTGGAGCCTTGCAGGACCCCAAGTTCTCTGCCTTGTCCCTTCTGCTGGAGGAGAGCCGGGCGAATCAGGCCAGCAAGGACTTGTTCCTGGAGAGCTGGACCCGAGTTCTCTTACTCAGGGAGAAGCAGAAGCAGGTGCGGCTCAGAACACCCATTTGGCTTTTACCCCTTCCATCCATTCCGGGGGGGCGTGGCGTGTTTAAAAGCAGCAGTAACAAGCCCAGACCACTCTTTCCATTGTTTAAAACTTGCATTTCTTACTTTCACCAGCTGCCCTTTCTGCACAGAAGAGGGGTCTCTTTGCCACCCACTGCCCAGGTGGGTTTTGGGTTTACAGACCAGACTCTGCATCTTGCTGCCCGTCTCCCTTCTCAGCTAAAGGTCCCTGCCACTGGGCGCCGACAGCTGTGACTGTGACAGGTGCAGCCTCACCTTTGTTGCCTAAGCTGTAGCAACCTGCAGGCTGGACTACTGCAATGCTTTATACGTGGGGCTGCCTTTGAAGAAGGTTCAGGAAACTGCACCTGGTGCAGAATTTGGCAGCCGGACAGTCTGCACATACGACACCAACTCTGGCTTGACTGCACCGCCTGCCAGTTAGTTTCCAGGCTCAATTTGAAGTGGTGGTTGTGACCTATAAAGTCCCTCAAGGACCGACCCAGACCCTGCAATCATCACCTGAGGCATTTAGTTTCCTCATTTACAGGCATGGGATCTGTAAGTCCCACCTTTTCCCTGTCAAGCTGTGTTCTGGCTTAATTGATCTTGCTTTGATTGCAAGGAGCTGTGGGCCAGTTTCCGAGAAAAGTGTCTAGCCAGTGTGACAAACGCCATTGCCTTTTTCCTGTTAAAAGGTGTTTTGTGGGGCCAGGGAGTAGCCGTGCAAAATAAAGGGCTTTTATTCAGGTGCTTTTGAGTGGCGCTTCTCAGTCAAAGACACAGGAGGTCTGCATGTCAGCCTCTTAGGCCAGCCCCCCCATCCCCATTTCATTTGCAGGCCTCTGCAATTTTCAAGAGTCCTCTGGGCTCCTTTCCACCTGTTCTCCCTTTTCCTCCTCCCTGGGCAATCCCTTTGCCCCACAGTTCCACGCTGGGCACCAGCAAAGGTGGGTTTCTGGCTCCTGTTGTCGCCCTTCGGAGGCCACCTTTCTTCCCCACGCGTCTCCTCCAGCTGCTTGGGGAGCAAAGCCAGCTGGGGGGAGTGCGGCAAGAGGTCTGGCTCTCCCCGTTGAGCTCTGCAGGGCTCTGCCCTTTTGCCCAAATCTCTGTGCCTGCCTCCAGGAGCGGAGCCGCTGTGTCTGGATCTGGCTCCCTGCGGGGAGGGGGGGCATTTTCACTCTTACATAAATGACTCCCAAGGCCTGTCGCAACCCCACCGCCATTGCTGTCAGCCTCGGCCTCTGGAGCAACACAGAAGGCCGCCAGAGCTTTGCACAAGCACCTTCCCGGTTGGGCAGGGGGGCCTCTCACTCGGTGTCAACACGCAAAAGCCAGCCTGGCGTCCTTTCGCCCAGTGGGCGACCTCCATGCTCTCGCCTGGCCTCAGCTGAGCTGCGTTTGGGCCGTGGGGCTCAGAGTGGGCCTTTCTTCTGAGTCTCATGAGCCCAACCCTGGGAATGAGGCTGGCCCCCCTCCAGGAGGTCCGGCAAGGCCAGAGCTACAGGGTCCTCCTCGCTGGTGGTCTCTGGTGGTTCCAGGTGGCTCACTCCTTTGCCAGGTGCGCAGGAAGCTCCCTGCTGGGTCAGGCTAAAGTCCAGCGCTGTGTCCTTTGCACGGCTGTGGGGAGTGCCCCTGGCGGGACGGAGAGGGAGCTGACCTTGGGTGATCCCCAGCGGGTCTGGTGGGGGCCAAGGGGGTCTGTCCTGTTGCACAACCCTGGAACCGGGACTCTGGGGGTGCTGGATTCCTGCCTGCAATGAGCTGGCTGGTGAAGGGGAGGCACCAAGCTGGCCTTCTTCCCGGGATTCTCAGTGTGGGGATTTTTGTGGCACCGAGTGAGCCTTTAAACAGGTGTTTCCACCTGTCCGCCCCCCTGATTCTGAAACCGTAGAGGCCCAGGAGGACTGCGCTGGCTGGGGCAGTTCATCCCTCACCTGTTATCTGTGACCCGCCAAGGGGGAAGGGGATTCCTTGCCTTCTGCGTCGACAGTGGACCTGGGGGGTCTGTTATACAGCAAACCACTCTGCTCGCTTGGGCTCCCACCTTCAGAATGTCACCCAAGCATCAATGAACTGGCCCTTGGGAAAGAGGAGGGTAATGAAAGCCCCCCCTCCACAGTCCTAGCATCCCCCTGCACATTTGTTCAGTGCCCCGCTCCCAAATTGCATGGGGGGGCAGCCCTTTCCCTGCTTCTCTGGCGGCATCTTTGGGCTAGTCTTTGAACCCCTCTCCCTCTTTAATCCCATCAGGTGGCTGGGATTAATCTTTCTCTAGCTGTTTGTTTTCGCGGTTGGCCAGGGCTGCTCTCCGGTCTGAGCATGTGCAGTCGTGGCAGCTCCCAAGGGCCTCTTATCTGTTGCTGGCGGTGCCTGTTGTCAGGGGGGCAGATAAGGCCAAGGGGAAGTTGCCAGCAGGTGTAAGCAGCATCGCAGGGACGGGGAGACCCCCATTGCCCTTGGCTTCTAATACCTCCCTAACAGGGGTGGGGGTCCCTCAGTCACCCCAGCCTTCCCCTTCCTCTGTGTCCAATGTTGAGAGCTGCTGCATAGGCTTTCCTGGGCCCTGGAGGTGACAGCGTCTGGCTTTGCAGAGCAGCTCAGTTCCCTGTGCAAGACCCCCTCTGTTGGGGAGACCCGCCTTGCCCTGGGCTGGGCCAGTGGCCTATCCCTGGGGATCTGGGCCTTCCCAAGGCTGGTGAGGCCCTCTGCTTCCACAGGGAGGCAGGGTTGGCACCTGCTGTGACTCTTGAGGGATCCACCTTGTTTGGGAAGAAGATTTCTTCAGTGTGGTGCTGGGGACACTTGCAGTGGGTGGGAGGGAGGCCCTATAACTCTGTGGGAGAGGGATTCTTCACCATCCCCAGACGTTGATGAGCCTGGGACCCACACTGCCATTGTTCTCTTCTCTCCTGCAGGTCACCAGTCCACCCGCGGCTCAGTGGGCAGAATCTAGTCCCTGTGAGCTCAACACGGCCACGTCAACATGAATGAGGTGTCGGTCGTCAAGGAGGGCTGGTTGCACAAGAGAGGTGAGCAATGTACACACACACACCCCTGAGATTTGACAGAAAGAGGGGGCTGGGAGGTTCTTCCTTTCCTGGAAGTGGGGGCCGTGCCCTGGAGGTTGCTGCACCAGGCTCTGGATAGGACAGAGCCCTGTTATGTCTGGAGGCTTCAGCAGGGAGCCGTCTCATAAGGCACCTAAGTTGTTGGGTGTCTGTTGCACCTCTGAATGAAGTCTGTGTTGGCTTCCTTTTGCTGTTTGCTTCTGGACAGAGCTTAGCCTCCCTCTGTGTCCCTGGGGGGCCTGTTGCTGCTGCCGCTGCTGCCCCCTCCTCTATGTTATCTCTGCATTCTTAGGTCTAAGTGCAGGTGTCCCCCGGGCCGGCTCATGGAGAGAAGAGCGCTCCCCATGGCTGCCTTGCGGCTTGAGCTTCTGGGTTGGAGGAGCATTGGAGCCCAAGCTCCTGGGAAGCGTGCAAGGCTGCGCAGTGTGGGCCCCCTTGGAATCCTGTGCACAGTTCTAGTGCAAAAGAGGGGAAGCAGAATGGTCCTGGAGCAGCTCGCTTTGGGGGCTTTTTAGTTTAGGGGAAAGGGCAAGTATTGAGGGACGTGAGAGAGGTGAGAGGGCAAGTATTGAGGGACGTGAGAGAGGTGCACAGAATTGTGTGTGGAGAAAGTGGGCAGAGAAGTTTTTCTCTCCCTAATATAATATAATAATTTATTATTTATACCCCACCCATCTGGCTGGGTTTCCCAAACCACTCTGGGCAGCTTCCAACCAAAAATAAAAAACTATACGGCATCAGACATTAAAAACTTCCTAAACAGGGCTGCCTTCAGTTGTCTTTTAAAAGTAAAATAGTTGTTTATTGCCTTGACATCTGGTGGGAGGGCGTTCCACAGGGCAGGCGCCACTACCGAGAAGGCCCTCTGCCTGGTTCCCTGTATCCTCACTTCTCACAGTGAGGGAACCGCCAGAAGGCCCTCGGCGCTGGACCTCAGTGTCCAGGCTGGATGATGGAGGTGGAGACGCTCCTTCAGGTATACAGGACCGAGGCCGTTTAGGGCTTTAAAGGTCAGCACCAACACTTTGAATTGTGCTCGGAAATGTGCTGGGAGCCAATGAAGATCTTTCAGGACCGGTGTTATATGGTCTCGGCGGTCACTCCCAGTCACCACTCTAGCTGCTGCATTCTGGATTAATTGTTAGTTCTGGGGCCATCCAGTGAAGCTGAATGTTTTGCAGATTCAGGACAGACAAAAGGAAGTCATTTTCCATACAGCAAATAGTTAAACTGTGGAACTCCCTCCCAGAGGAGGCAGCGATGCCCACCAATGCTAATGGCTTTAAAAGAGGAAGAGACGGATTTGTGGAGGAGGACAAGGCTATAGCAGCATCTTCTTGCAGGGCGCTTTCTCACGTGGATGGGAACCTAGAGTGGGGAGAGTCCTGCTCATGGCTCCCCATTGGGGCAGCTGGCTGGTCACTGGAAGAAAAGAACACTGGACTAGATGGGCCTCATCCAGCCCGCTTGTCTTACGTTCTTGGGGTGCAGGAGTGCCGACTCCTTTGCACACGGTTAGACATTGGCTGCCTGACCTTTTCTGGCTGCAATTCTCTGGCTCTTTGGAGGGCAGCATGGAGGTGGCCAGCATGGGCTTGGCGAGGAGGCATCCGTGGGGCACACAAGAGCAGAAGCTCCCTCCTTGTCCCTAGATGCCCCGCTCCCCGCAGTCTGTGCGCGAATGAATGAATGGATTTATTTTGGTCACTGACCAGGATCCCGGTCTGTGCAGTTTTCTTTTGCTCTCCACACTTGGTCTTGTGCTTGGTGCCCTGGACTCCTTGGCTTTTGCTAGTCAACGCTTGTGGAGGACAGACGGTGAAATCTGGGGTGAGCAATGTGTGAGCAATGGGGATGTTTATTGCCAGAGCCATGACTTTCGGCACAAGCCTCTTGCTCCTGAAACGCCTCTTTGTCCCCACACTGCAAGTCCCCTCCTTCTCCCTGCTCCCTCCATGGCAGTCTCAGCTGTCCCCTGAGCTGCTTCCCACCCCGTAGGGCTGTGGCTCCAGCAAATTCCTCCTCCTCCTCCTGCAGACAAATATAGATAGCAGCTGGTGGCAGCAGCAGCCAGGTCTGCCCAGAGGCTATTTTGGTCCCTGGAGCCAGAGGAGCGGGTGGAGGGGGCTGCCTGGCCCTGCTGAGGGAAGCCCCCCTTTGCTGCCACCCGGCCCTGCTGAGGAGTGAAGGTCCCCTCGCAGCCTTGGCTTCTGCAGGCCAAAGGGAGAGCCTGGCCCTGGGAGAGGGACAGGTTAAGCCACCTCTCAGAATGGCTCTTGCCAGAAGCCAAAAAGAGGTCTGGCTCTGGAGATGTGCTGGGAGGGAGGAGCAGCCCACCTCACCCCTGAGCACTGGAAATCCTCCCCGAACCCTCCAAAGCGGCCTGCAGGTGTTTTTCCAGGTGTGTCTTTAAGGAGCACAGAGTTGCCATATTTTTCGCTCCATAAGTTGCACCTAGTTTTTAGAGGGGGAAAGCAAGGGGGGGAAATATTCTGCGCAGAGCATGTAAGTGGCTCTCGCTTTTCTTGCTTTAAACCCTTCCATCCCTCCTCCCGCTTCGCTGAGAAGCCAGCAGAGCAAGAGCGATAGCTGCGCAGCGCCTCTTCTTCTGCTAGCTTCCCAGCAAAGCGGGATGAGACGGAAGGGAGCCCTTACAAGGGAGCACTGAGCAGAGCCTGGCAGTGGCTCTTGCTGGCTTTTCCCCAAGGAGGGAGAAGGGCAGCCCGTCAGTCCCTTCTCCCACCTCATGGGAAAGCCCCCACACTCCGCATGGCTCTTTAAAGGGAGTGCTGAGCAGAGCCTGTGCAGCTCTTGGGGGCTTTTCCCCGAGGAGGGAGAAGGGACTGATGGGCTGCCCTTCTCCCTCCTTGGGGAAAAGCCAGCAAGAGCCGCACACACGCTCCACGTGGCTCTTTAAGGGGGAGCGCTGAGCAGAGCCTCCCGCCTGCATTCACTCCATAAGATGCACACACATTTCCCTTTACCTTTTAGGAGGGAAAAAGTGTGTCTTATGGAGCGAAAAATACGGTAATCTTTGGAACTTGTTCCTGCAGGAGCTGGTAATGGCCCCCAACCTGGATTGGACAGATTCATGGAGAAAGAGAAGGCTTGAGAACAGGTTGCTGGGCTTCATGGGGCTCCTTTGGCCTCATCCAGCAGGCTGCTCATGTCCTTATGACAGGGGTGCAGAGCCCGGCTCCAGGTCCCCTGAGGAGGCGGATGAGGGCTGGGCTTGGCCTGCTCAGCTTCCCTTGGCAGAGCAAGAGTCCCTTGCCAGCCTTGGAGGGGAATCTTCTGCCAGGGGCGTCGGCGCTGTTGGGTTGCAGGGCCTTTTCAAAGGCAGCCTCCTGGCAGGCCCTCTGCACGTGGCTCTCGCCCCCTCAGGCCCCTCATGCCTCACCCTTCTGCTCCCCAGGGGAATACATCAAAACGTGGAGGCCCAGGTACTTTCTCCTGAAAAGCGATGGGTCTTTCATTGGGTACAAGGAGAAGCCGGAGACGTCAGACCACAGCCTGCCCCCTTTGAATGACTTCTCTGTGGCAGGTATGTCCTCCCCACCCTCCTACTACCCCTGCCCTCCATATCGGCAGGGACTGCGAGGCTCCCCTGGAGCTCCAGGCGGACTGCAGTTAGAACGCAGCAAAACGCCAACCCTTTCCCTTTCCTCCCACGATGCTGTGCTGGGGGCTGTACACGTGTTTTTGAGAGAGGGGTGCAAGTAGGTGAGTCTGCCGCTCCTCTTCCTTGTCCTTGGAGAAGGCCCAGCAGCCCCCTCTTCCTCCTCTTCCAGAATGCCAGCTGATGAAAGTCGAACGGCCCCGTCCCAACACCTTCATCATCCGCTGCTTGCAGTGGACAACCGTCATCGAAAGGACGTTCCACGTCGACTCCCCCGATGAGCGGTGCGTCTGGCTTTGGAGTGGGGCGCCTGATCCCGCCCCACCCTGCTCTCTGGGCCCCTGGGGCAGCTCCACTCAGCCACCCCGGTTCCACCAGGGGTGGGGACCCTCGCTTGCACCCAGCCTCTGGCTGCTATAAGGGCTTCGTCCCCGATCCTCAGGCACTGGGACTCTCCCAGCCAGGGACTGGCGCCCGCTGGCCGGCCTTTGTGCCTGGGTGGCTGGAATGCCCTGACTTCCCTGTGCTGCCCGCAGGGAGGAGTGGATCCGGGCCATACAGATGGTCGCCAACAGCTTGAAGAACCAGGAGCCGGAAGAGGACAGGATGGACTACAAGTGTGGCTCTCCCAGCGACAGCACAGGCGCCGAGGAGATGGAGGTGGCCGTGACCAAGACCCGGGCCAAGGCGGTAAGGAGGGGACGGGGAGGGGGCTTCCTTCCACTCTGGCTCAGCGGAACAGGAGGACAAAGAGGCGGTCCCCCCCCCCCCCGGCTTCACCAGTCTTTGCCACGCTGAGTTTAACCACGGACATGGACTCAAAATGTTCAAGCTTTTCAAATGGTGAAGGTGTCTAGTTCCCTCCAGGCGGCTGATAATGGCCAACAGCAGCCCTGTGTTTTTCCCCTTAAAAATAAATAATATTAAAAAATAAATTCTAAACAATAAAGAACAAGAAGCACCCTCGTTCCAAAACAGGAGCTGTAAAACACAAAAACTGGAATTCACGTAGGAGCAGCACACGCAATAACCAATTTGGTGCAAAGCCAATATAACATATGGAACTATGAAAGAATGGGACAAAATAATCAAACTACGTATAATATACAGTATACCAAATCATGATACATGTAAAAATAAAAAAAGAAACAAAACGGAAATACAGTGCGCTGTAGAGGATGCTTTGAGATGGACTGAAGTAATAAAAGGAATTAAGCTTTAATTCTGAATATTCCTATAACGATGGCACTACCTATTGTTAGAAGAGATGCTGTTGTTTTTCCACAGGTGAGCCTAGTTCACCAAAGAGGTGGGTGTGGAAAGTTATGTCAGCCATGCAATAAGAATTCTGTATTCATGAAATCTATGAAGTCAACCCAAGTTGTAATGAAACTCTCTCTCTTGATTTGTCCTCGTGCAAGTCTCAAAATGTTCAGACCTTCTAAACTGTGAAGGTCCTGTTTTCAACCCAGCCTTGTGTTTTTCCTTGTTAAAAGACCATGAATGACTTTGACTACCTGAAGCTCCTTGGGAAGGGCACTTTCGGGAAGGTCATCCTCGTGCGGGAAAAGGCCACAGGGCGCTACTACGCCATGAAGATCCTGCGCAAGGAAGTCATCATTGCCAAGGTACGGGGCCAAGCAGGGGAGGCAGGGGGCAGAGTGACTTTGACGTGGTGGGCGGAGACACGTCCCAGTTGCGGGGAGGCGGGATTTGCATCCGGGCAGATAGCAGGCCACGCGTCCATCACCAGAAGTCCACATGGCATGAAATGCCAGTTGGATTCCCACCGGGGCTGTGCAGAGCCCTAGTAGCCTGTGGGTGACTGAGCAAGGGGCAGAAGAAATGAGAGAGACAGTGAGAGAGGCAGGCAGAAATGAATAAATGGTCATGCTGGGAATCATTAGAGATATACCAATCCCCCCAAACACACTTCCAAAGAGGGGGGTCTCTGTGCAGCCCCACAAAGAAGAACGGTGCTGGGTGGGGATGTTGCTTTGGTTCTCCCTGGGAATAAAATAATAATAATAATAATAATAATAATAATAATAATAATAATAATAATAATAATAATTCATTTATTTATGCCCCGCCCATTTGGCTGAGTTTGCCCAGCCACTCTGGGAGGCTCCCAACAGAACACTAAAAACAGAATAAAACTTCAAACATTAAAAACTTCCCTAAACAGGGTTGCCTTCAGATGTCTTCTAAAAATCAGATAGTAGTTTATTTCCTTGACATCTGATGGGAGGGTTTCCACAGGGCGGGCGCCACCACCGAGAAGGCCCTCTGTCTGGTTCCCTGTAACCTCACTTCTCGCAATGAGGGAACCCCCAGAAGGCCCTCGGTGCTGGACCTCAGTGTCCGGGCTGAACGATGGGGGTGGAGACGCTCCTTCAGGTATACTGGGCCAAGGCCGTTGCTCATGTCATAATGGGGCCGTTTCGGGTGACGATGCTTTCTTCCCTGTCTTTTGAAGGACGAGGTGGCCCACACCGTCACAGAGAGCAGAGTCCTGCAGAACACGAGGCATCCGTTCCTCACGGTACGTACGCATTCGGGAACTTGTGGGACGGAATGGGCGCCAGGCGTCCTCCGATGCCCTGCGAGATTCTCTGTCTCTGCGAGTGGCTGCTTGTGGGGCCAGAGGGGAGAAAGAACGGAGACTTGGTTCCTTGTATGATAGACCAGCGAAGGGGCTGTGAACTGGAAATGTCAGGCCAGGAGCAAGACTTTGGGGTTGTAGCCGAGAGCTCAAGAGGCCAACCCAGTGCGTGGTGGCTGTGAAAACGACAAATTCCATGCTAGGGATCTTTAGGAAAGGGATTGAAAATAATAGTGCCAGTGTCACAATGACATTGCTATACAGATCTATGGAAGCAGTGAGGGCACCAGCCGAGACGGCTTGAAAAGAGTAGGAGACGGGCTTCCAGTTTGCTTGCAAAAGGAAAATGGCGACGCGGTGCATGCTGTCCGCTTAAGAGACGACCATTATCGGGATTTCTGGGCAATTGGGGGTGAGCTCCAGGGCTTGAAGAGGCGATTGGGGGTGAGCTGGACTTGAAGAGGCTTGCTGTGATCGCCGGAGCCTCACCGCTGCATCGGCAGTGAGTTTAAAAGCTCTCCTTGCATGCATTTATCTTGCAGGATTTCAACAAGGTGGTTGTCACCTGCATACAGTTAAAGCTGCACAACATAGGCTTTGATGGTCCCATATTCCCTTCCTGTGTCTTGGGAGGCACACAAGCAAGACCTGTCAGCAGCAGCTGCCTGAGAAGGCTCAGTGAGAGGGGCTGGGGGCTTGCTGCTGCTTCTTCTGCACCTAAAGTTTAATAATAATAATAGGAGGCTGCTGACTCTGTGAACTCCCTTTTCCAGGCGCTGAAGTACGCCTTCCAGACCAACGACCGCCTCTGCTTCGTCATGGAGTATGCCAACGGAGGGGAGGTCAGTGTCTGCTTGGGGTGGGGTGGGGGGAAGAGGGACACAGTCCCACTCTGACAGGAGCCACGGGGCTGAGCACAGTTGCACCCGTGGCCCTGGGGTCCCCAGAGAATCGCCGTTGTCGGCTGCCATCCTTCATTCTTCTTGCTGCTCACCTTCCAGATGTCCCTCTTCCCTCCCTGTCAACAAGCTGTGCTATCATTTTACAGTGGTGCCCTGCAAGACGAATGCCTCGCAAGACGAAAAACTCGCTAGACGAAAGGGTTTTCCGTTTTTTGAGTCGTTCCGCAAAACAAATTTCCCTATGGGCTTGCTTCACAAGACGAAACGTCTTGTGAGTTCTTGCGAGTTTGTTTCCTTTTTCTTAAAGCCGCTAAGCCGTTAATAGCCGCTAATAGCAGCTAAGCCGCTAATAGCCGTGCTTCGCAAGACGAAAAAACCGCAAGACGAAGAGACTCGCGGAACGGATTAATTTCGTCTTGCGAGGCACCACTGTAGGTTATATTTTTTAACTGTTGCTATATCTGTATTGTCCCTGTTATACCTAATTGCAAATTCAAATGTATTCCTATCGTGTTTTATGACTTCCTTGATATTGTATGTGAGCTGGAACTGGTCTGTGAGTGAAATAATAAAATTCAATTCCCTTCCCGTCCAGCTGTTTTTCCACCTTTCGAGGGAGCGAGTCTTCACAGAGGACCGTGCCCGTTTCTACGGGGCTGAAATTGTTTCCGCCTTGGAGTACCTGCACTCCCGGGACGTCGTCTATCGTGACATCAAGGTAACCCCCCACAGAACACCTGGTCTGGCCTCAGCAGAAGGCGCTCAGGTGGGAAGAAGATCCTGCCTTCTTATGGGGAGAAGTGGGAGCTGTATAGGGCTCCCTTTTCCATAAGAGGTTTTGCCTTGCCCGCAGCATTGAGCTGGGTAGGGAGGGAAGGTTCTGTAGGAGGAGGAGGTGGCACATGGTACTTTTAAAACTAAAATTCTCCTTGCAAAATTACGAGTTACTCCTTTTTTGTCCCACCCAAGGGACGCGCAGTGAGCTTCATGGCCAGGCAGGAATTTGAACCCTTCTCTCCCCGATCCGAGTCCAGCATTCTTAACCACCAATGGAGTCTCAAATGCCCTTGAAGCAGAATGCAAGGAAATAGTTAGAATGCCAGAAGAATGAATTTGGGAAAGAGCACCAGCAGGCCTGAAAGCAAAACCCTTCTCCTGGTGTGGGGATTGTAGAACTGTAGAATTGGAAGGGACCCTTAAGGTCCTCTAGTCCAACCCCCTGCAATGCAGGAATCTCAACTAAAAGCATCCAGATGGCCACCCAAACTCTGCTTAAAAACCTCCAGGGAAGGACTGAGGGCTTTCCACGGGGAAGGAGCCAGCAGGTGGGCTTTCTGAGCAAGGCAATCCCAGACTCAAGGCCACTGTAGCCCCTGGCCTCCACCAATGGGCAAGCGGGATCGTGCCCTCCTTGCAGACATCCTGGGCCCTTCAAGTGGTGTACAGTGATGGAGCAGCCCTGGAGTCATACTGGGAGCCAGGGCGGCACAAAGACTCTGTCCACACAGCCTGCAGTCACGCCAGGAGTCCAAATAGGATGTGACCAGTTGTGAGCTTGGCCACATCTGCTTTAGAATGATAGAGTTGGGCCACTCAGTCCAACCCCGTGCAGTTCAGGAATCTTCTGGCGTACGATTGCAGCAGCTTCCAGACCCAGGTGGGGACCTTGGCTCCCTGGTTTCTGGGTCAGCCTACAAGGGTAAGGAATGAAATGCATGATTTCTCCTGCTGGCTGCCCTCTGCCCTTGGGGTCCAGCCCGTCTGCTGCTGCTTCTGGCTGTTCCCAGCGTGTCATTCCCGCCGCCCACCCATCTGAGCAGGATCTTTCCCTCCCCGCCTCGCCCCTGACTTGCCTTTTTTCGCCTCTTCCAGCTGGAGAATCTCATGCTGGACAAGGACGGGCACATAAAGATCACAGACTTTGGGCTGTGCAAGGAGGGCATCAGTGACGGCGCCACCATGAAGACTTTCTGCGGGACGCCGGAGTACTTGGCCCCTGAGGTATCGGGGGGGGGGCTCTTGCCTGGGCTGAGAGGGCTGAGATGATGGGGGGGGTGTCTGGCCTCTCTCCTGCTTGCAGTAGCTGTTGCTGCCCCCTTCGTGGCTGCCAGGGAAGGGCCACCTAGATGGAAGTCACAAACTATACCCACAAAGGAGGAATGGATTTGTAAACTAAATGAATATTTAATTGTGGCAAAATTAACTGCTATAATGGGACACAGATGGCACTGTGGGTTAAACCACAGAGCCTAGGGCATGCTGATCAGAAGGTCGGCGGTTTGAATCCCCGCGACGGGGTGAGCTCCCGTTGCTTGGTCCCTGCTCCTGCCAACACAGCAGTTCAAAAGCACGTCAAAGTGCAAGTAGATAAATAGGTACCGCTCTGGTGGGAAGGTAAACGGCGTTTCCATGCGCTGCTCTGGTTCGCCAGAAGCGGCTTAGTCATTCTGGCCACATGACCCGGAAGCTGTACGCCGGCTCCCTCGGCCAATAAAGCGAGATGAGCGCCGCAACCCCAGAGTCGGACACGACTGGCCCTGATGGTCAGGCGTCGCTTTACTTTTTAACTGCTATAATAAGAAATCAGTCGAAACAAAAATTTAAAAAAGGAGTGGAAATGTTTTGATGAATATATGGCAAAATATTGCTCAAAAAAAGATACAGTAACATGCCTAGATTAAAATGTGAAGCACTGGATGGAAGAAAAATTAGTAAGGAAAGATAATAGGAATATATATAGATGATTTGAGAAGATTGTAGAATGCAAAGATTAGTGTAAATTCTAAAATGTGGAGGAAATCGAGTGGGGGCGAAGTGGGAGGAGGGAGAAAAGAATAATATGATGGTTTGAGGAAATATAAATGTAGGGGGGGGATGGGGAAGAAATGGTGTTGGCTTTCCTACATCTGTATTGTAATGTAATATGTGAAAACCAATTAAAAGGAAGGAAGGGCCACCTAGATGGACCCGGCCTGCTCCCCTCCACATCCTGGCTGAGCCGCCCCTGCTTTTCTCTCCTCCTCGCCCCCCCAGGTGCTGGAGGACAATGACTACGGGCGCGCCGTGGACTGGTGGGGGCTGGGCGTGGTCATGTACGAGATGATGTGTGGGCGCCTGCCCTTCTACAACCAAGACCACGAGCGCCTCTTTGAGCTCATCCTCATGGAGGAGATCCGCTTCCCTCGCACGCTCAGCCCCGAGGCCAAGGCCCTGCTGGCCGGGCTGCTCAAGAAGGACCCCAAGCAGAGGTGGGCTTTTCGTTGCCTGTGTGTGGAAGAGGCCGCCTGGCGGGGGTGGGGCAGCTATCTTGCTGCCATGGAGTCAACGTAGCAGAGCAAATTTTAGCACAGGGATAACTCAAGCAGAGTTGGTTAGTTTCGTAGTTGGGATTACCAAAATGACCTCAGCACCTCCACCCCCATCGTTCAGCCCGGACACTGAGGTCCAGCTCCGAGGGCGTTCTGGCAGTTCCCTCAATGCGAGAAGCGAAGTTACGGGGCCTGGTTCGGTGGTGGCACCTGCCCTGTGCAACACCCTCCTGTCAGATGTCAAGGAAATAAGCAACTGTTTGACTTTTAGAAGACATCTGAAGGCAGCATTGTACAGGGAAACTTTTTAAGGTTTAATGGTTTATTATGTTTTTATATAAATACTTTGGAAGCCGCCCAGCATGGCTTGGGTGTAAATATTGTTCTTGTTATCATCATCATCAAATTTTATTGTGGCCTCTTTGTAAGCTGTCCTGGAAGCCTTCCCCAAGAGGGATATGGAGACGCGCATTGAACCCCAAATTCTACTTCCCAGGGTTGTGGGGCAGTGTGCATCAAGTGAAATAAACCGTGGTTTTGGCTGCATAGTTCTTTTGTGACAAGTGAGGAGGGTCTGACTGGGGTGGTGTTTTTTGGGGGAGGCGCTATACTCTGGGAGAAAGGAGGCTTGGAAAGAGGTCAGGCCAACCTGCTTCTTAGCAGGTGCTTTGGACGACAAAGCCCACCAGTATCCTGCGGACGTCTGCCTAGGGGGCTGATGGGAGTTGCCGCCCAAAACATCCAGTGGGCACTTGGCTGGCGCAGAATAATGCCAAGGCTGTGGGGCAGCGAGAGAAAATTGTCTCCCCACTGCCCCTCGTGCTGCCACCCAGGTACAGGGACTCCCGCTGGAAATCTCAGACTCCCCCCCAGTTACTGTGGTTACAGGACCCCTTTGTTGTGCCCACAGGTTGGGGGGCGGCCCCAACGACGCCCGGGAGGTGATGGAGCACCGCTTCTTTGCCGCCATCAACTGGCAGGACGTGGTTCAGAAAATGGTAAGGAGAGAGGGCGGCACAGGGGGCCTCTGATGTGAAGACACAGTGCTCATTCCCCTGACCCCTCCAGCCACTCAGGTTGTGTGGGGAGGGGAGCCTCTCCAGCTGCCCCTCAAGCTGCCTGGGGGAGTGGGGGGGGGGTCTGGGTGGTGCCAGGACCACAAAGTGAGCTTGGCCCCCTTTTTCTCCCCAGCTCATCCCGCCCTTCAAGCCGCAGGTGACTTCTGAGATCGACACCCGGTACTTTGACGACGAGTTCACAGCACAGTCCATCACCATCACCCCTCCTGACCGATGTGAGTGACAGAATCCTGGGAACCCCAGGGCTCATCTAGTCCAACCGGCAGCCATGGGCTGAGGGTTCAATTCCCCCTTTTGCAGCGCTGGGGGTGGGGGGGAGTTGTTGCTTTGAATCCGCTTGCGCCCCAGGCGATGAGCAGCTTCCCGCCTCCTTTGACCTGACTCTCCCCTCCTTCTCCCCCCACAGACGACACCTTGGACTCGCTAGAGGCCGACCAGCGGACCCACTTCCCCCAGTTCTCCTACTCGGCCAGCATCCGGGAATAGGGGGGCAGCGGCACTCCCCCTACAGTGCCCCCGCCAGAGCGACGGCGGGGCTTGCAGGACGCCAGGACACTCTGCAGGGGGAGGGTGCCCCCCCATCTCACTGGCCCTGCAGCGCCCCAAATCGGGGGGCTGGGCAAACAGCCTCCCCCACCAGGCAGCAGCAACAGCGCAGGGGGGGCCCTGCTTCCCCGCCAGGAATCCGCTTGGACCACAGGAGCCACCACAGCCGCTCCCCCACCTGTTGTCAAGTTTTCAGAGCAGATGGACTTGGGGGAGGCTTTCCTCGACTTTCAAGGATCTGCACCCTGCCCTGACTGGGGGGCTGTTTTCGGATGTTTGCTTGGAAAGCTCCCCGGGCAGGAGAAAGTGCGTCTCCCCCCACCCTGCAAGGACGTTGGTGAAGCCAGGTGGGGGGTCACTGGAGGAAGAGAGACAGGAGAGCCTGGGGGACTCCCAGAGGGCAAACTGACACGGAGTGTGTGCTGCAGAGACACGTTTTCTTGGGGGGGGGAGCTGGACCCCCCCTTTGCCGGATGGCCAGGGACGCTGCGGGGGGAGGTGTGAATACTGGGCCCGTCAAGCCAGGCTTTGCGCAGTGGAGACAGACTGGGTCACCCACGGTTCCAACTAGTAGTGGGGTTTTTTTGGGGGGGGAAGATGGGGGGCACACCTTTCTGAGCTTTGGAAAGCAGCTGTGCAGAGTTCCTGGGTGCTCTTCCAGGTCTCCTCGGATGCGCGGAGCGGGTGCCACTGCTGCTTGGGCGGCCTTTAGAGGAGGGCAAGGTGGGCTCACCCCCCTGGTGCCACCGCCCTCCCCTTCCACCCCAGCCTGGTCATCCTCCTGTGGGGAAAGAGCGCTGCATGGTGCCCTCCATCACTGGAACATGGCTGGGTGGGGGGCGGCCAGAGGAAGCCCAGGCTCCTCGGAGGGTCATGGAGTCTCCCGGGGTTTCCCTCCCTGGCTGGGGGAGCCTCCCTTGCTGCACCTCAACGCTGGCGGTGTGGCTTGTGCAGTTGCTGCTACCTCTTTGACCGCGGGCAAAGCGTTGACCTGCCTGGAGCCCTGGAGAGTGAAAGAGGGATCGGGCCCTGGGCGGTTCCTAGCTCCTCCAGCCTCCAGCAAGCCTCTCCCCCCGTCTTTCTCATGGCTGGTCCAGGGGCAGCTTGGCCTTCCGCGCTTGTCCTGGCACAACTGTTAGTGCCCTCCTTCCCTCCCAGCAGGCTTGTGGGCTAAAGCAGCCCAGGGGTGGCACTGCCGTTTGAGCATGAGAGCCTGCGCCCCTGGGTGTCTGCTTGTGCAGACGGATCTCTCATCCCCCTCCCCAAGAGGCTTCATTTGGGGTTACCTGGGCAAGATCTCGCCATCTCCCTCTCTTAAGTCTGCTGCCTTGTTCTTGGTGGGGCAGAGGTCCGGTGGCAGAGACATTTGCCTGCTGTGGCGGCAGCGCCCGGCTGGAGAGCAAAAGCAAGGCCCAGGCTCCTTTGCCAAGACCACCACCGCCTTGGCCAACGTGGGGATGCATGGAGTGACGGGGATGTTGCAGGAAGAACTCCTTTTTCTTCCGGGCAAGGGTGGCCCTGGGCAAAGGGCCTCTGGACTGGCCGGCGCCTGAGTCTGTGTTCATTTGGTTGTGCTTCTTCAAGTCGGCTTCTCCCTCGGCTGGGGCAAGGCTTTCCCGCGTGCCCCCCCACAAGTACCACAGAATATCCAGGGAGGGGAAGGTGGTCAGGGTGAAAGACTGGGTGTCCCCACCTCCCTCACTGATGCTAAGCCCACTGCACCCCTTTCTATAATGAGCTTTTTAGTGGGGATTCAAACCCCAGCACCACCAAATGTGTTTTCGTTTTTGCAGGAGATGGGTGAGGCGGTTGCCCCTTAGGTGCTTTTGGTTCACTTGGCTACCGTAAGGCGGGAATGTTGGGAACCCTTTGCTTACCCCTTTCTGGAATGCGAAGGAACAGAGCGAGGGGCATCGCAGTGCCCGGGGGGGGAGGGGTCGAGAGAGCAGCCCTCGTTCTTCACCAGCTCCTTTGAACCAAAGGGCATTGTGGGGGGAGAATCTGCAGAGAAAGGGGCTCAAAAAGAGGGCAGTGTTTCCAGGAGCCGGGCTGGGGCAGGGGCGGCTTGTGAGAGGGGTGGCATTGGGGGGGCAGGAGCGGAGACCTCCCTCCAGAATGGTCCCTTGCCCCCCCCCATGGCCTGACTTGACCTCCTTTGGCGCAGCATCTCTCAAAAGGGCTGGGTTTGGGGGGAGAATGAGACTGCTCCCATTGTGCTTTCGGGGCCACTGTAGACCAAGGCCAGTAGAGCAGGACTGGGGTTGGGGGGGCTTGGCTGAGGGAGCCCGCCCAGACCGCCATTGCAAAGCCCCCTTGTGACCTTGCAGCGACCTAGGCTCCATGCAGGTCAAGCTCTCCGGTGGCCGCACTTAGGCTTCCCCCGGCTGCCCCGCGCCAGCTCAGCGCCCTCCTGCCCAGGTGGGCAGCTGCGGAGTCCCAGCCCGGGCAGGGGAGGTCTCCCGACCCAGGTGGGCTGAGCTGCTTTTGCTGTGCCAGGACGGGGGTCCGCAAGGAGCGTGCGGCCTGCCCGTTCATTGCCCACGGTGGTGGGGTGTGGGGCCGGCCCTCCGCCTTCCTCCACCACAGCAGAGGTGCCTTCCTGGGGTCAAGCCCCAGTTCTCCAAGCCTTAACCTCCTCTCCCCTCCTGCCCCCTGCTTCAACAGGAAACATTCCTGGGGGGGCTTTTGGTCCAAGGTCCTGGCGATCTTGGCTGGGACCCCCGTCATTACCTCATGCCTGCCGTGGGGGCAATGCGCAGAGGGGAGAGGGCTGCCTTTCCATCGCTGGGGGGGTGTCCCATCCTGCTCTCCCCCTCCTCTTGCATACGGTTGAATGTAAACTCACCTGGCGCAAAAGGTGGGTGGCTCTGAGGGAGGGACACCCCCCACGGCACTTCTCATCCTTTCTCTCTGGCTCAGGCCAGCCACGCCCTCCCCCAAAATGTGACTTTTTGCTGCCTTTAGTTTCTGTGGGCCTGGAGCAGAGGGGAGGGCAGAGCCTCAGCGGCCATCAGCCCCTCCGAAGAGCCTTGGGGGGGGGTCTGGCCCCTTTCCATTCCTCACCTGCAGCGGGTGCGAATCTTCACCACCCAGCACTGGGAAGGGAACTGGGTTGACAGGCAGCAGGCTGCCTGAGCTCACAACTCAGGTACCCCTGCCTCGCTGCTGTGCCATCCCTGCCTTGGCAAGCCCAGCTTGCTGACGCCACGTGGACACAAGCTGGAAGAGGCTCGGCCGCTCTGAATCGTTGGCCTGCGGAGGGGGGATTGGCAATGGTGATGCCTCCCCACAAGCATGGAGGGGGGTTTGGTGGGGGGCTGCTGAGCCCTTCTGACCCCTTTGGCCTCCTCTGACCCCCCCCCTCCACTCGGCCTTTCATTTCAATGCAGGCCTTTGACACTCGTCTGACTCCAAAGCGCAGGCAGCCTTAGAAACCTCCATTTAGGTGCTTAAAGGTTTTATATGACTTCAGAAGCTTTTTTTCCCCTCGAGGAAACCATATTTGGATCGCGACTATAACCTTACAGGACCTTTCCGATCCCGTGCGATGTATGTTCTACAGAATTCAGGGGGGGTGGTCCTGGATATAGAGGGAGGGGTGTTACACACACACACACACACACACACACACACAAAATCTTTGACGAAGGGGGTTAATAAAGGGGTTTTTTCCACTTAGTTTCCGTAGTTGTGATAGTTGAGGTTTATTAACTTAATACTGACCCTCTTCAGCGGCTTTAATTGGGACCGCCTGCCTTCCGCTGCTGTGCTGTGTTTTTTCTCTGCGATTTCTCTCTCCAGCGCTGGAAGGCGACTGCGATGGCACTTCTCTTCGCCCGGAGGGGACGGGGGGGGGCAGGGTCTGGCTCCCCTCCCACCCCGAGCTCACCCACTCAGTTTGTAAAATAAGTTCCGCTTGAGAGGCAAGTCCTCCAGAGCATCTTTTGTGGGGAGGCGTGCCAGGCGAGAGGGGCCTTCCTTGGGCGTCTCCGCGGTGCCTCCCTCTTCTCCTTCCCTCTGCTGCCCTTGGATTTGTACGGTACGAGCAATAAAAGGTTTTGTTTTTCTTTCTAGGGTGTGTCCTGTTCTTCGTTTTGTGTCACACACGCTTCTTTTCCTTAGAAATGCAAGTGCCAAGCCACACTTTCCAAAAAACCCACCCCCATTAAAAACCCTTATTAATTTTTGCATATATAAAATGAGTTGCACCCCACAACAACTCCTGTTCCCACAGGAGAAGACAGGATTCAGCATTTTGCCAAATGATGCCTAACCAAAAGGGTATTTCTGCTCTGCTTATACACCCAGCCCTCACTTCCCCATTGCTTGGTTCTCGTCATCTCCAGATGCCTTTAGATCATGGGTAGGCAAACTAAGGCCCGGGGGCCGGATCCGACCCAATCATCTCAGGCTGGCCTGTGGACAGTCCGGGAACCAGCGTGTTTTTACATGAGTAGAATGTGTGCTTTTATTTAAAATGCATCTCTGGGTTATTTGTGGGGCATAGGAATTTGTTCTTTCCCAAAAAAAAATATAGTCTGGCCCCCCACAAGGTCTGAGGGGCAGTGGACCGGCCCCCTGCTGAAAAAGTTGGCTGACCCCTGGTTTAGATGCTCCTGGGCCAACCCAGTAGTGATGTATGGAAGTGAGAGCTGGACCATCAAGAAGGCTGATCGCGGAAGAATGGATGCTTTTGAATTCTGGTGCTGGAGGAGACTCTTGAGAGTCCCATGGACTGCAAGAAGATCAAACCTCTCCATTCTGAAGGAAATCAGCCCTGAGTGCTCACTGGAAGGACAGATCCTGAAGCTGAGGCTCCAGGACTTTGGCCACCTCATGAGAAGAGAAGACTCCCTGGAGAAGACCCTGATGCTGGGAAAGAGGGAGGGCACAAGGAGAAGGAGACGGCAGAGGACGAGATGGTTGGACAGTGTTCTTGAAGCTGCCAGCATGAGTCTGACCAAACTGCGGGAGGCAGTGGAAGACAGGAGTGCCTGGCGTGCTCTGGTCCAGGGGGTCACGAAGAGGCGGACACGACTAAACAACAGGGCCAACCTTCCATCTGGTCCTTTGGGGGAAGTTAAAGATGTCCTTTTGCTGCCTGCCATGCAGGTAGCCAAAGTTGGCTGTGGGGTGAGGTGTTTGAGGAGAGACGTTCCCTCTCTTGCAAATCCTGATCCTGCCTGCCTGAGTGTCATTTTCATGAAGCTGAGCTCCTCATCGTTTTAGGCCAGAGCAGTGAGAGAACCCAGAATGGCCCCGTGTGCAGTGTTACACAAATTTTAGTTGAAAACTAATGTACTAAAACGGCATTCATGTATATCTGAGGCTAAGCATTTTTTACAAAAAAGTTGATTAATTTCAGTATGCATGCTTATCGTACCAGTAATCAGCAGGTGCTGGGCAACACTTTTAAGAGAGCCATTCCTTCAACCTTCGCTCCAGCAGAAGGTGATGCCTCTTCTAAGATAATTGTGACGTAGACATTAAACAGCTTTAAAAAAGCATGCTTGCCACCTTCAGAATCTGTAGAATCAGAATTCCAAAATGCACAGTACATGCAGACTGAATTGGCCAGTCTGTCTGGGCTGGGGTACAAACAATGAAATGGGTATTATAAACATGCTGACTAGCAGGTAAGCTCTCTTCAGCCCAGTGGGACTTCTCTCCTTGTAAACATATCTAAGGTTGCACCCCTTTCCTTTTTGTAAACAACATTATTACTTGATCCAGCTCCATGGTTCTAGGCTTCCATGAACAGCCTCTTCCATGGATGATGATGATGATGATAATAATAATAATAATAATAATAATAATAATAATAATAATAATAATAAATTTTATTCATACCCCGCCCTCCCCAGCCAAGACCGGGCTCAGGGCGGCTGACACCAGGTATAAAAATGATTGAAATACAACTTAAAAACAAGATTAAAATACAACATTAAAATGTGTCTGCTTATGGCAGCAAAGGCACCGCTGGCCCTGCTGACCTCCCGTGACTGGGGAGGGCCGGCCCCTTTCAGGATGGGAGCCCGTGCTGCCTAAGGCCTGCCCACTGGGTCTGTCTTTGCTAATTTTTGCTAATTAAGCACAGCTGGAGTTGCAGCTCACTTGGGCCTGACACTCCCTGGCAGAGCTGACCTTCCTTCCTAGCCCTTCCTCCTCCGGGGACCATGTGGGGGGTGCAGGCCAAGCCCACCACCTTTCAAGAGAGGAGATCCTGGCAGACTGCAAGTTTGTTGGTTTGCTCTTGTGGTGGGGGCTCCTGGGGGGGGCAGGAGGGTTTGGGGGGGTCCTTAGTCTCCCTGCATTTTTCCCCTTTCCACCCTCTGCTGCCAAAGAGCTGTGGCTTTTGGAAAGGCCCCTGAGTGGATGTGGGGGTTGGTTTGGGTTTTTTGGGGGGAGCACTGTTCCGTTTGGACCGGTGTCTGCAGAACCTGCCTCCCACAGCAGGCTAGCCCCTTGGGGGTACCTAACAGAGACCCTCGTTGGAAGCTGCGTCCCCTGAGCTGAGAGGCCCTGCCACCCATTCCCAGATGTGGCGGGAGAAAGGCCTGCACTCTGCACATGCCCAGAAACGCTCTCTATCAGAGCGGCATCCTCCTAGCATTGCAAAGGAGGCTTTCTCCACCATCCTGGCCTCTCTCTTTGCTCCCCTCGGTGGAGAAGATGCTGCAGTGACTTGCCAGCTTCAAGTTGGGGGTCGAGAAGCTGAAGGTGGGGGCACATTTGCCAAAAAAATTATATCCCAGCTCTGAAGTGGCTTTAACTTCCCACATTTGGCTCGTGGTCACACCTGTGACCTTCACTTTCTCCGAGACGCTCCTTGGTAAAAGCCCATGTGGGGGGCATGGAGGGACCCCAGAAACCAAAGTGGGGGGTTCTCCCCCTTTAACTCCTCCCTTAAATATGTTCCGTTTTAGGCAGATGAGAAAAGGGAGCCTTTGAAGAGCAAGAACAACAAAGGACTGAGCAGTGAAAAAGGATCCCGAAAGGTGGGTCCTGCAGAGGGTGCTGGGGTGCATTGTTAGAAGACAGGAATCATTTGCAGAGTGGGGGGCAGAGAGGTGCACCCTTGAAGCCCCCCCCCCCCGCTCACCCGGAAGCAATGATGTCATCATTCCTTAGCTTTGAGCACCCATTTCCGGCTCCCTTTAATAGTGAACTTGGGTGCTGAGTGCCAGCAGGATTGGCGCCCCAAAGGTTCAAGGTGTTCGTGTTCTGGTTGGGGGGCACAGAGAAGTACAGCAGACCTTCAGACAAAACAGCCTATGGGGCAACAACACGCACCTTACGAGCAAAGAGCTGGAGGAGGATTGAGGATGCTCAGTACCTTGGGGTGTGGGGTGTCAGTGGGGAAAGAAAACTGAGGTGGGACAGGTTGGAGGGGAGGGGGAAGGATATCCCAGAGGGGAGAATATTTCTGACCGGCTGAAGCCCCGAATAGGAGCAGCCCTCTTAGACTACGCTGCAACATTTTGTTGCAGATTCCACACTGACGTTCACTTGGAAGTCATTGCCATGGGAGGGAGGGAGGGAGGTAAAGGCGCTTTGCATATGCTCAAAAGGCGACACGGGTGGCGCTATGGGTTAAACCACAGAGCCTAGGACTTGCCGATCAGAAGGTCAGCGGTTCGAATCCCCGTGATGGGGTGAGCTCCCGTTGCTCGGTCCCAGCTCCTGCCAACCTAGCAGTTTGAAAGCACGTCAAAGTGTAAGTAGATAAATAGGTACCGCTCTGGTGGGAAGGTAAACGGCATTTCCGTGCACTGCTCTGGTTCACCAGAAGCGGCTTAGTCATTCTGGCCACATGACCCGGAAGCTGTACGCCGGCTCCCTCGGCCAATAAAGCGAGATGAGCGCCGCAACCCCAGAGTCAGTCACGACTGGACCTAATGGTCAGGGGTCCCTTTACCTTTATATGCTCAAAAACAAACAGCCTCTACTTTCAGCTGGTTGTTGGCACTGCAGAGGTAAGTTCTCAGACTCCTTGTCTCTGCTTCCTTCCCCCTGCAACACCCTTGGAAGGCAGGAGATCAGGGGCTGAACATTTGCCACGTATATTGGGGCATCAAGTGACCACGTGAGCCAGCTAGAACACCTATTGTCTACTGCGTTTCTGTCCCAGCCTTTTCTCCAAAGGGTTCTGGGTGGTTCCCTCCTCATCTAACCTAGGGTTACCAGACGTTCCTGGGGACAGTCCCCGGATTTGCAAATCTTTCCCCAGACAAGTTCCATCCTCGGTATGTCCCCAGATTTGCAAAAATCTGTCCCCAGGAAACATGGCAGCCTCAGCAGCCCGGAGCCAGCCTGGTAGCGCAGTTGGCTCTGGCTGGCTCCAGGCTGCTGACTGCCACTGCCAAAGGGGAACCGGGGTCATCCGGCAGTACAGATCTCCTGCCCCCTTCCCCCCTTTTTTTTACTGATAGGGGAGGCTTAGGAGTTGTGGGTGGGCGGCCGTTGCCCAGGAGGGGCGCAAGGCACGCGGTTTCTCTGCTGGGCAAGCTGCAAAGCCCTTCTTTCGCAACCTGTGAAACATAAATGCGCAGAGTTTTTTAAACTGTGCATTTATGTTTCACAGGGTGCGAAAGAAGGGCTTTGCACCTTTATGCAATATGCACGTGCGCTTGGGCCCAGGGTCTTTTGCCTCACCATCCCCACTACTGACTCCCTGTTGCTACTCGGCTTCAAAAAAGAAAGTGTCCCCGGATTTATTTTTTAAAAATCTGGTACTGTAACCATAATCTAACCCCCACAACAACCCTGTGAAGTAGGTCAGGCCGAGAGAGGCAGCGACTGGCACCCAAGGTGAGCGTCGTAGCTGAGCTGGAGATTTGAACCCTGGTTGCTCCCAGGTCCTGGTCCAGTGCTCTAACCACTACACCACACTGGCACATTGGTGGTGGCCCCAGTTGTGCCTCTGCTTACAATTCCAGGCTGCAAGGCTCTGAGGAGGCGTTTTAAGATGCAGGAGCTGGTTCACGGAGCCCTGCTCTGCCTCTGTGGGGGACACAGGTCTAATCTAGTGCTCTTGCGGCCAAACTGTGGTGCTGTGGTTGAGACCTGGGAGAGACCAGGATTTGAATCCCCACATGGCCTGGGTGACAGCCAGTGCCTCTCGGCCTAATCTGAAACATTATGCCGCCTTCAGCTCCTTGGAGGGAAAAAAGCGGGATGAAATGCAATCAATCTATCAATCGGCCCCTCGCACCCCAAATCTCTCTTACAGCGGAAGGTCCCCGGGAGTCATGAGAAGGACGTTACTTCTGAGAAACCGGGCGCCGTCTGCCCCAGGACCTCAGCAGAGCCGGCTTTGCAAAGAGGTGAGGGGGCTGCAAGCAAAAAAGTTTTGCAGGATGATGTAAAAGTTGGGAGGCCTGATGGGGAGGGAACAAGAGTTGGCCTGGGGGCGCTTCCCCTATTGCCTCCTGCCTACCGCTTCCCCCTCCCCATAAGCTGTGAATTTTAAGTAGTCCTAATCCAAAGCCCCTCCTGCCAACCTAGCAGTTCGAAAGCACGTCAAAGTGCAAGTAGATAAATAGGTACCACTCCAGTGTGAAGGTAAACGGCGTTTCCGTGCGCTGCTCTGGTTCGCCAGAAGCGGCTTAGTCATGCTGGGCACGTGACCCAGAAGCTGTACACCGGCTGCCTCGGCCAGTAAAGCAAGATGAGCGCCGCAACCCCAGGGTCGGCCACGACTGGACCTAATGGTCAGGGGTCCCTTTACTTTTACCTAATTCAAAGCCCGTTAATTCTTACCAAAGTTTTTGGAAACGGTGAAGCCCCGAAGATAAGATAAGAGAAAACTTTAATCGCTTTAGCCAATGGCCATAGCAACAGCAAAACATTACAGTATACGCAAAAAAGGGGATTTGATATAAGAGCACAATTTAAAGTCCTGAATCAGCCGTCAGTTAGTGGCCCTTATTCTGATTGCCGCTGCCAAAGTGACTCACTTTTTCCGTACAAAGGGTGGCAAACATATACCATCAGCCCTAGAAGTCTTCAAAGCTAAACCCCTGGCACAGCTACTACAGTATATGGGGCTCAGATTTTTTGCTGGTAACCACCTTAGCACTTTGGAAGCTCTTCAATCAAAGTTTCTAAGGCAGATTTTTTCCGTACCGCCATGAATCCCAAACGCATCATTGAGCCTGGAGGCAAGTCTCCCTTCAGTAGAAATACAGACTTGACACCCAGAAGGACACTGCCCAACCTCCCTGCTCCCCTTGTCCCACGACAGGGTCCTTCGGGCATGGGGGGCGGGCCTTGCACCCAGTCCCATCTCAACCCATTGCATCTGGCACAGCAACATGCAGAAGCAGCCGGGTGCTTTGCGGAAATCTCGGGCGAGTGAGCCAAACCGCACCACAGCGGCTGTCTCTTTCCTCTCCTACCCCAGTTGCTCCTGCCTCTGAGGTCCTTGTGGAGGAGCTCTCGCAAGCCATGTTGCGCCTGGGCATGGGTCTGGAGAAGGAGTATGCCTATGACATCTTCAGGCAGCCTGATGGTGAGTTGGAGGGGGTGGTGACTATTGGGATACTGCCAGGGAGACGGGGGCATGAGGCAGGTCCCTAGCTGGCTCCGAATGATCACCGCTCTCCCGTGGAACAGCATCAGTCAATTAGCGACACGAGCCTCAGATACGTTCCAAGACCCGTGCACACCCTTTCAGCAGGGTGTATAAATCTTCCACAATGGAAGAAGCAGACAGAGAGAGCATATTTACAGCTTTATTCAGCTTAGTTCAGGAACAAAGGAAACATGACTGCTTGCCTTCATATCCAGCAAAACAGCTGCATATCAAAGCTACATGCAATGGAAGTTCCCAGTGAGAGCTGGAAGTAAACAGGCATGTGATACACAAACGTCATGCCTGTACCCTTTTAAGGTGGAACGGAACTATATCCTAACAGTGACTTCCATCCTGAGGACCAGTGTTGGAATCCCTGCCTCCCAAGAAAGGCCCCTGTGGGATGACCTCTCTCAGAGGATTTTGGCTGGGGCTGCTGCCCTCTCTCCCTGCCGTGGGGGCTTCCCAAAGGCCCCTTGCTTGGCTGGTAGGGGACTCAGAATTTTAGAGTTGGACGAGACCTCCAAGCGTCCTATAGTCTGACCCCCTGCAGTGCAGGAATGTCACCCAAAGCACCCATGACAGATGGCCCTCCAGCCTCCGTTTACAAATGAAGGGGAGTCCACACCACCGCTCAGCTGTCAAACAGGTCTTACCACCAGGAAGGTGGATTAACAGACCCACATTAATTGTCAAGTTGGACGGGATCTCCAAGGGTCCTCTAGACTGACCCTCTGCAGTGCAGGAATCTTTGCTCAAATCTACGACCCTCAGATTAATAATAAATAATAATAAATTTTTATTTATACCTTTCCCTTCCTGGTTCAGAAAACCGGGGTTCAGGCGGCTAACAACAAATTTAAAAACACTTCATTGTAAAAGCAGCATAAAATACAGTATAAAAACATGAATAACAATAAAATTCAAAGTTCAGAAATCAATTTGAGGGAAATCCAGTCACCAGGGCTAGCTGGCTGAATTAGTCCTATTTGGGCCAGCAAGGAGGCCAGGGGAGAATTAGCTGTGGGGTCTCAGAGCGGGTAATCTTCATAAAAGGGGAGGGGGAGGGAAGAGAAGGGAAATAGAAGATCAGGCTGAATTCAAATTAAAGGCCAGGTGGAATAGCTCTGTCTTACGGGCCCTGCAGAAGGAAGTTAAACCCTGCAGGGCCCTGGTCTCATGGGACAGAGCATTCCACCAGGTTGGAGCCATCACTGAGAAGGCCCTGTCCCTGGTGGAGGATAGTCTGACTTCCTTAGGGCCTGGGACCTCTAAACTATGGTTATTCATGGACCTTAAGGTCCTCTGTGGGGCAGACCAGGAGAGGTGGTCCCGTAAATACGAGGTCCCTAAGAGCCTCCTGTTCTACTGAGTGACACCTGTCACAGCTCCTTTGCTTTGTCCTCTCCCAAAGGACGGGGGTTTATGAGAAGAAGGGAAGGGGAGATGCAGCAACTTCAGGGCTCCTTTCTCCCCCCTTTCCTCCCCACAGCAGAAGCAGCCGCATTACGCCTTCCGGGGGCTTGACGTGCCCAGGTCTGTGACGGGAGAGATGCGCGGCCTCATCATCGATTGGCTGGTGCAAGTACATGTAGATACCAGCAGGACCCCCCCCCAAAATGTCTCCCCCCTGGAAGAGCGGGTGGGGAAGTTTGTTTGGGGTGGGGCAGCAGGAGGCCCTGAGTTTCCATCCCCTTGCAGCCGACTCAGGTGGGCAGGGAGGCATCCAGGGCCGGCTCTGCAATGAGACAAGGTGAGGCAGGCACCTCGGGTGGCAGAATGGGAGGGGTGGCAGGTTTGGCTCCCTCCCCTTGCTGGAGAGGCAAACTTCTGCCCTGAAGGGGGTCGCCAGGGGGTCCTTGGAGCAAGCGAGAGTTGGGGCTTGGGGAGCCTTTGTTGTAGGGCAGGATATCGGGGAATGGTGCCCCCAAAGTCATAGAATCACAGAGCTGTAGAGTTGGAAGGGACGAGAAGGACAAGCCACTCTGGGGCGCAGAAAGTTGTGTCTAATCCTGCTTCTGCCCCCCCCCCCCAGGAATACCTGGCCCTGGCGGACGAGACTCTCTTCCTGGCCGTCTACCTCTTCAACGCCTACTTGAAAGCGGGCCGAGTGCGAATCTCCACCCTGCAGCTCCTGGCTGCCACCTGCCTCTTCCTGGCCTGCAAGGTAGAGGAGAGCAGTTGCCCTCAGGTGAGCAGGAGGCCGCAGGTGGGAGGGGGAGACTCTGGTGCCCTAGACTCCCACCTCTAGCAGAGGCAGTTGAGACTCTGTGCCAGTCAAGGGGGCAGTTCCTGCTGAATAGCTGTGGCTGGGCTGCAGCCTTGCTTGGGGGCTTCCTCTAGTGAGCTGATCCTGCACAGCCCACCGTTCCTGCAAATGAGCACCTTGTGGGGGTGGGCAGGGAGGCCCAGGGCAGCAGGAGGAGACTCAGACAGGCGCCTCTCCCATCGCCCCCCAGCTTATTTTTTTTAGTTGCTATGTTGTTAAAATTGCTTTGCCTTGTTGATTTGTTAATCATATTGTCAACACACTGCTCCCATCTCCACGAGGGCTGTGAGATCCCAGGGGTTGGGGGGGGCACACTTTCCAGGGTCCATGTTCCTCTCTGGGACAATGAGGCACAGCAGAGACTGCGGTGTCTTCGTGAAATGTGGTTTTATTCGCACATATATGTGACCTGCAAGGGACGTGGGTGGCGCTGTGGGTTAAACCACACAGCCTAGGACTTGCCAATCAGAAAGTCGGCAGTTCGAATCCCCACGATGGGATGAGCTCCCGTTGCTCGGTCCCTGCTCCTAACAGTTTGAAAGCATGTTAAAGTGCAAGTAGATAAATAGGTGGCGGGAAGGTAAACTGCGTTTCCGTGCGCTACTCTGGTTCGCCAGAAGCGGCTTAGTCATGCTGGCCACATGACCCGGAAGCTGTACGCCGGCTCCTTCGGCCCATAAAGCGAGATGAGCGCCGCAACCCCAGAGTCGGCCACGACTGGACCTAATGGTCAGGGGTCCCTTTACCGTTTTATATGTTACCTGCACCTCGATGGGGGGATTCCAGAACATTTGCATCCTATGGGGGTTTTGCTAACCCCCCCTTAAGGAGCGTTGGACTCAAAAGGACAGCAAAAAGCTCTGCGTCTCTTGGTTCTAGGTTGTCACACCCCCCCAGCTCTCTTGGAGTTCTGCCCACCCTCTCCTTCTCGCTGTTACTCCAAGGAGCTCCCACCAGCCTATGCCATTCAAAGTTGAAACCCTAAACCTCTGCCTGATTCCTTGATGGACCACCACTGACCTTTGGCCCCTGCTGGTGGCCCCTTCAACCAGCTCTGCCCAGCTGGCTTGGCTCCTAAGCAGAACTAAATCCAGGGCATTTGCATGATTCCCAAAGTTTAGCCCAACCTTATCTCTAAATTTTACTACATCCAGGAATGATGGGGAGGATGTGGCACCCAGGAATTTAGGGGAATCTGGGCCCCCAAACCCAATACAATATAATATGACATGCTGTAATCAGGCGATGTTTAGCTTATTTTTATATCATTTTTCTCCTGCCAACCTAGCAGTTCAAAAGCACATAAAAGTGCAAGTAGATAAATAGGTACCACTCTGGCGGGAAGGTAAACGGCGTTTCCGTGTGCTGCTCTGGTTCGCCAGAAGCGGCTTAGTCCTGCTGGCTACATGACCCGGAAGCCGTACACTGGCTCCCTCGGCCAGTAAAGTGAGATGAGCGCCGCAACCCCAGAGTCGGTCACAACTGGACTTAATGGTCAGGGGTCCCTCTACCTTTACCTATATCATTTTTAATAAGTCTCCCACCATATTTCAAAGCATTTATCATCATAAACATTTTCTTTTGACATACAAAGTTACTTTCTGATTTCCCACCCCTCCTTTCCTAATGTTTGTTTTTTTAGCTGTTTTATTGCACACATATTTTGACTATCCAAACCCCACTACTGTTAAATCTTTCACGAATCTGCTGCTTATATTTGACTTATTCTTTTTTAGTTGGCCGTTTGTTAAATATTGTTTCTTGGGTTTTACTTGTTTCGCCGACGATCATGGGATCTATGCTGTACTTGCGATGTCCTGTCACGTTGTTGTCACTTATTGTTTATGAGTCCCTTTGGGATTCACTTGAAAGTAGTCAGGGAAATGCAATCTCACAGGTAAAGAAGCATAGAGTTGGAAAGGACCCCCAGAGGTCATTCAGTCCAACCCCTTGCAATGCAGGAAGCGCAGCTGGAGCACCCATGGCAGGTGGCTACCCAACCTCTGCTTAAAAACAGCCTTGCGAGGGAGACTGCCCACCCACCCACCCCTTTCTGCCGCTGTCTCCTTCTCCCCTCCCTCCCTCCAGCCGTCCCAGCTCTGCTTCATGATGGAGGACTCATTCAACCAGAAGGAGCTGCTGCGCATGGAGCGCAAGATCTTGGCCCGCCTGAAGTTCGAGCTGCACTATGCCAACCCTGTCCACCTGCTGCACCTGCTGGCAGAAGTGGGCCATTGTGCCAGGGAGGTGAGTGTTGGGCTGGCGGGTGGGGGTCTCCCAGGCCACAGCTGACTCCTGGCTTTCCCTCTTAAAAGAGATGCCGGGGCTCAGAATGTAGCCTTCCCAAAGCAAGGAAGGATTGGACTCTGATTAATAAAATACACATGAGGCTTGACCAGCAAGACTCTGGGAGGAGTGCGTATAATAATCATTCCTGTCCGCCCCTCGGCCCAGGTCGTTTTATTCACAAAAGAACTTTTTACACAGTGTTCGTAAGAACCAAACAGATTTCCTCTGAGCATTTCAAAAAACCCCACGTGGGGACAAAGTTAAAGTTAAAACTACAAAGAAACTATTTCCTACTTGAGCATGCATAGTAGTCCAGAGTAAATAAAAGAGGAAGGAAGGAGGAATGCTTTTACGAAACCCTGGAGGTCATAAATAGGAATAAACAGGAGAGGCAGGATGGCAGTGTTTACCATCTTGTGAACTCTCTTCCTGGCCCTTAAGATCTACCTAAAAATTAACAAACTACATCAAAGCGACCTTCTATCTTTATGTACTGAGGATTCCTGATGAAGCAACTGGCCTGTTTCAGAATGCTTATACGTGCCTGTCAGGTGTAGAGAAATGGGCAGTAGAGGAAACATGGCAGAGGTGCAGAGGCTTGTGGGATTTGATCAGAAATTATTGCCAATGAATCAAACCCAGTCAACGCAATGCTTTCATCGCGGACACAATGGCTTAGATGCATATTTCATAATTCCTCACAGTAATCCCATCTGATCACTACATCAGAAGTCAGAGCCTTTCCTCCCCGAGTGCAGCTTCTGCACATGCTCAGAGTCAAGAATGTTGCTGCTTCCCTTGCCTTCTGCTCCTGGCCTGACCTGAGGGCAGGGGCTGGTGAGGGCAGGACTCCTGGGTCCCCCTTCCCCCTACTTGCTCTTCCTCCTACCCCTCCCCCCAGGTGCTCCTCTTGGCCATGTACTTCCTGGAGCTTTCGCTGGCCGACTGCGACTGCCTGCGCTTTGAGCCTGCACAGCTCTCTCTGGCTGCCCTGGGCCTGGCACAGAGGGTGCTGCCGGAAGAGGGCGCCAGGCTCTGGGATGCTCTCCAGGAAGGTGCCCCGAACCTCCACTCGTACAGGTAGGAGCAGACCCCCTGGACCCCCCCGGGAGGGGGGAGGAGGCAGCACAGGAGGAGCCCACCTGCCGGCGTGTTTTCTGGGAGGCTGGCGATTCTCTGTGCCAGCATTTCATGCCAACAGGACAAAGACTTTTCGGTTATGAATAGGTTTTGCAATTCTAGGATTCTGAAGAACTGGAATTAAATTCAGAAGCTGCTTCTCAGGCCCCCAAGCTGCCATTCTGGAGGCTTATGCCAAGTCACCAACATATTTCAGTCTTGGAAAGGGGCCTGCTGTGCCCTGTTTAATTTTTTTGTCCTTGATTTAGCTGAAATTCCTGCGTTTCAGGGGTCCAGATGACCCAACTCTACAGTGCTAAGATTCTAAGAACCTATGAAGAGCCTGTCTGCCCCATCTAATCCCGTAGTCTAGACTCTCAGGGGTCAGCCAGCCAGCGGTCATTTGGGGAACCCCACAAGCACCCCAGGACCTGCTACTCAGGAGCATCACTGCTTCCTGTGGGAGGGGGTTCCGTAGGTGTTGCATGAAGGGAGACGTTCTTTTCTCTCTCGGGGTGGACCAGGAAGCCCCCTGGTCAAATCTTGCCTCACTGCGGAGTGGAAGAGTGTGCTCTTGTGGGAATGTTCAGGGATGCAGGAGAGGATATATTGTTTGATTATAGCCTTTCCAACTTGTGTTAACAAGTTCACAATTTAGCAGAGTAACATCCCCCCTTTTAAACTCACAGCGGATGCATTTGCTCAGGCTCGCTAAAGCCTCTATAATAACTGTTCTGGTATTTCCCCCTTATTCTCGCATAAAAGATAAGACATGACACAGTCTTCTATAAAAGTATAAAAAGAGTTTACTCACATTCTGTTCACAATCGGATCCCAGAAGGCAGACTTAGCTTAGAAAAGTAACATACACCTGGAAACTATCTCATAAGGGGACAGTCCCTCTTTCCTCTCGGCTGGAAGCCAAGAGAGCATCTTTGGCTAAGCAGATGTTGCTTCTTCGACGAAAGTAGTCAGAGAGAGAGAGATGGCTGCCCTGCCCTGTGCTTTTGTCATTACCTGCACAGGTGAGGCCACGCCCACCTGTAGTCACATGCAGAGGCAGTCTGTCCCAGCCCAGAAAGAAACAGGAAGTTTACCTGCTGGCTGGACAAACATTCCTCCCCATGTGTAAGCATGTTCACTCTAGGAATGTTGTACTTGACTGCTCTTGTGTTTCACATCCCACAGCTCTGGCAAGCTACTGCCCCCTCTGCCTTTGCCCCTTATGGGGGTGATACTCCCTCTTGTGCCAGGGTTGCTGAAGGGACTTATGGGGTGATGGTGCTTGACCTTTACAGGGAGTTCTGCATCTGGCCTGTGATTCTTGGGTCCTTTTTGCTGCAGTGATGCTCTCTGGCTGGCTGGCTGTTCAGAGGTCATTGATTCATATAATTGTAGGGTCGGAAGAGACCCTGTGGGTCATCTAGTCCAACCCCCTTCTGGATCAGGCCAAGGACCTGTCTAGACCACCGTCCTGTTCTCACAGCAGCAGGAGAGTTGCCTGTGGGAAACTGGCAAGCAGGATTTGAACGCAAGAACAACACTCTTCCCTCCTTTATTGCTGCCTCCCTTTCTGCCTCTCTCTCATTGCAGTGAGTCTGAGCTGTCGGCAGTGCACCCTCCCATGGCCAAGGCTGCCCTGCGGGGGCCCAGTTCCGCCCTCCGTGCCACTTTCCTGAAATACTCGCGGCCTCAAAAGCTCTGCACCAGCACCAGCCCCGCCATCACAACCTCCGAGTACCTGAGCTGCTTCCTGGGAAGCCCCACTCCATGAAGAGGGGTCTGCTGTGGGTTTGCCTTTAGGGCCCATCGCACCCCGTTGCAGGGCAAGAGGAGCTTTCCCAGGCCTGCTCCATGGAAGAAGCATATGGTGGGGTGGACCAGAGCCTTCAGGTGGGGAGGGGAGGGGATGGGGCCAGGAACCCAAGCAGAATCCTTGGGAGACAATTCAGGTGGGGGTGGTATTCTCTCTCTCTCTCTCTCTCTCTATCTATCTATCTCTCTCTATCTCTCTATCTCTCTATCTCTCTATCTCTCTCTTCTCTCTTCATCTATTCACAGTGACCCCACCCTCCCTGGCACTTTCTGCCTCCCCCCAGTCTTAACAGATTGGTTTTAAAAAAGAGTAGATAACTGTAAGAAAACAGGACTCTGGAAGTATTTAATAAAGTGTGTTTTGTTCTCTCTTGCTCCTTCTTTCATCTCTTCATGGCAAGGTCTGTCGGTCCCCTTGGAAGTGGAGCCGCAATCTCAGGCCCCTCTTGGCAGGGGTGATGGGTGTGGGGAGAATCTGTCCCCACCCCTCTATTGTAGCCCAGTGGTGAAGCATTTAAGCTACGTCCCGGGAAGCCCCCAGTTCGAATCTTACCTCTATGATTTAAAATTGTTTTCATGGTAAAACGTTACAAAAACAGAACATTGCAAATTTAAACGAAGGCATTACATAGTTGGAAGGCTTGATGAGCGTTCTCTTCTGCCCCACCCCCACTCACTGCTTCCTCCACTGTCAATACAGAGACCGTAACACTGATGGTCCACTAAGGGTGACTGCAAGCTGCCTGTCACAAGTGATGTTCTGTCATCTTTCTGGTCAAAATTCCTGCATTGCTCTTCAGACATCACTAGCCGGCGAACTGGATAAATATTCTTCCCACTCAGAAGGAGCCATTCCCTTGCAGAAGTGCCCTGGCATTACAGAATCATAGAGTGATAGAGCTGGGAGGAACCACGAGGGTCATCTAGTCCAGCCCCCTGCAACCAAGGAATATTTTGCCCAGCGAAAGACTTGAACCCATGGCCCTGAGATTAAGAGTCTCCCAATTGAGCTACCCCACCTGTTTGCCTCCAGTTCCCGGCAGCCTCTCCAGGAATTTTTCAGGGATTCTTCAGCCTCCTGCGTTACAGCAGGGGTTGGACTAGACGACCCCTGGGTGTCCCATTACGAGACTGCAATTCTGGCTCTTGGCAGATGGCAGCTTCCAGCGCTTCTCCATCAGAAACCCTCCGCCAGGAAACGGCTCTCCCGGCACAACCCCACCCGCACCCACCCCCGCGATACTCCCGAGGAGGCGGGGCTTGCCTGTGGCCCCTCCCTCCCTTTGCGTCCCCCCCCCTCCCGCCCCCAGTCCCTGCAAGCGGAAGGGCGCCTGCCTGCCGCCGCCGCCGCCGCCTCCTCGCTGGGCGCCGAGACATCCGAGGTCAGCCCGGCCGGCGGTGCTGATGCGGAGGGAGTTTCCCACAATGCACCGCTAGCGCGCTGTCCCTGGTGCTGAAGCTCCGCTCCGGGGCGCCGTCGATGCACAGCGCGCTCTTCCAGCTGGTGCAGCGGAGTCAAGCGCCCGAGCATGGGCCTGTGAGGGGGGCCATGGACGAGCGCAGCCCCTACAAGAGGAGCTGCCCGCAGGCCGGCGGCGGAGGGGGCAGCAGCGGCGGAGGGGCGGCCGTCGGGGGCGGCCGGGCCCACCTGCGCGGGGCCGCCGCCGTTGAGCCCCAGCCGGACCTGGAGGCCAAGATCCGGCAGGCGGTGGAGTTCAAGGCCGAGGGCGGGCGCTGCTACAAGCAGAAGAAGTTCCGCGAGGCCATCGGGAAGTACCACCGGGCGCTGCTGCAGCTCAAGGGGCTGGAGGCCGAGGCCGAGGAGGGCAGCAGCCCGCTGCGGAGGGCCGGCTGGCAGCAGCGCCTCTCCGAGGAGCAGCGGGCTCTGGTCGAGGGCACCGAGATCGAGTGCTACAACAGCCTGACGGGTAAGGCTGGGGCGGATTCTCTTTTTTTTGGGGGGGTGAGGGGAGCTGTGTGCCAGGCCCAGAGGAAGAAGGTGGGGGGCCCTCGCCTGGCAACGGGACCCCCCCAGTTTGGAAGGTTCTCCAAGCAGGCAGACGAACCCCCGTGTCGTGACGAAGCTGTCCCACTTCAGACGTGTCTCTGGCTCCCTTTCATGCGCCTCCCGTTCCAGCCGGCAGGGGGAGCCCTTTCCAATCCTGCTTTCCTACTCCTAGGGGCCAAAAAATTTGAGGGGGCTGCCCCTTCTAAGTTGAGGGGCATTGCCATTCAAATAGTGTGTGATTATGCAGGGTGGGGCTTACCTGGGCCCCCACAATACAGTCATACCTCGGGTTAGAGACGCTTCAGGTTGTGCGATTTTGAGTTGTGCAGCATCCCGAACCCGGAAGTACCGGAACAGGTTAAATCGTGCTTTGCGCATGCGCAGAAGCGCCGAATCGCAACCCACACATGCACATGTTGCGAATGCTGCGGGTTGCGATTGTGCTTCCGGCACGGATCATGTTCGCAACCCCAGCGTCCACTGTATTTTATTCAAGTTGGCACCCCTAATTGGGGCCAAGACCCAGCCTCTGATCCCTTCCTAGTCAAAAGTGCCCCCTCTGGGAAACGGGGAAGGGCGTTCCTCGTTTAGGGGGGTCCCCTTTGCACCAGAGAATTTGCAGCTCTTCAGCGGGGGTGTCAGTGGAGATCTGAACCCTGAGCTCTCACAGGGAAAGGCCTGGCGTTGCAGGTAAGGGGTTCCCTGGGGGCTGTTCAGGTTGCCAGGATGATACCAAGCAGAGAAGCCTCCAGCCCAGAGGGCCAAAGTTAGAGGCTCAGCCCCTGGGAAGCTGTGCCAGGAGGAATCCAGTGGGGGGGGGGCAGGGGGTGAGGCAGAAAATGCTGCCTTATGGCTAGGGTGTCCACCTGCCCTCTGAGAAAATGTTTCGAAGACCCGAGAGCCGGGGATGGTGAGGTGGCCACTGATGTTGCTGGCCAGATGGCCACCCCTCCCTTAACAAAATATTCAAAATCTCACAAAGCCCAAGGGATGTTCTCCCCACCCACCCACTGGTCCATCTCCCAAGGTCCTCCTCTTCCAAGCAGAGAAGAGGAACATCGCAGCCAAGGCCAAGGGTTGAAGATTCCCTTGGGAATCCATCAGGCGTATGTGTTTAAGACTTTTGTATACTGGCGGTGGCCTCTCCTCTAGCAGTGAATCCCCTGACCTTTGACCCTCCTTGCCCCTCCCTCACCTTCTCCTTCCTCTTACTTTGGGTACTTCCTGCTGGAACAGAACCATGTGAATCTCATTCACCAACATTTACAATTTTGACGTAATTTTTTGAATGCTAGCCCTCAGGACAGAAATCCATTTATTCCCCTTGAAATTCAGAAGTATTACATTTGATGTTTTATTGTATTTTTAATATTTTGTTGGAAGCCGCCCAGAGTGGCTAGGGAAACCCAGCCAGATGGGTGGGGTATAAATAATAATAAATTATTATTATTATTATTATTATTATTATTATTATTATTATTCCTCCAAAGAGATCAAGTCAGTGTACAAGGCTCTGCCACTCCCCACTCCCCTTTTTAAGTCAAATAGTCATACAAATCCGGACAATACCATTTATTCTGTGAACCGCCCTGAAATCTTTCGATGAAGGGTGGTATATAAATTTAATTTGACAACAACATGAAGAAAGGGAAGGGGTGTAAGTGCTTCTCAATTATAATCTCAAATATTCACATCTCTTGGTATTTGCTACAATCCTATGAAGTTTTAATATTATACAAATCATTACTTATTTATATGTGTATCTCCCAAAGGATAAGAAGGGGTAAAAATACCGCCTATGGCAGCCAGCAGCCGACCCCTAAGTCAGGGAAACCCAGTACTTGATATATTGGATTGTATGGTTCAGTTCCCTCTTTCCTTCTCTTCCTGTTTTAGAGACTGGGTGTAACATACTCATTAGTCCTCTAATTAGCTAATTCCTAATTAGTTCTTCTTCTTAGTATCCAGCTTAGCTTCTATGTCTTAGCAAAGGGAATTTCTCGCATGTATCACAAGGCGCAGCCTTTGTGTTTGATACGCTTTAATATTTACATTGCCTCTTGTGCAATATAATTGAGCCATTTCCTCAATAGTTGCTAAGACCATTTCCCAGCAGCTTCACTATATATGGGGGGGGGGGGAACGACAACATTTCTTCAAAAAATAAAATAAAACCAGGGAAGACCCACCCCCATTCTGCCCTTACAGCAACACTGCGAGATGAATATTGCATAAATTCAGTGACTGGCCTGGAGACCTTAATGGCTGAGTGAAGAGATTTGAACCCAGGGCTCTCTGGCCATGAGTCAGCACTCTAGCCATTGCACCACAGCGATGCTTGCTTTTGTTGGTGTCACCCGACTGCTTATTTTGGTTTGGCGACTTTTATGAATCACACAAAATGTCAACCCCTGACTATTAGGTCCAGTCATGGCCGACTCTGGGGTTGCAGCGCTCATCTCGCTTTGTTGGCCGAGGGAGCTGGCGTACAGCTTCCGGGTCATGTGGCCAGCATGACTAAGCCGCTTCTGGCGAACCAGAGCAGCGCACAGAAACGCCGTTTACCTTCCCACCAGAGCGGTACCGATTTATCTACTTGCACTTTGACGTGCTTTCGAACTGCTAGGTTGGCAGGAGCAGGGACCGAGCAACGGGAGCTCACCCCGTCACGGGGATTCGAACCGCCGACCTTCTGATCAGCAAGCCCAAGAAGCTCAGTGGTTTAACCCACAGAGCCATCTGCGTCCCATTTGCTTACTACTTGGTAAAATTGATCCTGCTCCTCCTGAGGGGGCGTGAAGAGCTATGAACGATCCTGGTTTGCTGCTACCACCACCACCAAAGCACACCCCCAACATCTGGAAATCCTGTCCTGCTCTTTTCCAGCTGTTGAGTTGTCACTGCCTGCTCCCCTCCCACCGTGTTTGTGTTTGAGCAGTGGAAGGCAAACTAAGGCCTGGGGGCTGAATCAGCGTATTTTTACATGAGTAGAATGTGTCCTTTTATTTAAAATGCACCTCTGGGTTATTTGTGGGG